AATCATGAAGAAGATGTCATTTATGGGGCTGGGGATTTAGCTCAGCAGCATAAGTGCCTGCCTTGCAAGCAGGTAGTCGTGAGTTCAATCCCTGGTACCGATAAAAAGGAAAAAAGACCAGCCTGACCCACTTGAGAGGACCCTGTTTCAACTAATAATAGCGACAATCTGTAACCCCTCAGGCTTGGCCACCCTCTCTGCCTTCCAAGTAGGGCCGATGGCTCTTCCCATAGCCAGCGCACTGTGGCCCCAGCCGCATGGGCTCCCCCTGTTCTGAACGCACCCTGTGGGCAGTGCTGGTCTGGCTCTCCCTGGAAGCAGGCCAAGGCCAGCATGGCCTGGATCGGGGCTGTGGAACGCAGCCCAGTTGACTGGAGCTTGGACTAAGTCACACCTGACTCTTGCAGGGGCCCTGGCCCTGTGAGGCGGAGTTGGGTCTGGTCACTGTTCCCAAAGGAGCTGAGAATCCTGGCTGTCCCATGCCCAGGTGGAGAGAGGAGCTGTGTCCCCGAGGGCTGTCTGCCGGCCTGGTGTGGTGGCCACATTCAAGGGTCCTTGCCAGCCACTGGCAGCACAAACATTTGAACCTGGCTAGACAGACGCAGCAGGTAGGCCCTCTGGAGGCCACAGGGGTCCAGGGAACACAGGCTTCGGGCTCAGCTTCTGGATTTCCAGGACAGCTGGGATGTGGGAACAGCTGGCCCGCGCTAGGCATCATAACCTGCAGCCCCAGCTACTCAGGAGGCCGAGCCAAGAAGATCACTTGCAGTTTGAGGCCAGCCTGGACTTCATAGTGAATTTCAGGCCATGACTCTGTCTCAAAAAAACCACACAAATAAATAAAAATTAGAAATAAAGACAGGATCACATTTGCTATGTACCCCAGGCTGAAGCTGAAGCTCCTCCTGTCTCGGCCTATGGAGCGCTGGGATTATAGCATTCATCACATTGTCTGGCAAAATCATTTCTCAGGGTGGGTGGCCTTAGAAATCCCTCCAGAGGGTGGGAAACTTAACTCAGTGGCAGAGTGCCTGCCTGGAAAGCACTAGGTCCTGAGTTCGATTCCCAGTGCCAAAAAAAAAAAAAAAAAAAAAAAAAGATTCCCACCAAAGTCCTGGATAAAACAAGTCACAGACAATATGCTAAGTATGCTGACCCTTTAGGCCAGTGATGGCAAACATTTTAGAACTTTCAATGTTATAAACAGCCCACTGAGGCACGGGTGTCATAGATTTGCCACCAATGATTCAGGCCATTCCTATGATGGTAGATTAGATAAATCAGACCAAACTTCCTGTTTGGGATAACCAAAAAGCTAGATGGGAAAAAATTTAAATCTTTAAAATATCAAGCTGGGGATGGTGACATATGTCTGTAATCCTAGCACCAAAGAGGCTGAGGCAGGAGGATTGCCAGGAGTCTGAGGACACCTGGATCTCCATAGTGAGATCAAGGCCAACCAGACTACTGTCTTAAAACTACGTAGTGAGATTGTCTCAAAATTTTAAAAAGATGAACAGGCTGGGGAACAATGTGCAATATATGTACCATTGTTGCCCTCCAATGGACATGTTTCGAAAATATTTTTTTTCTCTTTAAAATAAAATGGATTTGGAAAAAAAAAAGGATATAGCTCAGAGTGAAGACCTTGGGCTCAATTGCTAATACAAAAAATTCCTTTACTGCTGTGATCCCAGCGCTCAGGAGGCTGAGGCAGGAGGATTGATGAGAGTTCAAAACCAGCCTGGGCTACAAAGTAAACTCAAGGCCAGCCTGAACTGCATAGCAAGAACTTGTCTCAAAAAGTTCAAAAACAAACATATACAAACAAACCCAAAAACCGAAAAGCCCATTTACTGGAAGGGGTCCTTGGCAGGGCAGGGTCAGAGCTGACAAGAAAGGTTGGTGTGCTCTCTGGCTCCACCTGGGGAAGTTCAGGGCCTGATGTCTCTGGCCATATCTGCCCAGGTCCTCTGCCAAGGGCCAAGCACTCCAGGGATGGGCATGGGCCAGGAGAGAGATGTCCAGCTGTCCACCTAGAGGCCAGGACAAGCTCACGATGATGGTGAATAGACCCAGAGAGCATGAGAAGGCCAGCAGATGATGGACAGCAGGATAAGTGGCTGTCTGAAGGTCAGCGTGGGACCAGGACCCTTGGAGGGAGGTGGACACTATGGTGTCCCTTGGTGGCAGAGCAGGAGCTTGGTGGACCTGTGCGAAGCCTGAGGCTCAGCCCCCACCCCAGAACAAACAAATGCGACACAGAATGTGGCATGGTCTGCATTTGGCTTTTTTTTTTATCGGTACCGGGGATCGAACTCTGACCGCCTGCTTGCAAGGCAGATGCTTATGCCACTGAGCTAAATCCCCAGCCCCTACATTTGGCATTTTAATTCTCTTACTGGCATTTTTGTTGTTTTTTATTTTGATACCGGGAATCAAACTCATGACCTTACGCTTACCAGGCAGCAGGCACCATGCCACTGAGCTACATCCCTGGTCCCTTTATTGGCATTTTTAATTTTAATTTTTTTTATTTTAGATAGGCTGAGGTTTGACTGTGTCACCTGGGCTGGCTTTTGCTCCTACAGTCAAGCGATCCTGCCTCAGCCTCCCAAGTGCCAGGGTTACAGGAGCCACCACACCCTGAAAAACGATTACTTTAGAAGCAGAGCAAGAGGTCCATGTGGCTGTGCATTTACCTTCGCTGGAAGCACCCCGCACCCCAAGACTCAATTCAGGGCCTTCCCAGAGGCCGCCAGCCACCTCCCACCCACTGGACACGAGCTCCCTTCAGCGGGACACACTGGGATGGACCTTGAACTGACGTCAGTCATCAGTCACGGGACTCTTTTTTGTTGTTGTTTTTGTTTTTTTGTCTTTTTTCTTTTTATCGGTACCGGGGATCGAACTCACGACTGCCTGCTTGGAAGGCAGGCGCTTATGCCCTGAGCTAAACCTCCAGTCCCAGTCATGGGACTCTTACATTCCTGTGACACAGTGGCTGACTTGGTCACACAAATTCACTGACACTGCACCAGACAACGCCCAGCAGTTGCCTGTGGGTGGGGCGCAGAGCGGTCAGAGCCCCAGCTTGGGGAGCTCTTCTTCCAGTCGCTTCTCAGATCTGTCTTGCGGTCTTTTTGGGACAGGGTCTTCCCATGCAGTTCAGGCTGGCCTCGAGCTCACTTTGTAGCCCAGGCTGGCCTCGAACTTGCAATGGTTCTCCTGCCTCAGCCTCCAGAGTGCTAGGATGGCAGGTGTGAGCCTCCACACCCAGCTCTCAGATGGGTTTTGGGCTGTGCAGGTGGTGCTCACCGGTCATTCCAGCGTCCTGGGAGGCTGAGGCAGGATAGCAAGTTTGGGCAACGTAGAGACTTAGCAGGACCCTGACAAAAGATTAAAAAAGCTGGGCTGCAGGTCAGTGCCAAAGCCCCGGGTTCAATCCCCAGCACAGCAAGGGGAAGAAAGGAGATGAGAGAGGCAGGAAGCCAGGGCTGCAGAGGCAGGGCTGGAGCCTAATCCAGCCCGTCCTGTCAACTATGTCAACTATGGAACAGAACATGTGGTTGGGGGCTAATGTCCCCTTCCGATGGCCAAGACATCTGGGCTGGGAGGTTCTGACGTCTGTGCTCTGAGCTACATCCTAAGTTTTGGAGTTGTTTTGGGCTTTTTTGAGACAGGCTCTTGATACATTGCCCAGGCTGGCCAACTCACATCCTCTCCTGCCTCAGCCTCCAGAGTGGCTGGGATGACCACTGCTGCCCAGCTGAGTCCACGGCACAGGGATCGCCAACACTCTGGGCCCTGCCAGCCTGCTCCGCTCAGCGCGGGTCCTCTGAGTGCTGGGATTTCCCACTGCTCAGGACCCGCTGGCACCGAGCAGGCTTTACCTAGTCCACCGCAGGCAACGTGTCTTCCAGGGTTCAACAGCCGCGGGGACCTTTGTCCTGATCCCAGGAGTCATGGCAACTGCTCTGTGCAAGCTGGGAGAGGAAGGGCTCAGGGCTGGGTGGCTGTCCTCGCTAGGCAGGGACAGTCCTGGCCTGGACTCAGGGGGTCTTGTGCAGTGGACAATCCTGAGCCACCCCCGGTGCTAAACATTGGGGTCAGTTGCCATGGTGACCCTGTGCTTCAGGGCCAGGCGCCTGGGCTGCCTGCTCTGCTGTTTGCTGAGCCCCAAGGGGCTGCTCAGGGGGCTCCTGGCATCTGTGGTCAGCCCTGCCCCCACGCCTGCACCTTCCTGGCAAGGCCAGCTTCGACACTGGACTTCGCCAGGGCTTTCTCCAGCCGCCGCTCTGCTGGGCTCCTCAGCAGAGCACTGCTCTGCCGGGCTGCGGGAGTCGGGGTGGGGTGGGGACAGCAGGGCTAAGCCCCACTTGCTGTCACCAGCACAGAGCCTGTGTGGGGCCAACTCCTTCACGCTCGAGTCGGGCACTGCGGCACAAATCTGTAATCTCAGCTACTTTCAAGGCTGAGGCAGGAGGATCACAAGTTCGGGCTCAGTGGTTTTTTTTTTTTTTTTTTTTGGTCTTTTTTTCATTTTTATCGGTACCGGGGATCGAACTCACGACCGCCTGCTTGCAAGGCAGGTGCTTATGCCGCTGAGCTAAACCCCCAGCCCTGGCTCAGTGGTTTTGCAAGACAGTGTCTCAAAAATTAAAAAGGGCAGGGGGTGGTGATGCAGTGGTAGAGCACCCCAGGCATAATCCCTAGGACAGGGAAAAAGGGGGGCTCTTTGGGGAGTGGCTCCCCTTCCCTCTCCACGCTCTCAAGGCAGCTCAGACACAGAGAGGTCTGGACAGGAAGAAACTCCCAGCACATGCCACACCGACAAGCTTGGGGTGCTCGTGGCAGCCCAGGCACTGCCCCCCCCAGTTCCTTAACTGCCTTCCAACTTCTTCCCATCCAGCGTCATTTGCCATGGTTTCTCCAAGCCTTTAGGTATGGAATAAAATTATCTAGCATAGTAAGATTATAGTAAGATTACACAATTAAACTCAGTTCTCAAAGAGCTTTAATGACGCAGAAGTTCACATACAAATGGGAGGTGTTAGAAACTGTACAGGGACCGGGACACAACCGTATAAAACGCACAAAGGAACAGTGGACTTGAGGGCCCAGTGCCCAGAGCGGGGTGTGCTGGGGCGGGACCCCTTCCTACGGATGGGGGGTGAGGCCCCAGAAGTGACACCAGTGGCCTCTGCCTGAGCAGGACACCCAGGTCTCACACGGCCCTGCCCTGGCAGTCACTGGGCTCTGTCACCAGAGACCGGGTGTGGCACGGACGAGGTGAGCAGCTGTTCCATCCCACAGCAGCGAACAGGTCTGGCTACGCAGCTTATGGGGGAGGAAGGGTGTTGCAATAGGGTCTCAATCTGCAACTCGGGCTGGACTCCAAACTGCGGTTGCCCTCGTCACGGGCATGTGCTGCCACCGTGCCCTGGCGCAGTCACCCACCTCCCTCAAAGGGATGGTGCCTGCAGTGGCAGAGCTGGGATTCCAGCTCAGAGTTCCACTTGATACAGTAGGCTGCTGAACGGACACCATCACCGCCCAAACCTGGTAACATGAACCCATCGATCAATTGTACAACTACAATCACTGCTGCAGCTGTGAGGGGCTGCAAGCCCAACACTCTGAGGCTGAGGCAGGAACACAACAGGAGCCCAGCCAGCAACCTAGGGACTTAGACTCTGCAAACATGAAGTATCCAGAGGCCCTGGATTTGGTCCTGAATTTACCCTTTCCCACAGACTACATCTTAATGACATCAGCATCAGAGTTGGGCACGTGACACACACCTGTCATGCCAGCACTTGGGAGGCTGAGGCAGAAGGACCAGGGTCCCCGAGGTAGCCTGAGCTAGAGACCTGATCTCAAAAACAGAAACTGCAAAGCACAAAGGACCCTTGTCCCCAATCCCCACAGTGCCAGCAGAAACTTCCAAACCCCAGGGTTCCTCAGACAGCTCCGCCCACAGCCACAAGATGGCAGTCCAGGGTTCCCCCTGGCGGGACATCTCCCCTCCCTGCCCACAGCGCTAGCGTTTTGAGCCTCAAGACCTCAGGTGGACATGGGACAGCAGCACTAAGGGGGATGGGGGTGGCTGCCTTCACATTCTTTGCAAGGTCAGGATGGGAGACAGCCAGGGGCCAAAATGAACTGTGAGTGACATCTGAGAAGCTGGGCCTTGAATGGCCCAAAACACTGGACAGGGCCTGAGCTGAGTCTTGAGGCCTGCACTCCGGGTCCAGAGTCCCGAGGGCGAGGACAGCAAGGACAGCAAGGGCAGGGGACTGTCCTGGGGCACCCCGTGTCCCGGGGGCTTAGCGGGCCACACTGTCACAGGGCTCCCCGGTACCTCCTCCACCTCACACACAGACTGGGGACTCAGTCCCTCGCTCCTGCTCATAAGACCACTTCTGAGAGGACAGGGAGATGGACTGCCAAGAGGGACAGACCCGGCACCGGCCACGCTCCTGGAGCTGCTCCCCTTGCGGGGGTCCCAAGCCCAGCTCCACCCACAGGACAGGAGCACCAGGTGGGGATCGGCTCTGACCTGCACCTCCCCATGCTCCCCAGTCCAGCCTGCCAGCCTCCTGGGGCACCTTTGGGCCCCGACTCCTGCTTTTTATCCTGATGCCAACAAGCAGGTCCTTGAAGAGCTTCCTAACTGTCCCTGTGTGTGCAGGGTCTGGAGCTTCCCCCTGCTGCAGAGAACGCTCCCAACAGCCAGTGTGTGGCCGTACGGAGGGCAGCACTGAGGCTGGTTACAGGGCTGCCACAGGGAAGCCGAGCCCCTGGTCTCCCACTCTGCGTGGCTCAGGAGTCCCTCGAAGAGCAGGCCCGTGCTGGGTGTGCCTCTGCTGCGCTGTGGCTCGGCTGGGCCTCGGAGTCCTTCGCCCTGAGAGACCTCATCTTCCGCTGGAACTTGGACCTGGGGTGCAGTTTCCCTTTGGGCAGCTTCAGTTTATCGCTGTCTCTTTCCCCGATTTTCTCTGACGCTCCAGGAAGGTTTAAATTGTAATCTGTTGTGACGTAGGGAACTGTCCCCTTGAACCCGTGCTGGAACAGAAACACAGAGGACCATGGGACCCCAGGAGCCAGCTTGTGGGGCATCCCAGACACGGCACCAGTGGCTGGCCTCCCCCACGCTCGCCCCACACCAGCCGTCTGGGAGGACCTCGCCAGGTCCTGACCATGCCTCACTCAGCCAGGTGCCCACGGCCACCACCAGAAGCGGGCTGGAAGGCTCCCTGCTCACCTGACTGGTGAAGACGCACTGCGGGAGGGACACGGCGCCCACCAGCAGGCAGTTCACGGTCCGCAGCTCCTCGGGGGGTACCGGGGTGAGGATGTGGTACAGCCGCTTCTCCATGTCGATGCCCCTGCAGAGCCCTGCGACACAGGCCACACCTGTCACGCCTGCTCGGGCCACCACGCCTCCCACTGCTACCACACCGGGCTGCTCCTGAAGCAAGAGCTCTGGTGCAGTTAGGGTGCTGTCAGAACCCTCAAATCTCCATGCTGACACTCCTGGCCTCAGGGAGCCACTGATCAGGTAAGGCAGGGCCGGCCGTGGAGCTAGGGGTGAGCCCTGCTGCACGCCACGGCAGTGACACAGTCACATCCATATCCAAGTCACCCGATGCAGAGTCACAAGGGTGCGGACACCGGCTGCTCTGCAAACAGGGGTTCCGGGCCTCCACAGGGAGGGGCCACAGCGGAGCCAGGGTCTCCCTGAGCACCAAACCTGACTGGGAAGCGGCCAGCAGCCTGCATAGGTTACAGAGGACACCACCAGGGGCGTGATAGAGGCAGCACTGACTGGACCGAGGGGTCCAGCAGCCCGTAACACAGTCGGGACCTGTTGCTGCCATGGCAGGGAAGGGACTCACCGAAGCCCACGCAGTCGCAGATGGGCGTCTGGGCCAGCAGGATGGGCCCCCGTGTGTAGCCTTGGACATCATCCAGGATCCTGCACAGCCCCAGCCAGCTGGCATTGACCGCGTACAGGATGTGGGTGGGGGCAACGTCAGAATGCGTGATCCTCAGTGCAACGGCATTGAAAGGAACCTGGAAAATAAATGTGCAGCTCAGCTCCCTCCACCAGCACAAAGGTCGCTTGCACTTTGTGGTGTTCTGAGTCAGGGTCTCCTTACGGAGCTCAGGTTGGTCCTGACCTGACCAGGTGGCCCAGGCTGTCTGTGAACTGGTGACCTTCCTGCCTCAGCCTCCCAGGGAGCTGGGATATAAGTATGTGCCCACAAAAGGAAAATAAACCCACTGGCAGGCAGGGTCTGAAGCCCAGCCCAAGCGCATCCGGCACTGCATGTGAGCTGACACAGCACTGGGGCGGTTTCAGCACCCATGAAACCCTGCGGAAGTAGCAGGGCTAACGCAGGGGCAAGGGCAGGGCCCCGTGCACTCCACACACGCGGCTGGGGCCCTGGGCACAAGCCCTGCACCACAAGAGCAGGAGTGCTGCCTCTTGGGCACTTGGCCCTTCCTTTCCTTGCCAGGAGCTCGCTAGGAAGCTCAGCTGGCCTCAGACCGGTGGCGCTCTGCCTACCTCAGCCTCCCAGTGTTCCTAAGCTTTGGTCAGCCCCAATCCTAACGCTGTGGGGCTTCCATCCTAAAGAAGTCTTCACAGCCCAGGCCACAAGCTGCACGCCTGGTATCCGAACTCAGCAGCGTGATGGGGATCGAGTGCCTGCTTAGGCCCAAGGTCAGAGTCCCAAGCGCTAGAGGGAAGGCTGACCAGTCCGTAACAACCTACAGACCCGCACAGCCCCAGGCCACATGTGAGGGACTGAGTGGCACAGTCCTTGGGCTGCAACCCTGCGCTGGCTGCTGGGGTGGGGCAGGGCTGGCCCTGCCAACCCTGCAGGGTCACCCAGCCTCTCTGTAGCTGTTTCTGCATCTGGAAATGGGATGGGCACAAGACCCACGTCATGGGGCGCTGAGGACCAATGGACCCTGAGAGCGCCCAGTGCACAGAAAGCACCCCAATTACCTGATAGGGCGTGAGGCCATGCAGAGGACGAAGCGGCCTAGGCGCAGGGGGCAGCATCTGGGCAAGGTACGCTAACACTGTCAGGTCTCGGAATATCTTATTATGTGAGGCCCTGAAAGAAAAGTTAGAATAAACTAAATAAATCAATCACAGTAGATTTCTCCCCATACCCGCCCCACACACACACCAAAACATCACTGCACAAGTGGCAATTCCAGAACACAGGACCCAGGGGACCGAACCCGGGCCTTTACACTGAGCCACGTCCCCAGCCTCCCTCCCTCCTTCCTGCCTTTCTTCCTGAACCGTTTATTTCTTCACTGACTCATTCATTTCCTGAAGTAGGCAGGGTTTTGTGCTGTCACTAACTTGCCCAGGCTGGTCTTGAACTTGGGCTTCTCCGGCCACCAGCCCAGGTTGACCGTGTTCTTGGAAGATGTTATCTGAATGCCTTTTGGCTCTGCTAAAAAACACGACTCAAAGGTCCAAGCTCCTGGCAATCAGAGAGGGAGGCCACGTCCCGAGGCTTCCGCTGAGAACGTACCTGTTTTCCTCACACACTTACACCTGATAGACTCTGGCCTTACTGTGCAGAACTGGGAGCGGAACCAGTGCCTTGCACACGCCACACAAGCTCGCGCCCGAGTCACAGGCCCAGCCCAGCCTGGAGAAATGCTACAGCAGTTATTCCTTTAAGGAAGTGGTGGCATACTCCTGGAGTCCCAGCTATTAGGAGGCTGAAGCAGGCAGACAGCAAACGAGAAATCAGGCAGTATAGTTCAGGCTGGCCGTGAACTCATACGTGGCCCAAGCTGGCCTTGAACTTGGGACAATCCGCCTGTCTTGGCTGAGTGCTGGGAGTCCAGTGTGCGTCACGGAGCCTGGCCCAGCCTGAACCATTTATTGAGGCCCTGTCTGATACTGTAAGAGGGCCAAGGATGTACCTTAGTGGTACAGGGCTTCCTAGCACGTCCCAAGCCTTGGGTTCGATCCTCAGTATCATCCAAAACAAACAAAAAAACCTTCGGACAAGGAAGGAAATAAAACTCTTCAGCCAAAGGGTCGCTGACTCACCGATTCCGTGAAGTTTTCCGGTAGCAGAACTCGGAATTCACGCGCAACAACTTATATCCAGTAAAGAGGGCCGGGCTGTCCTTGTCCTCCTCGGCGAACTCCGCGCTGTCCGCGAACTCCGCGAGGGGGAAGCCGCGCGCCCGGCTCCAGGTCTTGCTCCTGGTGTAGAGCCCGTCCATGTCGTCCACATAGCCCGGGCTGAGGTCGGGCATCTGCCTGTGCTGGGCGGAGCTGAACTGCACCACGTAGCTGGGTGACAGCAGCCGGATGAGGTCGATGAGGAGCAGGAGGCCTTCGTCTGGGGGCGGGAGGGGTGCCGTGAGCAAGCTGGCGCTGCAGAGCCAGGACAGGCGCCAGCATGACGCGGGCCCTGGTCCTGAGACAGAATGCAGCGACAGGCCTGGAAGCCTCAGCCGCCTGGAGGATCGCAAATTTCAGGCCAGTCTGGGACCGGTATGAAGGTCTGTCTCAAAGAATAAAGCAAAGCTGGGCGTGGAGGTGCACACCTGGGATCCCACACGTGGGAGCCTGAGGAGGGAAGGCTAGCCTGAGCTACATACAGAGACCCGTCTCCAAAACAAGATACAAAAAACCAAAGTAAACAAGACAAAACCAAACAAAACCCCCAGGCAATGTCACTCCATTTAGTTGGACAGCTATCACTAAAAGGTGAACAACCGCTGGGAGGGTGCAGCCCGGATCCACCGTCGCAAGGAAAACCAACAGCCAGCAAGGACTTCGGCAGCAGGAGAGCCACAGGGCAGCCTGCGAGGGCTCAGCAAGCGGCACCCGTGCTCGGGGAGAGGAGCCACTCTGAGGCGAGTAGAGTGCAGCCCATGGACAGGACAGCGCCCAGGCGACAGCGTTGGGGCCCTGGAGCATGCATGCCACCAGCCACCCTCCCCCAGGTCCCGCCTGCAGGGTCACCTGTCACCCAGCCCATTGTGTTGACGATCAGCGGGGCCTCCCTCTTGTAGGCGCTGAACACGTATTTGATTATATCGATGTAGTTCTCACAGTTGTTTTTGCAAGAAGTTTTCCCGTAATACACCATCTTCTGCGGTGTCCTCTGGTGGGTGTAAGGTGGGCCTAGGGGGGCAGTGGGGTGGTTAAGCAGCAGCGACAGGGTAGACAGAAGGCACCTGCCTGCACTGTGTAAGGCTCTGGACTTGATCTCTGGGCCTGGAATGGCACTGCACACACTGAGCCCTGCTAACCCGTGCACTCGGGAGGTCGAGGCAAGAGGACTGCCTCAAGATGAGGGCCCTGAACTACACAGTGAGACTGTTTCCAAAATAAAATAAAATCCCTAGAACCAGAAGTAACAACCAGAATGCCCTAGAACATTCTGTCTTGCTACAACAGGAACTGACCAAGTGAGGACAGAGCCACAGGCAGCAGGGCCAGCAGAGTGGGGCCCGGGAGAAGATGGCCCAAGGAGACCGCTGGCAGAGCTGGGAGCCTGGTCACCCACGGGGACATTGGGAAAACAGGTGGATGTGTCAAGGATAATCGCAGCCAGGTTTCCCACTCCTGGAACAGGATTTGCAAACATAGAGCGAAAACCACAATAAAACCTGGAGCTGGACTGGACCGTGGGCTACTGTGGGGAAGCAGCTTTGTCCCCGAGTCTCCAGGTAACAGAGAGAAACACCAGTAGCCAGGGACGGGTGAGTGTGAGGTGCACACAACCCCGATGTGCACACATCTCCATGTTTCCTGCCTATTCACAGTGAGGCCCCAAAGCAGGGACATTCCCAGGGGAAGCAGCGCCCCGGGACCCGGATCTTCACTCCCCGAGAAGGGGCTAGGGGGCAGGCAGGCCAGGTGGAGGGGCACACATGCTGAGTGCAGAGCAGGAAAAAGGGGGAACTTAGAAAAGTGAGGTGTCACAAGACCCAGTGACAACAGAAGGGCCTCCGCTGGGCAAATCTGGGACAACCAAGCATTTGTGTGACAAGAAGTGACACGCCCCAGAGGTGTAAAGATCTCCCCAGAGAAGAGCATCCCCTGCAAAGTGCAAGAAACGGCGGGAATACAAACTCATCCTCTTGCAGGTGTGGTGGCACACATCTGTAATTCCAGCACTCCAGAGGCTGAGACAGGGTGATCGCCATAAATCTGAGCCCAGCATGGGCCACACAGTAAGACCTCGTCTCAAACAAACCAACAAACAGAAAAACCAAAAACAATCGAAGACCATGATGTGATTGTTCCTATTACAGACCGAGTTTGGGGTAAGTACTATCAATTTTCAATTTCATAAATCCAAGACATGCAGGACCCAGGTAGCACCTACCCAGAACTGGTTCCGTAATATTCAGCAGAGAGATGCAGCCCGGCGGAGTGAATTCCGTCTGGCCCAGATCACATTCCAAGTAGTCAATGCAGGAAATGCTGGAAACATTAATTAAGATAGCAAAATTTCCCTGAGCTTCACTGTTTAGAAAAGAAAAACAGGATTCGGGGACTCAGCGCCCACGCGGCCCTTCCCCGTGGCCGTTAGGTGGCACCTGCCTCAGCACCAGGGGCACAGTATGGTCCAATCCCAGACCCAAAATGCCATCCAGACAAACGGACATGCAGCACAGAGCTGTGCAGCCCCCGCCTAGAAGCCAGACTGCTTCCTGCTGCGGGCCCAGCACACCCAGCTCCATGTCACACCCGGGGCACTACTCGGCAGGACACGATCTTGTTTTCTTCTTTCTGGGTACTGGGAATTGAGCATAAAGGAAATTGTAAAACTTACAACCTGACAGTGTATTAAGAGCAGAGAGGCAGGCCCAGCCCATTTAGACACAGCCCGCTGGGTGAGCCCCGCGCCGCGCCAGCTGCAACTTGTGAGAGAGACATGCCTCCTTCAGGAGTGCACCGAGGTGTGCTAACTTTATGCAAGGACAAGCTGGTTCAATTAAGGACAATGACTGGCCAGGGATTTTGCTCAGTGGCTTAGCGCCTGCCTGGCAAGCCTGAGGTCATGAGTTCAATCTCCAGTACAAATAAATAAACAAAAATAAAGACAATGACTGAAAAATAAATTTTAAAAATAAAGAAGATTTTTTTTTTTTTGTATCAGGGATTGAACACATGACCTTGTGCTCGCCAGGCAGGAATTTAGGTCACTGAGCTAAACCCCTGGCCCTTTTTGATCTTGTTGAGACAGGGTCTCACTATGCAGTTCAGGCTGGCCTTGAGCTCACTTTGTAGCCTAATATGGTCTTGACCGCACAACAATCCTCCTGTCTCAGCCTCCCCAGTGCAGGGATTACAGGGGAGCACCACTACACCCAGTTAAAGATTGATTCTTGATCCTCAAGACTAAACTTGTCCACAATAAATTTGCCTAACAACATACCAGTTATAAAATAAACTGCTGTCAGCCTCTTGTGATGGGGTGATGAGCTGGGACTCGGTTTCTCCCAGCCCGCTGGCATAATCAGGAGCTGCCTTCCGACCCCTGGGGGGCCTGCGTGTCTCCGTCTCATTCAGTCCTGGTTTCCCACAACACGACCACAGCGAGAGAGGCGCACACCCACCTGTTCAGCAGCTGGTTGATCAGGCACCTGCTGAAGGTGGACTTGCCCACGTCCTGCGGGCCGCAGACCAGGATGATGGGGCAGCCGTCGGCCTCCTCTGGGAAGGGACGAGCACGGGCCTGCTCAGCGCTGGCCCCGGTCCATGGGGGCCGCAGGCTAGAGTGCTCGGGTCTGCCCCAGGTCACTCACCGCAGGACACGCTCACTAGCTCCTCCAGGGATGAGAGGGCGCTCGCCGTTAACAGAAGGCCTTTCCTCTTTCTCTCTCTTTTGATGCCGACAGACTTCAGGACTAAGCATTCGGCGGTGACCTGGGAAGTGGGCTTCGGAACACAAGTCACAGGACATGAGCGCAGTGCACAGCCTCCCTTCCTTTCCCAGGTCCTGAGCCGCACACAGCCGGGCATTCCGACCATCAATCCGCACCAAACTCACGACCTCACGCCTGCCAGGTAGGCACTTATACTATGGAACTGAACCCCGACCCTGGCTCCCCACTTTTCTCTGACTGTTCTCAGCAAATCCGTCAGCCGACTCCACGACGTGTGCAGCTCTGGGAGTTCCCACTCCCTCCGCAGGAGGCTCCAGAGGAAACACACACCAGAGGGAAAAAAACGAATGCACTAAGAAAAAACCAAGGGCCAGGGATAGCTCAATGACATAAGCACCTGCCCTTCAAGTTCAAGGTCGAGTTCCATCCCCAGTACCAAGTAAGAAGTCAAAAGAGAAGAAAAAAGAAACAGAAGTCAGCAGGGGGTGGCGGTGCACACCTGTCACCTCAAGACTTGGGAGGCTGACACAGAGGACTGCAAATTCAAGTCCATCCTGGGGAACACAGTGACTTAGCAAGACCCTGTCTCGAAAAATAAAGAAGACTGGGGATGTAGCTCACTGTGAATACTCAGTCCCCAGAACCACAATAAATAAAGTAAAATAAACCAAATAGTAAGAGCAGATGGGTGTCGTGGTACACTCCTATAAACCTAGTACTACGGGGCCTGAGGCAGGATCTCTGAGCCCAGCCTGAGCTGACAGCAAGTCCAAGCACCCTGGACCACACAGTGAGATGCTGTCTCTGAAGAGGCCACCCACCCATCCCCCTCAGGAAGAAGAGCTTCAGGAATAAAAGGTCAGCGTGGACGACCAAGTTCCAGAGGGGAGGAAAGGTGGAAGTAGCTGACGATGCCACCGTGCGCTGGTAGCCCTGGCTTCTTGGAAGGCTGAGGCAGGAAAATCACAAATCTGAGGTCAGCCCAAGCAATTCACTGACATCTTTCAAAAGGAAATAAAAAAGTCCACCCACTAGCTGCTCCCGCTTGGTCATGACTTCAGTCCTACTTCCTCTGTCCTGGGTAACTCTGGAGGAGATCTTGTCACTACCCTCTCTGGCCAGGTCCAGTCTCCTTTGTGGTGGCCTCAGGGGCCTCTCCCCTCGCTAGGGCTGGTTTCCCCTCTCGGGATCAGTGCCTTCAGCCCCAGTGGAAGGAAACACACCCCCATCACATCTGCCTGACCACCGCTTCCCGCTTCGGCAGATGCCTTACTGCTGAGCCCTCCCTCCCGCCTCGAGCTGTGTCCCTCGGCAGCTGCCCTCAGCCAGCCCTCCCCACCCCCCCCCCCGGGGCTCCTCCTGGCTCACTCTGGCTCCTCTGCTGCCTCCTCCGGGTACAGGCCCGGTCCTCCCCGCCTCCAGCCTGCTCTCAGCTGCCCTCTCTGCTGCAGGGTCCCCAGTGGACAGTTCTCGGGTCTCCCCAGACTCGGCTCACTGTCTGGTCTTCAGCTGGATGCCAAACAGGTGTCCCCACGACAGCACCCAGCCCCTGCCACAGGGCCCAGGCTCAGTGATAGCAACTCCATGCACCCAGATGGGGAGGCCCATAACCCAAGCGCTACTCCGTGACTCATTTGGGTTTTGTGCTGGGGATGGAGCCCCAGACCTCCCTCATGGTGAGCAGGTGTTCTCCACCAAGCTGCACCCCAGGCTCTGCAGCTCCCCCTCCCCTCCCCCAGCCCATTCGCGGATCCTAGTGTCAACTTGATGGCTCACGGAGACAGGAAACTAACAAAACAGCCAGCAAAGACCAGAGGGGAGGAAAGAGAGAGACGCACCACTAAGCACATTGCAGTTCTTCATTTATAGTTTAAAGGAAAAAAATCACTAACCAGCCACCATGTGAAACTAGGTGTGGTGGCACAGGCCAGTAATCCCAGGACTCTGGGAGGCTGAGGCAGGAGAAATGCAAGTTTCAGCACAGCTGGCAACTTAGTGAGACCCTGTCAAAATAGGAACTGGGATGTAGCTCAGTGTGAACACCCCAGATTTAATCGTGCGCACTAAAAATAACAGAAACACCTCTGAAGAAACCAACTACACATGAATGGTGCTTCTGCTGGGAACTGACACTGAGGAAGGAAAGGAGAGCCGTTTTTCCTAATCTCCTTTCTGAAGTGCAAATGTGGGTGACACTCTGCCGGGCTGTCCCACAGGACAGACCATCTTCCAGGAGAATGCCCCACACGCGTGTCAGGTACAACTGCTTTGGCACAAGTGATCGGCGGCGACACTGCGAGAACCACTTATTACCTCCTGCTCGAAAACGGCAGCCGTGCCTGGGTAGCTGGTTATGAAGTTCACGGTGGTACTCTTCAAACGTTCCAGCAGCACAATGGAACACGAAGGAGAAAAATTCTTCATTGCCCAGGACCTGTCCTCTGTAGAGAGAACAGTCAAACGCCTGAGAAGCAGTAACTGCTGCTAAACTCTACCCCTTTAAGGCTGCCATGTTCCCTGCGAAACTATCAACTTTTTGAGGGCAGGAATTACATTTGGGAGTCTTTTTCAGGAGACTGCAGACCGGGTAGGAACACTTCTGAGGGGAGAAGTCAATCCATCTAGTCAGTCGTGGCCTTAGATTTTTATCATGTGAGTAATAGTCAAAACAGTGGAACTTTAATTCTTAGAAACTGGGGATTTAGCTCAGCAGCATAAGCGCCCGCCTGCAAGAGCAAGGTCATGAGCTCTAACCCCAGTACCAAAAAAAAGAAACAAAAAGCAACAGCCAACTGCAAGTATTTAAAATAAAAAAATACAATATTATTATTAGCCTCATTACAGGAAGCCCTCATTAACTTCCCCCGTTCTCATTACCCAGGTTAAGATGTGGCCTGAGCAAAGCCCGGGCTTCCTTTCTGATGTCCTTCTTGTTCTTCTCAGGCATGGAGTAATGGACTGCATTGATTGTCAGGCAGGAGTGGGTATAGGTAGAAAAGATGTCCTGGGCAGGCTGGCCTTGGCTGACGACAAAACCCAGCACCTCCACCTGACCATAGAGGCAAGTCATTCGACAGATCCCGCTAAAAGTAAAACCCTAACAGGGAACAAAGAAAGAGAAAAACATTAGAGATCTTGTCACTAAAGACTCAAAGTTCTAAAGTATAGTGTTATAGGTAGTGAGACAGGGCTGGGCCCTCAAAGGAGCCAGTGCAGAAGCCCAGAGAACTGGCCACTGTGGGGGAGACAGATACCTCCTGCTGTGGGCCAGGCCTCAAGACAAAGGGTCAAGTAAATGCATCCATATCCTAAGGACACATATTCTAAATAGCTCCCTATCACCCTGAGGAAGCCTGGGGTCACCATCCAGAGCTCCTAAGAGTCACTGCTCCTTAAGAATGCCCGCTTTCTACATTTGTCCCAAATTTAATCAATTTTACCTGAACTATTAAACTTCTTGGCTAACCATAGTTCTGTCCCACCTTATGCCCAACTGCCTTGTGAGTTCCCAGTTTTCCCCATCTTACACATGATTTTACTCTATAAAAGTCCCTGGAAAAGTGTTCTTGGCAACCTGCTTGGGACCCCTTCTGTCTCTCTCTCTCAGACAGAAGCTTTCTTTCTTTCAATTCATTCTTCGATTTTAGAGAACAGGAACTCATACTGGACCTACATGGACTCGTAGGTCAAGAGTTTCATTCCCCGAAATCAATAGCTTGCCACTCACAGCAGACTGCTCAGTAACACTGCACTGTGACCAACTCATATTTTTCATCAAAGATCAACCTGGGATATAGCTCAGCGGTGCAGCACCTGCCTGGCAAGTGTGAGGTCGTGAGTTGGATCCCCATACAAAAAAAAAAAAAAAAAAAAAAAGAAAACAAGAAAGAAAGAAAAAAGAAATTAATCAAAGATCAAATTCTACTGGGCAAAGCAGCTCTGCTGCCCACAGAGTACACACTGACCCTACCAACCGGTCCTCACAAACTGTCCACTTCCTGAGTTTTCACTTCCGACCAGTATGCAAGGAGCATTCTCCCAGACCAGAGGCCCACCAGGTATAAGCTGAGGCTGGTCACCTAAACTGTTTCTTCATCCTAACACACCTTAGAGACAGCGGCAATTACTCCAGAGAGATGCGAGTGCTAAAGGGGTTCGAATACCTACAACAGTACACTTAGGACTGAGCGATCAGTAAATAATATTTTTGCTAGGATTCAAGTCTGTTTCAACTGGGAAACCCTGGAAACGCTTAGCAAAAGCCGAGTTCACACGGCAAAAAGTCGGGTCCTGAAACCGACTACAGTTGGAGGAATTCGGCGGGAACTGAGCCACCAAGGCACCAATGGCCTGGGGACCAGGGTTCCGGGGCTGCGTCTCCACCCGCCAGCCCCAGGTGACCCACCTGTTCCGCCGGCAGCAGCAGCACCACACGGCCCGGCCCCACCGCTCGCACAGGCGGGATGGGGAAGGAGGAGGGGGTGGCTGGCGCGGGGAGCGGATCCGGCAGCGGGCGCGGAGCCGGGCTGGGGGTCGCGGCCTTGGGCTTCCGGGGGGTCTCGGCGAGCGCCCCCGAGCAGTGGCCTTCCCTCCAGTCCACGCCGGCCGCCTGGACCTGCAGCAGCCGTCGTCTCAGCCGCCGTCGGCCACACTTGCTCAGGGCCCCGAGCCGGCGGCGGGACCGGTGGCTCAGCATCAGCTGGGGCCGAGCCTTGCGGGCCCGCACCCACGTGGGGCGGGCGGAACCCCGCCGGAGCGGGGACACTGCGTCCGCCATACTGTGCCGCCGGCCGCTGCCTCGCAACAATCTCGCGAGATCTCGTCGATCGCGCGGGGGCCAAGCTTGCTGCTTGTACAAGCGGTTGCGGAACAGCTCGCGCCCTCTGCCGACGGCCTCCGGGAGTGCATCGGGAGCTCCGCAGATTTGAGGAACCCTAGTGTCTTACGGTGAACCCCCATTTACATTATGCAAAAGTTCCACCCGGGACGACTGCAAGCGAAAGCCAGAAACTCTGCGCCCAACCACGGGGCCACCTTTCCGGAAATCCACCTGAGCCTTTTCTTTTCCCCTGCAGAAAAAGCCCCGGGACTGCCATTTTAAACAAATTTAGACTATTTGCATACCTTAAGTTTGCATGTATTTGTCTCTGGCTTGAAAGGAGGGACCCTGGATAACAATTCTCAAGTATGACGATTCGCTCAATATTTCGTGGTTAGAAAACTGAGGACTGGGGGTAGGGATCTCAACTCAAAGCCCTGTCTCATTTGGTAACCTGAAGCCAGGGTAAAGAGTTCTAAAAACCAGCACCTTCTGGGACACAATGGACCTTATCTGTGGTACCAGTTACTAATAAAGGCAGGAGGGGAAAGCAGGAAGATCGCCTGGGTTGGGAAGTTCAAGACCAGTCTCAGAAACATAGCAAGACCCTGTGTCACTGGATGGTGTATGTCTGTAATCGCACCACTCAGGAGGCTGAGGCAGGAGGATCACGTTAGTAACTCTAACCTTAAATTCTAAGCTAGCCTGAGCTACATAGTGAGACCCTGTCTCAAACAAAAACCGAAATAAAACCAGCCTGCAGGTCCCTGACAGCAACTCACCACGCCCTGGGCCTCACGACACCCAGGGAAGCAATGTCCCAGCCTCTGTCTCTCTTCTTGAGCCGTAGCAAGGGCAGAGACCATAACGTCCAGAGGAGGGGTCGCTAGGCACCACCTGGTTTGCATCCCTGCCCTGGCCCTGCCCAGTTCCTGAGTGGAACTGCAGGCCTGGAAAGCCAAGAGAAAACAGTCTGCAGTCTACCAGGCTTCAGTCCCACCCCTGTCGGGGGCAAGAAGCTGCCAGGTGTCTGGGCAGCTACCATTTGTCCTCGTCAGAGAGTGCCCTCGGCCATGCCGGGCACAGGGGCACCGGGCCAGTGTGTTCCTCGGGTGACTCACCTGCTCTGTCTGCTGCTGACCCTGACCTGCTGCCGGGCTCTCAGCTGCCGGGAACCAGCCTCATCCCCTGACTTCACCCTCCCGGGTGATTACCTCCTCGCCGGCCTGTTCCCCCTCCACAGTGACTGTCTGTACGTGAGACGCAGGCCCCAGGTGACCCTCTGCGACAGGTAGGTGAGGGGCCCTGAGGGTGGCTTCGGGGGCCCTGTGGCTGCGGGGCCTCCTGTCTGCTTCTGCACTATCCCCTGAGCTACTGTCCTGACCCCTCCATATCCAGCTACAGTTGCCACCTCTGAGTGTCGGCCACACCCAAGGAAACCCGCCAGCAGCTGCGTCCTGTTCTGTCCCTGCTGTCTGTCGCTAGGCACTGTATCCTAACTCCATCCTGTGCCCTGGCCCTATGCCCGATGGCAAGAGTGGTCCCCAGGGGGCGGGAGAGAGCCGCTTCCGCACTTACCAAGGGTGCATTGTGTAGAACTCAGAGACTGAGACTGAGAAAACCTAGTGCTTTTCTTTGTCGTTGTGGTACCGGGGCTGAACCCAGAGCCTTCACACTGAGGTTCATCCCCAGACCTTTACATTTGGAGGCAGGGTCTTGCTAAATCTCTAAGTTGTCCAGGCTGGGCTTGAACCCACCATCCTCCTGCCTCAGCCTCCTGAAGGATGGGATGACAGGCCTGCACCTCCACACTTGGCTCTGGTTTTCTTGTAAAGAAGTCACTGGCTACTGGGGTCTCAGGCTGGCCCTCATCTCAATGAGTGGATGGCGATTGGCTTTGAGAGACACCAGTAGGGGCTGTCCAGGAAGGTCAGAACTGTCTCAGGCATAAAGACAAAGATCTCCATGGGACAGCTCCTATTTGGTTTTCAAACAAAGGAAGGGGCTATCAAGGCAGGGTGGGAGCTGGGCAGGACCTTGGGAGTCAGTTCTAAGACATCCCCCTGCAGGACTTTGCCCCTTAGGAGACCGTCTGCTTCTGCTCCTGGGTAGGGGTGTCAGCAGCCCAGCTGCTGGCTGTGGTGTCATCTTGACTTCAGAGCGCTGTGCACTGGACTTTCCAGCCCGGCCGGACATCTCTGTGCTGCAACACCCCCATATCCAGCTGGGGCTCCCACAAGTGTCTGTGCACTGCATGGAGCCCTGAGGCTCAAGGGTGCTGCCGGCCCAGGAGGAAGAGATCCTGATGGATGAGGCCCAGGCCAGAGAGCTGCAGACAGGGGAGCTGGGAGAAGGGGTGGCAGAAAGGACAGGAGAGCAGCAGCCCCAGATGATGACAGGAGGGCATCCACACAAAGCGCACAGCTTCCTCTGAGCAAGGCAGGACCGGAGTGGTGGAAGCAGGGAGGCCATGGACCAGATGTCATGAAGTAAAGGTGCCAAGGCACACAGACATTTGGCATGTCAAACCTTGGCCCCCGTGTTGCTGTGAAGGTGTTTTACAGAAGAGATCATCCTATGTCTTCTGCCAGTACCAGGAGCAGGTGACTGACCTGCCAGTGTGGGTGGGCCTCGCCCAATCAGTTGAAGAACTTCAGCTACAAGGCCGGAGGTCCTAAAAAAGAGATTTCTGTTTGGACTTCAGATTGCAATGTGAACATGTGGCAGAGTATCTGGCCTGCTGGCTGAGTGTTCTGGGTTATCTGTGGGCCTGGTCCTTAGGTGTCTATCTCTCTGTCCCTCTGTGTCCTGTTTTCTTTCTCTGGAGAACCCTAGCTTCTGCTTTTTGCTACACAACTTCTCTTGTTGTTGGCAGTAGTGGTTTGGGTTTTTTTTTTTTTCTGACTCAGGGTCTCCCTTTGTAGTTCAGGCTGGTCCTCCTGCCTCAGCCTCCTGACTGCTGGGAGTACAGGCTTGTACCACCATGCCTGGCACACTACAGGACTCCTGTGCCTTCCAATCCTAATGTGCTCCTCTGAGAGGGGCCCGGGGAGGAAGTGGTATTTCTCCGTCACGTGCCTGGCCCCTTCCCAGGCCTGTCCACACCTCCTGAGGCTGTGTGTAGCTCTGGGACCTGTGCTGAGGACGTACTTGGGCCCGGGAAGATGAACCCAGAGGTCCCTTCCTAGCATCAACCCCTGAGGGGTGCTGAAATGCTGACGACCCAGGGACACCTGGACCCCTCACTCTTGTTGGGGTCTCCCCCCAGGCCTGACAGCTTCAACGGCCACGGCTACCACCTCTTCCAGGCCATGCGGTTCAGCGTGGAGCAGATAAACAACTCCACAGCGCTGCTGCCCAACGTCAGCCTGGGGTATGAGCTGTACGACACATGCTCCGACTCGGCCACAGTGTACGCGGTGCTGCATGCGCTGGCCCAGCAGGGGACGAACCACGTGGAGATCCAGGAAAACCTGTACCGCTACTCCCCCAAGGTGGTGGCGTTCATTGGGCCCGATGACACGGAGGACTCGGCCACTGCCGCCGCCCTGCTGAGCCCCTTCCTGGTGCCCCTGGTAAGCTGCAGCCTCCTCGGCTGGTGGCGGGCGCTGCTGTGCCCTCTGAGGCTGGTCTGGGCCCTGGCCTCTGGGAAGATCCTGCTTTAATCCCTTGTCTTCTCTCCAAGGATGACTTCGGGTCTCCCCGTGTCGTGTCCACCCTCCTGGGGACCTCCTGCCCTGCCTCACACCATAGCTCCCTCCTGTTCACAGTGGACACCCTTGCCTCTCCCGCCCCGGCCTCCTCTCTTCCCTCACCCTGTGGAGCCTTTCAGTTTCCCCAGACTGGGTTTCCTAGAGGACCCTGTCATCTGCTGGTGGTTCCCAGTTCTGTCTCCTTCTGGAAGCTACGACACCTTCTAGACTTCGCAGTCCAGCGAGCACTTTCTGGGCTTCTCTATCTCACATGACTTCTTTTTCTTTCTGAACCAGGTCTTCACGCTCAGCCCCATCCCTACCCCCCTTTTTGGTCTTTTTGAGACAGGGTCTTGCCATGCAGTTCAGGCTGTGTAGCCCAGGTGGGTCTCAAACTGGCAAAGATCCTCCTGCTTCAGCCTCCTGAGTGCTGGGATTATAGGTGCCACCACACGTGGCATCCTCTCCCCTTTTGAGTCAGGGTCTTGCTTTGTATAGTTCAGGCCGACCTTCAACTCCTGGAGAATCTCCTGCCTGAACCTCCCGAGGACTGTGGCCACCAACCTGGCTTTTATTTATGTATTTCTAAGATAAGTTTTTCCTAACTTGTTCAGTTGCCTAGGCTGGGCTCAAACTTTCCATCCTCCTGCCTCTTAGAAAGCTGAGATTACCGGCCTGTGCCACCACGCCCAGTGCATTTTGCATCATTTGTGACTGTTGAGGCCAGCCCTCTTCTCTCCCAGGTTGGCTCGGCCGCCGCTCCCACTCCGCCTCCTCTCTCCCTGCTGCACTCTCCCCTCCACAGGCTCCTCCTGTCCTGCAGGGGGCGCCGTCTTCCTGCACCTCCCTGCCCAGCTGGTGGCTGGTGTCCTCCTCTCCCCTGAAGCTAGAAAGGCGGCGGCCCCAGCTGGCCACACTCCTCTGCCCTTGTCCCCTACCCTGCCTCTGTTGCCAAGGCCTCACCTTCTTCCTTCTGGATGCCCCCGGTGCCCCTCTTCACTGCCCCAGCTTTCATGCTATCGCCCTCTATTGTGCCAACCTCGTCCCCACCATCACCCCCATCTGGGTGACCTGCCAGCCTCCTGGGGGCTCCCCACCCTTCCCACCACGTCCTCAATGAAGGGAGAGACGCACCCCCCAATTATTGGTTGACAAGGGCCACTTCTTGGGGAGCAACCCCTGGGTTCCTCACAGCTTACAGGATGAGGGATAAGAGCCTCAGTTTGAGAGTTAAGCCCTCCTCCTTGCCCTACTGTGACAAAGGCCCTTGTCCGGAGCAAAATCACAGGATCGTACCTCACTCCCTGTGCTCCAAGCACAGGCTCCCCGATATATCCGTAAAGTCCACGAAGCCGATCCCTACACCCTACAAGGACCCCCCTCCTTGCTGGCGCCTATGCCGTTCTGGGCTCTGGTCTCCTGTGTCAAGGCCAGCTCTTCTGGTCTCCATCCTCGCTGTGTCCCCACACCCAGCACAGGCCAGGGCACTGGGGGGGTCTCTGGTCACAGTTGCTGCTGCTGACCTGACTGAACGGGCCCCCACAGATCAGCTACCAGGCCAGCAGCACGGTGCTCACCGCGAAGCGGCTGTACCCCTCTTTCCTGCGGACTGTCCCCAGCGACAGGTACCAGGTGGAGACCCTGGTGCTGCTGCTGCAGAGGTTCGGGTGGGTCTGGATCTCCCTGGTGGGCAGTTTTGGTGACTATGGGGAGCAGGGGGTGCAGTCACTGGAGGAGCTGACCACGGAGCGGGGTATCTGTGTCGCCTACAAGGGCATCGTGCCTTTCTCTGCCCATGTGGGCGACGCAGCAATGCAAAGCATGATGTACAGCCTGGCCCGGGCCAGGACCACCGTGGTGGTGGTCTTTGCCATCCGCCGGCTGGCCAGAGTGTTCTTTGGCTCTGTGATGCTGGCCAACCTAACTGGCAAAGTGTGGATCGCCTCAGAAGACTGGGCCATCTCCACACACATCAGCGGGATGTCCGGCATCCGGGGCATTGGGATGGTGCTGGGGGTGACCATCCAGCATCGGTCCATCCCTGGCCTGGAGGAGTTTGAAGAGGCCTATGCCCGGGCAGACAAGGGGGCTCCAAGGCCTTGTCCCAGGGGCTCCTGGTGCAGTACCAATCAGCTCTGCAGAGAGTGCCAAGCCTTCACAGCACACAGGATGCCCCTGCTGGGGCCCTTCTCCATGGCTTCTGCCTACGAAGTGTACCGGGCGGTGTATGCTGTGGCCCACGGCCTTCACCAGCTCCTGGGCTGTGCCTCTGGCTCCTGCTCCCGGGGCCGAGTCTACCCCTGGCAGGTAAGTTCCAGACTCCTACATCAGGGAGAGCAGCCCATCCTGAGACACACAGAGGGGGTACCCTCCATGCCCCAGAAATCAGAAGGGCTCAAAAAAGAGATCTGTCTCTAAACAAGTCCTTGGTAGCCAGTTGTGGTGGGACAGGCTTGTAATCCTAGCACTTTGCAGGCTGAGGCAGGAAGATCACTACACGTTCACGTTCAAGGCCAGCCTGAGCCACATAATGAGTTCAAGACCAGTCTGAAGTACATAGCAGACACTGTCTCAAAAGACAAAACAAATAACCAAAGGTGTCCTTTGCTAGCAGCCTTTCCTTAGGAGGCTGGTGGGGAGAGCCAGCAGCTTAGGAGGGGAGGGGCCTCCGAGGAAGGGACCCCTCTCTCTGAAACATCCAGTCTACGTGGCCTGTGGTGGCTTCAGGACATTTGTTGCAGCTTCTGGAGCAGATCTACAAGGTGAATTTTCTTCTGCACGAGGACACTGTGACATTTGACAAAAATGGGAACTCCTTCAGTAACTATAACATCATTGCCTGGGACTGGAGCGGGCCCAACTGGACCTTCAGGGTCATCGGCTCCTCGACATGGCCCCCTGTCCAGCTGGATATAAACAAGACCAATATTCCGTGGCATGGAAAGGACAACCAGGTAACAGGAATGTGGTCACTCACCAGGTGGCTGCCATAAGACAGGAGGAGCTTGGTTGAGTTTATCTTTCTTTTTGGTACCGGGACTTGAACCCAGGACCTTATGCTTCCCAGGCAGGGACTGTGCTGCTGAGCTATATCCCTGGCCCAAGATAGGGGCTTGGAAATGATGTTCAGCCAGAGTGGGAAAGGAACCTATGAGCTGTCCCTTGACCCGGGACCCTCTGTGTGGTGGAGAACGCCTGTGGCTTTTTTTTTTTTTTCTTTTTCCCTTTTATCGGTACCGGGGATCGAACTCAGGACTGCCTGCTTGCAAGGCAGGCGCTTATGCTGCTGAGCTAACCCCCAGCCCCTACGCCTGTGGCTTCCTACAGGTGCCCTCGTCGGTGTGTACCGAAGACTGTACCGAAGGGCACCATCGCGTGGTTTGGGGTTTCTTCCATTGCTGTTTCCAGTGTGTTCCCTGTGAGGCTGGGACCTTCCTCAACAAGAGTGGTGAGTGACGGGGGGGCCGGCACTCTCAGGGTCTGCGCAGCAGGTGCAGGACCTCGCTCAGGCCCATGGTGACACCCAGCCCAGAACCAGGGCTGCCAGTGGGGTACAGGCTGGAGGGCGTCTGTCTCTAGACTGAATTCCGATCAAGCAGGGGGAAACAACAGACTAAAAGCCACAGACCAAGGTGTGTCCTCCACTAGAGAGATTGGTCGTGTCATAGCTCCTGCAGGTCACCTCATCTTGAATTCAATCTCTTTCTCCAGGTACTGTTTCCTTGGTACTAACCCACTCACCTCTCTAAAGTCTCTTCTATTGCCTGTGCCAAAGACAGCCAGCACCTTAGCTGCTTGGCCAGTAGCATATCCACAGTAGAAATTGTTCACTGTTCCTGCCTTGCATGTGTGCGGTCATGAGTTCGATCCCTGGTACCAATAAAAACGAAAAAGACAAAAAAGAAAGAAAAGAAAAAGAAATTGGCCAGTGTCTCACTCAATGATGCAAGGGACAGTTCAGAGAGGAAATTAGGTAGCTAGAGCTGGATTCCAGAAACTACAGAGGACAGGATGCAAATGCCCTTCCTTTTTTTTTTTTTTTTTTTTGTACTGGGGATTGAACTCACAACCTCACACTTGGCAGGTAGGTGCTTATACTGCTGAGCTAAATCCCCAGCCCCCAAAATGCCCTTCCTTTAGGGCTGGCTGGTTACTGGATGCAGACAGAGATACCCTGTAAAGCCCTGCTTGCAAAGCACTTTTGGAATCTGAGCCATGTAGAACCTCCCTGTGTGTCCCAGAGTCCATAATTAACATGGGCAGTGGAGGAAACCCCTGGCCTCAGGCCCTGTTGCTCTCACTATGCCTTGAAGCTCAAGGTGTTTGGTGCAACTCCTCCAGCACAGTCTCGCTTCCCCAGCACAACTCTGCTCTCCTGGTTCTCAGGAACCTTCTCTGCTGTGCTTTTCAGATCTCTACCACTGCCAGCCTTGTGGGAGAGAAGAGTGGTCGCCTGAGGCCAGCCATACCTGCTTCCCACGCATCGTGTTGGTTCTGACTTGGCATGAGCCCATCTCTTTGGTGCTGTTAGCAGCTAATACACTGTTGCTGCTGCTGCTGCTGGCTACTGCTGGTCTGTTTGCCTGGCACCTGGACACCCCTGTAGTGAGGTCGGCTGGGGGTAGGCTGTGCTTCCTCATGTTGGGGTCCCTGACAGCGGGCAGCTGCAGCCTCTACAGCTTCTTTGGGGAACCCACACTATCTGCGTGCCTGCTGCGCCAAGCCCTCTTTCCCCTTAGTCTTACCATTTTCCTGTCCTGCCTGACGATTCGCTCCTTCCAACTGGTCATCATCTTCAAGTGTGCCACCAAGGTGCCCACGTCCTACTATGCCTGGGCCCGAAACCACGGAGCTGGACAGTTTGTGATGCTCAGCTCAATGGCCCAGCTGCTCATCTGTCTAATCTCGCTTGCGGTGTGGACCCCACTGCCCACCAGGGAATACCAGCGTTTCCCCCAGCTGGTGGTGCTAGAGTGCACAGAGACCAACTCGCCAGGCTTCCTGTTGGCTTATATCTACATTGGCCTCCTCTCGGTCAGTTCCTTTGCCTGCAGCTACCTGGGCAAGGATCTGCCAGAGAACTACAACGAGGCCAAATGTGTCACCTTCAGCCTGCTCCTCAGTTTCGTATCGTGGATCACCTTCTATACCATGTGTAGTATCTACCAGGGCCAGTACCTGTCCGCGATCAACGTGCTGGTCAGGCTGACCACCCTGAGTGGCGGCTTCAGCGGCTATTTTCTCCCCAAATGCTATGTGATCCTCTGCCGCCCAGACCTCAATAACACGGAGCACTTCCAGGCCTCCATACAAGATTACACGAGGCGCTGCGGCTCCACCTGAGCTGGGGGACAGGTGGGGCCGACGAGGCAGGGCAGACAATAAGCTTCCCCTGCCGGATGGGTTGAAGGCCAGCTGGCCAAGGGCCTGCGGGATCTTCAGTCTTGACTCGCGATGTGTAAACCCTCGGGAAAGTCCAGCCCCAGGCTCCAGGCTGCCAATAAAGAAGTGAAAAGTGTGCTTGCGTCTTAGCTTTGCGGAAAGTGTTTCACTTTTAGTCTGAACTCCGAGCTCAGACTGCCCAGAGCCCAGCTTGGCGTTGCCAGGCAACTCCGGAATGCGGGATTCGCGCAGCGGAAGTGGACCTGGCCCGCCTCTTCTAATCTCATTGGCTATTCTCTTGGTCCCGCCTCCAGGGGCAGTACTACGAAGTTTACGCTTCGGAGGCGCTGTGCGCCTGTCGGCGCGCTCTGGCGTCACTTCCGGCGCTCCGCCGGCAGCGTCTCCGCACGGTGGGCTGGGCACGTCGTGCCGGGGTAGTTTGGTGGGTAGGTTGAGGCAACGATCCAGCGGTGGCTAGTGCAGCGGGCCTGGGGAATATTGGCTTTGGTGAGGCGGGAACAGGGCACAGGAGTGGGGCTTCGGGGTGCTGATGCGACTGATGGTAACGTGGTCGCGGTCGCCTTCCGCTGGCAGCTCGCGCTTTGTGGGCGCGGCGTGGGCTCTGTTCACCTGTGCATGGCCGCCGCCCTCCCCCAGTTAGGGTCCCCTTGCTGTGCCCGGCGAATTCTCTCTCATCTGTCCTTCGCCTCCTTTTGCCAAGTTTGGTTTTTCCACCAGCACCCACCCCTTTATGACCCTGTGCTAGTCCTGCCATCCCTCCTGTCCCGCACCCTTCTCCCTGGCCGGCCCTCTCTGCCAGCTCCCGGGAGGAGGCTGGCAGTCGGTTCCCGCCCTCCTCCTGCAAGTTCTAACCTTGATGCACACCCTTGTTCTGATCTGCGTGCTTGAGGATTGTCTCACCTCACCTTTCTCCCTGCCGGAATCCAGGAACTCTGTTTTGCTTACTCCGTTGGGCTGCCCAGGATGTTACTTCTGCCTTCCTCTTTCTTCTCCAGGCCATGGATGGCTCCTTCGTCCAGCACAGTGTGAGGGTTCTGCAGGAGCTCAACAAGCAGCGGGAGAAGGGCCAGTACTGCGACGCCACCCTGGACGTGGGGGGCTTGGTGTTCAAGGCACACTGGAGTGTCCTTGCCTGCTGCAGCCATTTCTTCCAGAGCCTCTATGGGGATGGGTCAGGGGGCAGTGTTGTCCTTCCTGCCGGTTTCGCGGAGATCTTTGGCCTCCTTCTGGATTTCTTCTACACTGGACACCTTGCCCTCACCTCAGGCAACCGGGATCAAGTGCTCCTGGCAGCCAGGGAGTTGCGAGTGCCAGAGGCCGTGGAGCTGTGCCAGAGCTTCCAGCCCAAAGCCTCAGTGGGACAGGCATCGAGTGGCCAGAGTGGGCCGGGGAACCCTGCCTCTCAGGATGCAGACAGCCACCTTGAGGAGTCGATGAACTTGGAGGAAGAGGAAGGTTCAAGGACTCTGGGCCTGGTTCCCAGGGATCAGGAGCCCAGGGACAGTCACAGCCCTGAGAGGCTCCAGCTCAGTTCCCCTGCTAAGGCTGAGAGCCCCTCCTTCCTCCATGGGAAACTCAAGCAGGCTGTAAAGCCTTGTCCCGCAGAAGACAAGGAACCTGATGACTGCGAAATGCCTACGAGGCCCTTGGAGGCTGAAGGTGCCCAGCTGCAGGGCGGGAGTAATGAGGTACTGTGCCTCGGGGGTGCTGGAGCTGGGGTGTAGGACTAAGGGAGGAGGAGCGGACACTTCTCCTGGGTGATTGGAACCCCAGAGTAAATCTTCCTTGTGAGAAGCAGACTTTCTTTAAATGTAGCAAGCTGCTGGCCTCAGGTAATCTGCAGTCACAGCCATCTGTGGTTGCCAGCGTCATCGGGGATTGGGTGGGCAGGGTTTTCCCTAGGGGCATAAAGTCTGGCCAGGCTTCCTGTTCCTCGTAAATGTAGGCACTTACTCCTCCAGTCCAAGATTCAGCTGTTATCTCTCTGGGACCCAGGGCTGACCAGCTCCTGAAGTTGGGGCTTGGGTGCAATTAGAGCTGGGTCCTCATAATCCCTGCTGATTAGTTTAGTGATCCCCCCTCCTTCCTGCTGCCTCTTCTGCTGTAGTGGGAAGTGGTGGTTCAAGTTGAGGACGACGGGGATGGCGATTACGTCTCGGAGCCCGAGAGTGTGCTTATCAGGAGGAAGTCGCACGTAACCAGAAAGCCCTGTGCTGCCGAGCCAGCCTTGGGTTCAGGTTCCCTAGCGGTTGAGCCCCCTGAGAACAGAAGAGGGACAGCAGTGCCTGTTGAGTGCCCCACGTGTCATAAAAAGTTCCTCAGCAAGTACTACCTAAAAGTCCACAACAGGTAAGCACTCTTGTTTCTCTCTCTTTCCCCATCTGCCATTCCTTGTGGGGGAAGTGTGCTTCTGAGCTCTGCAGGGCTGGGCCCGTGTCTTGGGTCTGTGTAGTGCCAGGTGCTGGCATGCTTGTGTAAGGGTGCAAGCACCTCGCTGGGAGTCTGTGGTTCAGAAGTAGGTGTGTGGACACCTTGCCAACAGTTCCCAGCTGCCATGGACTTTGACTCCAGGCTGGCTTCTGCCAGAGGCATGAGAGGAACCTTCGGGCCTCTGAGCTGGAGGCCTGACCTTAGGTGTTTCCAGAGGCTGCCGGTGAGGTCTTCGGGCTAAAATGCTGCACTTCTTTTTTTTTTTTTTTTTTTTTTTGTCTTTTGTCTTTTTGAGATGGGGTCTCACTCTGCAGTTCAGACTGGCCTTGAGTTCACTTTGTAACCTAGGCTGATCTCGAATTTACAGAGTGCTGGGATTACAGACATGTGCTACCATGCCCTGAAAGCTCTGGGATATTAATGGATTTTCACAGCCTGTGTGTCAGGGTCAGGGATGTAGCTCTGTGGCATAAGCACCTACCTGGCAAGTACAAGGTCCTGAGTTCAATTCCTGGTATTGAAAGAAAGAAAGAAAGAAAGAAAGAAAGAAAGAAAGAAAGAAAGCTTTTTAAAGCTGCAGCATCCAGTAAGGTAACCAGTAGCCTGTGCAGCTATTTTAAGATTTTTTTTTTTTTTTTTTTTTTGTCTTTTTCGTTTTTATCAGTACCAGGGATCGAACTCACGACTGCCTGCTTGCAAGGCAGGCACTTATGCCGCTGAGCTAAATCCCCAGCCCCTCTGTGCAGCTATTTTAATTTAAAATCAACTGAAGTTAAGCCAGGCTGGTGGTGTGTGCCTATAATCTCAGTGTTCAGGGTTATGCACAAGTTCAAGTCCAACCTGGGCAGCTCAGGGACTTGCTGAAACCCTTCTCAAAAAAGTAAGAGACCGGGGCTGGGGATTTAGCTCAGCCACATAAACTCCTGCTTGCCAACGCGCAGTTGTGAATTCGATCCCTAGTAATGATTAAAAAAAAAAAAAAAGGTAAGAGACCACTAGGGGAATGTTGGTCAGTGTGAAGACACTGTATTCATCCTTTCCAAATAGCAGTGTAAATAAATTAATAGTTAAATTACCAAAATTGACTAAATTTAGGACAGCACAGGGCATTTCCCTGGACGGTTACGTGCCCAGTCCCGCTGTTACCAGCCCAGGAGTTTGTTACCCAGCCAGGCTATGCTATGTACCTGTTCACAGTGCGACACTCTGGGAAGCTGCGAATGATTGCCTGGAGTTGGACATAGGCAGGAGACTCGGGTTGCCATACCCCTGCTGGGCCTTGTGGTGGCTGACATCTGTGAGGTCCTAGGCTGCCCCAGTGTGTGGGAATCCTGGTGCTTCCCAGTTCTTCCCAGATGCTCCAGGCACTTGGCGGGCTGGGCAGTCTCCATCGGTCCCTGCCTTGGGTATGGTGGCAGGTGGCCCTGAGAACTAGGAGGGAGTGTTGGCATCACAGGGGACAGTGCCAGCTGATGTGTGACAGAGGATGAGAGAAGAGCTCGGCCTCTGCCAGGTTGCCAGGGCTTTCCCAGCATGGCCCAGAGGCTCTGAGGTCAGGGTTCATTCAGTTCCTTCCTCTAGCACATGGCCCAGTGGTTGAGAGACTCTTGGGGCCCTCAGCAGACAAAGAGGACCCCATGGCAGGGTGACAGAGGTGAAGACATAAGCCAGCAAGTCAGTTGGCGGCCTGGTAGGGCAGTGGGTCAGAGTGTCAGGTGGTCCCTCTGAATAACCATGCCTGGGAGCTTTCCTGGGGCTGAGGCTTGAACAAGGGCTTGAAGGGAGAGGACCGTGCACGTGGGGAAGGGTTCCCAGCAGAGATCCCCATCTGTGGTAGCCACTTGGCGCCCTGGGTGAGGAGAGTGGGAGACCCTGAGCTCTGCAGCCATGGCCTCTCCTCCTGGCAGGAAGCACACTGGGGAGAAACCCTTCGAGTGTCCCAAGTGTGGGAAGTGTTACTTCCGGAAGGAGAACCTCCTGGAGCACGAAGCCCGGAACTGCATGAACCGCTCGGAGCAGGTACTCGGGAGCTGGCTCAGGTACCTGTGGATGTGGACGGGGCACAAGTCACCTGGGAAGGGCCCTAGGGGACATCAGTGATAGGGACTGTGACAGAGCGGCAGGGTCCTTGGATGTCATGGAGTCTGGGGCTTGGTACTGGAAGACCCAGGTCCTGAGGGACAAGCCTGGAAGGACATGATGGGAGGCCTTTTGGGGGTGCTTGGCCCAGCCCGGCCTCTGACGCTGGAGTAGGGTGTTGAGGGCTGCTGGGGGGAGTCGTCAGGCACCTTGTGGCTCTGCTGCTGTTCCTTGTGTCGTTTTCCTGGAGGTCTGTTGGTGACAGCTGGGCCAGGGAATGGGGGGGGCCCAGGGCCTGAACGGGGCCTGGCATGTGGTCATGTGCAGCGGTCAGGACAGGCAGGTTACATGTCACCCTCTCCTACCCTAGCACCCCCCACCCCAGGCAGACTTCCCAGCAGCGAGCGCAAGCCCGGCAGAGGCTGCCGCAGCAGGCAGACGCCCCCGCTGATGCCGGCCCTGCCTGCCCCTCGCACTGCCAGGTCTTCACATGCTCCGTGTGCCAGGAGACCTTCCGCCGGAGGATGGAGCTGCGGGTGCACATGGTGTCGCACACGGGGGAGATGCCCTACAAGGTCAGGCTCAAGGCTTCGCAGGGCTTCGCAGGGCTGTGGGGGAGAGGGAGCCCAGGCACCTGTCCCTTGCTGGCCGTCATGCCTCTCTCCCTGCCCGCCATCTATGGACTCCGAATCTGTGCACAGGGTCACTGGCCAGCACCTCACTTCCAGGCTGTATTCCGGGCTGGTCCCCTTCCATGGAGGGCAGGCTCTGCATCCCTGTGGCCGACCACACAGGGTCCTCCTGGGTCTTGGGCTGTGTGGTGACTTGGGCTCTGTTTGTAGTGCTCCTCCTGCTCCCAGCAGTTCATGCAGAAGAAAGACCTGCAGAGCCACATGATCAAGCTGCACGGAGCCCCCAAGCCCCACGCAGTAAGTGCTGGCTAGGGCTGGGGCCAGTGGGACTGAGATGGCCCGGGTGGACAGAGGCCCTGTGGTTTCTGCCTGTGGTGGGCAGTGGGGGCCCGTGGGGCTCCCAGGCAGACCTGCCCTGTCCTCATCTGGCCCTAGTCCCTCTGCCTATCCCGCCCGCCTGCAGTGCCCCACCTGCGCCAAGTGCTTCCTCTCTCGGACTGAGCTGCAGCTGCATGAGGCCTTCAAGCACCGCGGGGAGAAGCTGTTTGTGTGCGAGGAGTGTGGGCACCGGGCCTCGAGCCGCAACGGGCTGCAGATGCACATCAAGGCCAAGCACAGGTGTGGCGGGTTCGCACCACACGGCAGCTGGGTCCTGGGGCGGGCAGCGGCCGCGCTCCAGATGGTACGCTTTCATGAGAGCCCAGGAAGCGCACTCTGCCTCCTGAGGAGGGGCGCATACTCTCGCCTGCCCTACTGCCCCGCTCCAGCATGGCAGCGCCGCCTCCTGCCCGGAAGGGCACAGGCCCCATTGCCCCATGCACCCCCAGCCATGTCAGAGTGCAAGGGGCCACTTCCTTCCATGATGGTGCTGCCGCATGTCCCCTCCCCACAGGAACGAGCGTCCGTACGTGTGTGAGTTCTGCAGTCACGCCTTTACCCAAAAGGCGAACCTCAATATGCACCTGCGCACGCACACAGGGGAGAAGCCCTTCCAGTGCCATCTCTGCGGCAAGACCTTCCGCACCCAAGGTGAGGCCCCCGGACCCCGCAGCCCAGGCCCAGGCTGGGGCCAGCACTGAGCCCCGCCCTGTCCCCTGCAGCCAGCCTGGACAAGCACAACCGCACCCACACGGGCGAGCGGCCCTTCAGCTGCGAGTTCTGCGAGCAGCGCTTCACGGAGAAGGGGCCCCTCCTGAGGCATGTGGCCAGCCGCCACCAGGAGGGCCGTCCCCACTTCTGCCAGATCTGTGGCAAGACCTTCAAAGGTACCTGGCTGGGGGTGTGCTCAGGGAGGCAGGAGCCCCAGCCAGCATGGCATTTCTGTCTCCTTTGGGCGGCCGGGGACCCTGCCACTCTCCTGCCATCCCTCCTGCAGCCGTGGAGCAGCTACGCGTACATGTCAGGCGGCACAAGGGGGTGAGGAAGTTCGAGTGCACGGAGTGCGGTTACAAGTTCACACGGCAGGTAGGCAGGGCCCCGGGTCCCCCTGCCCCTGGGCTGCCCGCGCCCTGACCCGCACTCCCCCCAGGCCCACCTGCGGAGGCACATGGAGATCCACGACCGCGTGGAGAACTACAACCCGCGGCAGCGCAAGCTCCGCAACCTGGTCATCGAGGACGAGAAGATGGTGGTGGTGGCGCTGCAGCCACCTGCGGAGCTGGAGGTGGGCTCAGCCGAGGTCATCGTGGAGTCCCTGGCCCAGGGCGGCCTGGCCGCCCAGCTCCCTAGCCAGAGACTGTGTGCTGAGGAGGGCTTCGCCGGCCCGGGTGTCCTGGAGCCCTCGCTCATCATCACGGCTGCGGTGCCCGAGGACTGTGACACATAGCCCGCTCTGTCCTCTGGGCGCAGTCCCAATAAACCTGCAGTTTTGGACCTGCTTGTCCCCGCCTGTCTGCACTCTGTTCCCCAGTTTCCCCTGAGCCACAGGCCAGACCTCAGTGGGGCGTCTCTTGCCCCCACTTGGACCTCCAGTGGGGCCCCAACCTGCCTTCCTGTGGCCCTCAGGGCTTAGCCCCCTCCTTGGGAGACATCAGCAGAGCAGGACATGGCTGGACAGCCTTTGAGTCTAGGGTCTTCTCTTCTGTTTGTTCAGGAGCCCGAGCTAGGCTCGCTGGCCGCAGGACTTGGCAGGGCTTCGTTTTAGTGGAGGTGATGGGGACAGAACTTGGTCCTAGGCCTCTGGAGTCAGGGTGGAGTAGACGGGGACTGATGGATGGCCTTGGTGGCCAGGTCGAGGCTCCCCTACCCTCTTCTGTGAGAAAAGCCTGGGGCCAATCTGAGCCATAGCTGAGCGTACTTGGGAGCCTGGCTGCCAGGTGTGAGACTCAGAACGCTCCCTGGTTGGCGCCTGCCCTCCTAGCCTTTCCCAGGGGAACCTCACGTCCGCATGGCCAGGAGGCCTGGGGTGCAGGTAAGGCCAGGCCTCAGATGCAGGGGGACCCGGTGTCTCTAGGTTCTGTGGCCGTGTGCTGCAAGGCCCAGGGCACTAGGGCAGCCGGCTGTGGTCAGGGTCTCTTAAGCTCCTTTACAGCTGAGACTCTGGGCAAGTCCGGCTCCGTCTCTATCTCTCAGGAGAGTAGTAACAGGCTTCAGTCCCTCTGGACAGGAAACCATGCTGCAGGGTGTATGGCCTGCACATTGGCACGCACTTGTCATTCCTGGGAGCACTCCTGGAGGAGGATGCAGGAGGACTGCATGTTTGAGCCCAAGCCCAGGCAACTGAAGTGCCTTAGACCCATGTTAAAAAGTGGAGAAAAGATAAAAAGGCTGGGGATCTAAGTTGGTGTGACATCCCTGGGTTCAGTCCCTGGAGGATCTCATGGTGCTTTGGTGCTCCCCACGGGCCGGGGCCAAGGTCCTGGATGGCAGCGCTGGGCTGCCTCTGAGCGTGGTGAGCGAGTTGCAGCAGCAAATGTCCCACAAGCTGCAAGAGCACTAAAGGACCGAGTCCCTCCACCCCTGTGGCATCACCTCTGCCACATCTTGCTGGGTGAGGCAGTCACTGGTCAGGTGAAGAGGAGGGGACACAAACTGTCCCTCCTTGGCAGACTGCAGCAGTGGCAAGGGAGACCCTGTGCCCAGTGGCCCTGGGGCCAGGCTTCACCGAGTCCCCTCAACAGGATCCTGGGGTCCCACACGCCCAGGCTGATGCCCCTGGACATGGAGGCCAGAAGGAAGTTGGTTTTACACCCAGCCCGTCCACTTGTTTTCTCCTCTGCAGAACTGGCGATCGAGCCCATGCACCGGCACCGAGCTCCATTCCCCAGCGCTGGCTTAGTCAGGGTCTGGTTAGATCCTGAGGTGGCCAGGTTGGGCTCCAGCCAACCGTCTCTGCCTCAGCCTCCCGGGGTACAGGCCTTTCATTCCTTGGCTTTGGGAGCCCCCAGGGAGAGCACGAGTGCAGCAATGAGCTCAGCTGTGGCTTTTCTGTCCCACGTGGGTCACCAGGTGCCCCACTGACAGCGTCAGCCTAACATACACGAGGTGCTGGGCTGTGGCTTTATTCCCAGCTACAAGCTGGGCGCGGCAGTGCACCCCACACTCCCAGCTCTTGGGAGGCAAAGGGGTTCACGGGCAGTGGGGAAGACATGGCGAGACCTGTCTCAGCGTTGGGTTTGGCAGCCCAGGTCACCAGCCTCTCCTGGGGCTCACAGCCCTGTAGATGGGTGGCAGTTCATGCTGTCTGGGGTTCGAGCTCTGGGCCTTCACACTGAGCTGCTTCGTCTATCTCTGGCTCTTTTGGGCCTAAAATCCTCGAGATGGACTCAAACTTGTGACCTCCCCTCACCTCAGGCTGCCAAGAGTGCTGGGGGGGGGGTGGCTGGCCTGCCTGCCCCAGCCCGGGGCCTGTCCCCCTGCATCCGGGAACCCTGTTCCCTGCTCCAAACTGTCCCGAGGGCTCAGCTCTCCTCCCAGGCCCTTTCATTGACCTGCTTTATCTCCTGCCATGCCCCTCCACTGACGAGCAGGAAGATACAGGCAAAGATACCAAACGTATAGGAAATGTTTTTATTTCAAAAAGTATCGAAGGCATCCTAAAACCTGGAGACAAAACTCTGGAGACTTATGCCTACAGAACAGACAAAAATAAATACGCGTACGTGCCCACCCTCTGGGTGTGACTGCATGGACACTAGAGTCTCTGAAGTCATAAATACAGAAGACCTTACAGCTCAGCATTAAATACCGGTCACCGGACTTCCACAACTTAACGTCTTGTAGACTAAGTCCTGTGCCCAATGTCACGTGGGGGAAGGCCCCCATCCTTGGGTGGCCCAAGATCTGTTTCCCAGCCAGTGTGGAGACATCTATGGTGGTGGGGACCCCAGCACCCAGAGCCTGTGGCCGAGGAGGGGAGCCTGACTCCGGGCCCCCAGGTGGGACTGCAGGCTGGAGACCCTAAGGTGGAGGCAGCCCATGGTGCCTGCTCTTCCCATGTGTGGCCTTTCAAACCCAAAGCCTTGTCTTGGTGGTGGGGTCCTGGACAGCTCTGTGGCACAGACTGAAAGACACAGGCCCAGGCCCAGTCTGTGTGGCCACTAGGGACAGCAAGATGGCTGCCAGGCACAGTGAAGAGCAGGAACCTAGGGCCCTTCCTTTGGGAGCCTCCCAGTCCATTCCTGAGCCAACCGAGTACAAGTGTCCCCAACCAGATGGGACAGGGCTCACTTTCTAACACAACGCAGTGACACACACAGTGCATGGCACCAAACAGAGAAGGCAGGCACAGGAGGGCCTGCCTGGCTACCTGGGAGAAATTAAGACAGCAGCCCGTGACCTGGCGGCGACAGGGTTTGGGTACTGCTGGTTAGGTGACAGCGTCTGCGTGACGACTCACTTGGAGTCAGGTCACAGGAAAAAGGCCTTCCTGTCACCTGATGCAACCCTAACACCCTTCCCTGGAGAGGAGAGGGGGAGAGTCATGTGGTGGCCACTTTAGGCACCCTTCAGGGATCAAACTCCCTTCCCAGAGGTCGCCGAGGTCCCCGAGCTTTCTCTCCCTGGGCATTCCTGCTGCCACCTGCTCCTGCAGACAGCACTGGCAACAGCACTTCGTGGGACTAAAACTCAGCCAAGGTGACCTCAGCTCTGACTCCCTCTGCTCCCCCTTCTGATAAGAAGCAAGCTGCAAATCCACTGCGGCCGCCTTCTTCTCCGAGGAGGGTTCTTCTTACAGCCTGGGAGGGGGCTGGCTGGGTGTCAGACAGTGAGAGCCATGACCTTGCCCTGGGCGTCTGTCCTCTCCTCCCTGGGCCTGGGCTGAGGCCCAGGGTCGTCTCCTTGCACTGTGAGGTCTCACTGGCCAGTGTCAGGGTGCAGACCCAGCATCAGTCACAAGGCACTTGGGGGCCCCTCTGGACCCCTGCAGGCTCACACTCCTCAGTCACATCCTGCTTTGATGTGTGACCTCAGCAGGGGCAAGGAGCTAAGTCGGCCAGGCGGACTGCCTGCACAGGGGACACCTGGCACCCTACAGTATCCGTGGTCTGCTCGGTCCCCAACGCTCCAGGGCCAGCTGAAGGCAGGAGGGTCCACGCCATTCTTTGGCCCCCAAAGGGTGGTCTCATGGCCTCTGCCCCAACATAGGAGCAGGGGCTGTGGGAGGTGGCAGCAGGCGGGGTGTGAGCTGCATGAGTGAGCTGGGGGACCTCAGGGGCCAGAGACGGGGAGCAGTGCGGCAGTCACAGCTGGCCTGGCCCCAGCAGCTGTGACTCAGGCTCGAAGTGCACAGGAAACTCTCAGGCAGGGATGGAGCCCGGGCTGGCTGGGCTCTGCCCTGACACAGGTGCCCTCCCCGGGCCGGGCCGGGGCTAGTGCAGCCCATCGGGGTTCCGTGCTGGCGGTTGCCGGCCTGCATCATCGTCACCACTGCGACTGTCCAGCTCGAAGCCACGGCCACCCAGAGGAGTCTGTGGCATGAACTGGCGGAAGATGCTGACGCTGCTGTGCCAGAAGGTGGGCTCTGGGAGCCGCCCTACCACACTCCACGCTCGCGTCTCTGGGTCGTAGGCCTCCACTACATCTGAGAGCTCAAATGTGTTGTCGTAGCCACCTGACACATACAGCTTCCCGCCCAGGACGGCCAAGCTGCCGCCCACGTGCACCTGTGGAAGAGGGTTTGGGAGTGAGGGTTACAGCGGGGCAAATGGACACCATCCCACACCGAAGGTGCCAGCAACCAGGGGAGGCGAGGAACACACTGTCTCCAACGTAGTGCCAGTTGCCAACCTCGGGGGACGTCTTGGGAAGCACTGTGGCTGGGATGGGCTGGTGCCCTAACCTGGGGCTCCCAGTGCCCCAAACAGGGCCTGGTCTGCCAGGCAAACTCTGCCCTTGGTGGCCAGGGCACTTGTCCATGCTGCCACTAAGAATCTCCACATGGCTACCTGCATATATACAACCAAGCTCTCCATCTCACAGATGGGAAACTGAGGCTCGGAGGGCTGCCAGAGGCCAAGTGCCACTGACCTTCCCACTAAGTGAAAAAGACTCCAACCAGGCACTTGATAAATGGACTCCCAGGGTCAGTGAGGACTCCACCCAGAGCTCTCCCAGAGACAACTGCTTCGGGGAGCCCCACACAAGCCCCAGGCATACCCTGCCCCAAGGCCTTTGTCCTTGAGGTCAAAGGAAGCCCCTGTAAGACGGTGTGGCTAAGCTGGGCACAGTGGTGCAGTTATAATCCTAGGACTCAGGAGGGTGAGGCAGGAAGATTGCTGTGAGCGAGAAAGCAGCCTAGACTAGATGGGAGACCCTGTCTCACAGAAACACCTGGGTCTCGGCAAGCTGCAAGGTAAACCGAGGCAAACACCAACCTTCTGTTGTTTTTGTGTGTGTGTGCGCCAGGAATCGAACCCACAACCTTGCACGTTTGCCAAGCAGGCATTTACGGTGCTGAGCTGAACACCTGGCTCAACCTTCTGTTAAGGCAACACTTGGAGAGGAAGCAACAAGCACCCCCACCATGATGGTCCCCCAACACTGCCCGGGGCAGAACCCACAGCCTCACCTGATTCATAGATGGGATCTTGTCCCACTCATTCTTCATGGGGTTGTACACATCCACCTCTGCGGAGTCATCCCTGTGCAGGGACAAGGCTGGCAGTCAGGGCTGGGGGAGCCCCAGGGGTGCAGGGTACAGGGCAGGGCGGGATGGGGTCTCAGAGGCCTCAGGGACCCAGTTTCCTGAAGCCGTGTGGCTGTTCCCTTGTAGGTGGACGCTGTGTCCTGAACCCAGTCTTGACCCCAAACCCAAAGATCACCCTGCCAGTGAACACCCCTCCCAGCACAATGAGGGTGCCCCCACCCCATTTGGTGACAGGATCTCGCTGTTTGCTGCCCTCAAACTCGCAGTGATTCTCCTGCCTCAGCCTCCCCAGTGTGGGGACTGCAGTCGTGTGCCACTATGCTGGGCCTGTTCCCTGTTCTTGCTGCGGCTTCCTTTAGATCACAAAGGCAACCTGATTGGCCCCTCCCCAGCTCCCAAGCCACCTTTTCTTTTTTGGGAACCAGGGATCAAACTCACAACCCTGTGCCTGCCATGTGGGCACTTGTGGCGCTGAGCTAAATCCTCAGCCCTGAGCCACCTCCTCTGAAGGCTGTGCAGCCGGCCAGGCCTCCTGCCTTTCCCAGACGTTGGGCTACTCCTTGCCATCAGCTGCAGTAGTGGTCACTGTGAACCCTCAACCCCATCCTGGTCACTGCTGCGTCTTTAGCACAATGCCAGGTACTTAGCTTAGCACAGGGGCACACGCTAGAGGTCGGAGGATGGCAGTCTAGCCTGGGCAACTCAGCGACTTAGGGAGCCCATGTTATGATCTGACTGGATGCCCTCATGCAGTCATGCGGGCAGGCTTCTAGCACTTCATGGGCCTATGCTGGGATTATGGGTGTGAACGCTACACCCACCCTGGAGTGAGGAGCCTGCAATATAAGGGGCAGAAAGTCTTCTCTGTGGGTGCTTTTCCTGTCTCCCACTGCCATGAATAGTTGCCATTCTGCCATGGAGCCATACTAGGGACTGGAACTTCTAAGAACTGTGAGCTAAATACAGTTTTCCCTCTTTAATTTTGGGTGCCAGATATTTTATCCTAGCAATGAGAGAAAAGTAACCAAGACAGTGGCCCTACACAGCTTAGGCTGTTTTGTATGGGAGATTTTGGTCAGAGCTCAGGAGCCCAGAAGGCTGATGGAAAGCCTGCTGGTTAAGACCAGGCCTGGGAGGTTTCTGCTGGACGCCACATGATGTGTGTTACGGTTTGGCAGAAAGTTTGCATTTTGCTCACGTCCAGAGATTAAGGTGGTGGACTAATCAGAAGAAATTTCAAGGAAGTCAAATGATGCAGCAGTGGCATGGCTATTTTGGGTGCTTTTAGCCAGATTTATGCTGGAAATCAACAACAAAGCGTCCATCAGGATGATTTAAAATGTGAGTCTGGCCAGAAGGGAAACTCCAGGGAGGCTGTGAGTGCAAAGACAGAGCTGAGATCTTGATTGCGGAGAAGGAACCGGAGAAGCACGGGGCACTGGTTTTAGGTGCATGCAGAATGCAAGAGTTCTGAGATTAAAAACACTTCCCACCCCGATTTCAGAAGGCCTGGGAGCCCAGGCAATGTGCCCCTGACAGGGCAGGGAGCGAAGGCCTGAATGTGAAGCCAAGTACAGTGGAGACCCCGGAACACGGATCATCTGAGGAGACCTGCACGGAGGGAGCGAAGCAGGCCTGAGAGAGGGGCTGTGGGCGCTACCGCCACAAGTGCCAGAGGGTGGAACCACCCGAGTGCTTCGCAGCTCACATCTTGGCGCGGGTTGCCTCAGATGCTGCAGGTAGTACACAGAACTCCTCGTCTGCCCTCTGGATCTCGGACGTGCTTTGGACCCGCGCCTTTGTATGTTTGTACCTCTTACAATAGTAATGTTTAGCTGTGCCACAGAATGTTGGAAATGTTTCACTGTTTCTTTGCATTTTGACAGGAGGTTGCAGCTAGAGCTTATATCTTGGAGAAAACTCAGGACGTGGACTTTTTAGCAATGCTGAAACTGTCAGGATTTTGGCAGTTCTTAGAGATGGACCATAATGCCTTTTGCATAAATGGATGTGCCTGAGTCTCTGTGGGACCAGGGGCAGAATGTGATTGATTCATGGTATGGTGCTGGTTATGGGCGTGAGTGCTACACCCACCCTAGTGTGGTTGTCATTTACATACGATGTAAGGGACAGAAAGAGTCTTCTGCCTTGGACCATGAATATGGCCTGAAACCTTCAAGACATGTGAGCTAAATAAACCTTTTCTTTAATTTTTGGTATTGGGTATTTTGTCCCAGTGAGAGAAAAGTAACCAAGATAACCTGTTTGCAAATTGAGGGGGCACAGGGGCATGTGCCTATAATTCCAGCACCTGGGAGGCTGAGGCAGGGAGACTGCTCTAAGTTCCAAGTCAGCCGACCTGAACTACTTAGTGAGTGCCTGTCTCAAAAAATCAAAAATATATACATAATAAAATATGAAGCCAACAGAGCCAGAAGAAAAGCAGCAGCAGCCTTAATGACAACAGTACTGAAAGCCAGGGCAAAGACAGAAGGGCAAACAGCACATACTTTGGGCTTTGGGGACCAGATGGTGTTTGCAGCAAGCACTCAAGACTATCCCTGTCACAGGAAATCAGCAGATGGCTCCTAATCAAAGGGTCAAGTGTCCCAATAAAACTTCAAGGACAGCAGGACAAGGTAGCAGCACACACTGGAGTCCAGCTACACAAGAGGCTGTGGCAGGAAGACTGATGGCTAAGAGTCCATGACGGGTAACTTAGGGAGACCGTGTCACAAAATAAAAGGTATGAATGGGGTAGGCACACAGCTCAGTGCAAATGTGAGTCCCTGGGTTCAATCTCCAGTACTGAGGGGAAAAAAAATCCATGTAACTTGTTTAGAAAATGCTTTTGTTGAGACAAAGTTTGGCCGTGTACCCCAGCTAAGCTTTGAACTCATGGAGATTCTCCTGCCTCAGCCTCTGGAGTGCTGGGATTATAAGTATATGGCACCTCCCTTGATTTATAGCTTCCTGTAAGTTAGTTCTAGAGTGTTCCTCACTGAGTCTCTCCCCTCCTCACATATTATAAAACATAAAACCATCAGCTTGTAGCTCAGGTGACACAGTCATTTGTATCTCTGCCTCCTTCCTAGCAGAGTGCCAGATGTACAGTGGGAAGGGCCAGGGTGACCACCTTCCCTCTTGGGGACCCCAGCCAGGGAAGGGGACCAGGGCAGCAGCCCCAGGGCACGGCTGGCTCCCTGGCAGTAGGACAGGAAGCCCATGGCTCAGGACAACCTGAGGGAACAGGGTGGCAGAGAGAGCCACACCCCAGCACTCAGGTCCCCTGCCCCCTAGGTCCTGTCTTCCTGCAGGGCCCTCCCCCACCTGCCCTCTGGGCACCCTGCTTCCTCTCCGATGGCACAGGGGTGGGTCTCACCTCACCTCAGGACTGGAAGGCTCTGGCAGCTGAGCAGTTGTATGTATTTATAGTTGTCTCCAGCCCTCCCCCTCCTCCAAGACACCTCCAGGGGTGGGGGAGGGGCGCAGGGCTGGGGCCAGGCGTGGTTTTGATTATGTGTTTTGTAACAGGACCCGGAAGGCTGTAGCACTAGGCTCCCTCAGAGCAGGCCCTGGGCTCCCGGTGCACGGTGATGCCAGGCCTTCAGCTGCTCTGCCTGGCAAGCGACTTCCCCCAGGAGTTTGAGGGTGGCTGGATGAGGGCCAGTATGGCTCAGAGGTGAGAAGTCACGGGTCCTGGAGTAAAGGACATACGCACTTGGGGGCTTCCAGCTTAAAGTTCTAGGCCCTAAGGGGACGGAAGGGACTGTTATTCACACCCCTTCTCTCCTCCTGCTCCAAACAGGCTGCTGGCCACTGAGGGAATGATGTCATACACACACATGCGTGGACCCCGACATGTGCAGAATGCAGGGTGCCCAGCCCCTCTGGACGAACTCTGACCAGGCAAGAGAGCCCAGCCTCCCAGCTTAGTGTGGCTTCAGTTTCCTCATCTGTAAACTGGGGAGAATGATGACACCATGCCGGGCATGGTGCCGCACTCCTGTCATCCCTGTCATCCTAGCCCTCAAGAGGCTGAGGCAGGAGGATTGCTGTGAGTCTGAAGCTAGACTGGGCTACAAGGCGAGACCCCGTCTCAAACCACAAACTGAAAATCCCATAATCCCACACACAGTGTTAGGTAGGCCTGGAGAACTCACCTGACAAAATACATGAGTCCATTTAGCGTCACTGTCTTGGGCGCAAAGGACCAGGGCGGGAGCTGGCCACAGTCCACCAGTGACCACAGGTCGGTGTCCGGGTCGTAGCACTGCATCACCATGGTCTCCTTGCCAGGCAGGGAGCCGATGGCGTAGAGGCGCCCGCGGCAGGCCGTGGTGGAGCAGTTGTCCATGGGGTAGGTCATGGGCCGCAGCGCCTCCCAGGAGTCGGCCGTGTGGTCATAGCGCTCTGTGCTGTCCGCGGCCACCACGTAGAGCAGCCCGTCCAGCACCGAGGAGCTGTGGTACTCACGCGCCTTCAGCATGGGCGCCACCTCTGTCCACTCATTCACGCTCGAGTTATACCTCCACACGCAGTCGTAGAGCCGGGAACCATCTGAGCCACCTGCCAGGGAGGGGCGAGGGGAGGTGTCAGCATGAGTCGAGTTACCTGCCAGTGCCATGCTGAGCCTCCCCCAGGGCCATTCCCCTCCCCAAGCCCAGGACGCTGCCACTCCCTGCAGAAGGCCATCCACAGGGGCGTCTGGGCTGGGCAGCCACAAAGGGACTTGTTCACGAACGGCTAAGGTTCCCCATTCTCTGGGACCAAGGGTGTGCAATACAGGAGGAGGCGGCAGGGTGGGGACACAGTCACCCCATCAGGGCTCTAAGCAGGTTATAAGGGCATGTTTAACACTCATAAACTAAATAAGTAAAAAATAACTCATGAGCTAAAAAACCACCAAAGTCATAAGCTGTTCCAGCCTGTGGAACACTTTTCTATGTTTATGCCAATAAGAGGACTTCTAATTTTTAAAAAATTTCTTAAGACAAAGTCCTTTTTTTTACTTTTGAGACAGGGTCTCAACTGTGTAGTCTTTGACCTCACAGAAATCCTCCTGCCTCAGCCTCCAGGGAGCCAGGGTTACAGCTGTAAGACAGGGTCTTGCTAAACAACTGGGTTGCCCCGGGTAGGCTCTAGTTTTCCAGGCCCCTCTGTCAGCCTCCCAGAGTCCTGGGATTAGAGGTATGCACCACCATGCCTGGCTGTCATTCTAAATTAAACTGCTGGTGTATTAAGGACCCACCACAGCGAGAGGGGACTCCAGCAATTCCCTGGCTGCATCCCCTGGCCTCCCATGCTGGCGCCACAGGGCAGAGCAGAGACATCCTGTCTGCCTCACAGCCCCGAGCTGTTTGGAGGTGGAAGACAAAGGTCCCATAACACCCTGGACTCCAGGTCTCCCTTCCTTCCACCGGGAGCTGCTTCGAGGGCAGCTGAAGCCCGCTTCTCTGGGCCCCAGGAAATTCCCCACCGGCAGCTGATGGAATGTGTGAGCCACCTGCCTAACCCCAGAGGATTAGCTGCGCAGCTGTGACATTTGCAGAAGGGTGTACAGCAGCCAGGCAGGCCCGGCCAGTTTGGGAGGGAGTCCTCTGCCCCAGTGAGGTAACCTATACACAGTAGGCTGGCCAGGCTGAGGAGGGAATGGGTGGGGTGAGGAGAGGCTGGGGGGAGGAGGACAGGGTCCCCAAACACAGGGCCACTTCAGCGTGTCACAAAGGACAGATGGACACATTCCAGCAGAGGACTCAACACGGGCTGCCGGCCATGGAAGCCAACAAACGGAGGTGTCCCTGGGACGTGTGCCCCTTGTCCCCTCTAGAGCTGCCTGGAACGCAGTCCTACGTCTCCAGAGTGTCCAGGGCCCCAGGCCGGGTATGGCCATCACCTGATAACCCTGCCAGAGCCGCCCCAGCTGATAGTAGAGGGCCCTCCGCCGCTGTTCTTGCCTTATATAGCAGTCCAAAGCCCGCCCTGCTCTCCCGGCAGGAGGTGGCCTCCCTCCTGTCTGGACAGGACTCACTCTCCATAAAAAATGTGGGAGAAGCCTGGGACCCAGGCGGCCGGGGACCCGCCCACCATGACTAGGCAGTGTTTTGAGGCTCGGGCTGGGCAACTGGAAGAAAACCTCTCTGCACACGTGACCATGTTTACAGTCGTGGGCGAGCTCAGCCTCAGCGCCATGTGACAGTGCAGACTAGCTAGGTGGGGAGCCCCAAGGAGCCGCGTGGTGTGTGACAAAGCCAGCCTGAGTCAGGAGGGCCCCAGTGGCTCATCGGGAGGGGGAAAGGCTCAGGCCGGGGTGGAACGGGATGCCTGGGAGCCTCCTCACCAGGCGTCAGCCTCAGGCCTGTCCCCACATTCCGCAGGGAGGGAAAGAAAGCCCTCATTGTGCGCGTCAATGTGAACGTCCCTTCTCTTCCAAGGGAACAGGGGGAGGCCGGGAGTTGGCCGAGCCGGGGCACAGGGAGCCACAAGCAGCTGCTTGTCTGTTCACACAAGGGCCCCTTCTTCCAGGCTGGAGGCCCCCGAGGACCGTGGCTAGTCCTGGGTCGCCCTGCTTCCAGTTCTGCTTTCCTCTCCCTCCTCCTCTCCAGTTTCCTCTCCCTCCTCCTCTCCGGGGGGCTCCCTGGGAGAGACTCAGCCAGACGCACTCACCTGTCACATAGATGTCGTTGCCCAGCGCCACGATGCTGTACCCTCCGCCCAGGTGATCTGGGAACTCGGCCAGATAGCGCCACTGGCCCGTCTGCGGGTTGTAGCAGTCGACGGTGACCAGCTCGTCGCAGTCCTGGTCGCAGCCGCCCACCAGCACGAGGATCTCGGCGAGGCCGGTGGAGGGGCGGGGACGCATGCGGGGACAAGGCCCGCGGTCGTGGCGGTCGTAGCGCGCCGCTTGGAAGTCGCGAGCCTCGCGTAGCAGCCGCAGGCAGGGCGGACAGCGGGCCACCAGCGGCTCGGCCTCGACGTGCGCCAGCAGGTAGAAGCGGCGCACGAAGGGCAGGCGCACGGCCTCCAGCAGCTGCGGCCAGTGCGCGGCGCGGCGCGGCGGATCTGCGCGCACCCAGCGCAGCGCCAGCTGGTAGGCGGCCTCCTCTTTGGGTACGCACAGCCCGTCGTCGCGCAGGTAGCGCAGGAGGCGGCCGAGCGGCAGCCGCTCCAGCTGCTCTGCGCCCAGCTCGCCCACGTGGCGCAGGATGAAGCGCTGCGCCGCGCTCGCTAGCCCCGCGCAGCTGAAGGCCTCGGCGAAGTCCTGCATATCCAAGCAGTTGGCCAGGTCGAGCTGCTGCTGCAGGAAGGCGCCGCACGCCTCCTTCACGGCGGGGAACTGCAGCAGGTCGGCGGCGCGCAGCAGCGGCTCGGCGTTGTCGCCGCTCACGGCCACCCGGCCCGTGTAGCTGAAGTCCAGCAGCAGCTGCAGCATGTCGGGCGGCACCCCGTGCAGGCGCACCCGCTCCGCCCGGCTCTCGCGCAGCTGCCCGGCGAACATGGCACGGAAGTAGGGGCTGGCGGCGGCCAGCACGGCGCGGTGCGCGGGGAAGTCGCGCCCACCCGCCGCCTCCAGCGTCACGTCCAGGAACTTGCGCTCGGCGCGCAGCTGGCTCAGGCCGCGCAGCAGGCTCAGGGCGTGCGCGGGGTCCGAGAAGGGCAGCACCGCCAGGGGGGCCGGCCGCTCCATAGCGCCGTCGCCGTGAAGTAGAGGACACCGCGGCCGGGGCCTGCGGGGAAACGCGGCGCGCGCGGGCACGGCAGCCTTAAGTACCGCCGGGCGGGCGCCGCGGCCTCCGGGGGCGGAGCGTTTCCGGTCACGCCCACCCAGCAACACCGCCAGCCCCCTCCCGCCCCGCGCGCGCCCCACGCTGTCCCCGGCGCCCGGTGCGCGCGCTCGTCTCCCCATCGTGGCGGAGGCGGCCCCTGGACCTCAGGCTGAGTCACAGTCGCCCGTGCCAGCCCCTGGGACTTCTCCGCCTCTCGGGACTTCTGGCCGCCTGTCGCCGACGCCGAGCGGGGGAAGGCGGGTAACAAGTGCGGGCTCCGGGATCCGGGCCTTTGGGACCCACCCACTACCCGCCTGCGCGCGCGACTCGGAGGCCACCGCCTACGCGCGCGACCCCAGAGTCCCGGGGCGGCGCGGAGCCGCAGCTGTCTCTTTATGGGAGTTCCTCGGGTTTCAAGTTAACCCCTAGAGACACAGGTTTCAAAATACAGGATTTGTACGATTCAGGAGTAAAGCACCATGTCTCTAGGCTTTCGGTGACGGTTTTTTCTTGGCGCATTTGTGAGCGATCCGGGGCCGGGTTCCAGGAATGCGCCCCCCCCCCCCCGTGTCTCTGCCTCAATTTCAAACTCAGCAACACCCCGCCTGAACTTGAGGCAGCTCCTTTCCGAGCCAGTCCCCTTTCACCTCCGGAGGCTCCCAGCCCAGGCCAGCCGGTTACGGGGGCGCTCGGGAAAGCGGCCCTGGTGGCACAAGGACAGCTCAAGGTCAGAGCAACCCGGAGACAAAGTCACAATCCCTGGAAGGCTGGTGGGTGATGGTGGAGAAGGGAAACTCCCTTGAGTCCCTGTCGTTACAGTGTCCCTCTCAACCTAGCTGTAGGAAGAGGAAAAAAAGGTTTTCTTGGAAACCAAGTGTCTGGTTTAGGGTGGGCTTTGCACAGTTTCAGGGAGGACCCCGATTCATCTCCAGGCCTCTCGGTTCTCGTTCCTTGCCGGCGCCCCCATCCGCCCCACCCTACCCCACCCCATCCCACCCTACCCGTGGGCCTTTGTGAATGCAGGAGCCACGTGTGCGCGGGGCCACCCGGACCCCTGCAGTTCCGTGTCATTCCCAGGTTCCAGGTAGGTCGGGCCGCAGCCTCCCTAGAGGAGACATTTTGTTTTGATTCCTTCTCTGAAAAGAGAGCTGGGGATCTGGCGTCCCTTGGCCCAGTGAAGGCATCTGGTCCCCATTTCAGGGGCAGCTCGGGGAGCGGGGCCTAACCGGGAACATGTGCAGGTACGGCCTGTTGCCCATAGAAGGACGACTCCCACGGCGACTACCCGCACCACATTCCTGCCCAGCAGCCCGGCCAATAGCGAAGGCGCATGGGCTTGGTGACACTGTCCCTGCAGCCCGGAAGTGGGACTTTCGCAGGGAAGAGCCGCACGGCCCCTCAGATCACTCGGAGCTCCACCTTGCACAAGTCCAGGGAGTCCGTGACCAGTGTTTCTATAGCTGCGATTCCAGTATAGGGCTGTTTTTTGTTTTTTTTTCCCCCTTTCTTCCTGTTTTTGTTTTTTTCAGACAAAGCTCTCTTTTGCCCAGGCTGGTCTCCAATTCCTGCGCTCAAGTGATCCTGTTGCCTCAGTGACCAGAGTTTCATGGTTTTTGTTTTTGCATTCCTGACATCAGGGAGTTGTTTGGCAATTTTGGCATTTTGTCAACCTGATTATGCAGCCTTGAAAAATAACGATAATGCCGATAAGAATAAAGATGGACTTATTTACTGAAAAGGAAAGATCTTCATTTGTCTTAGGAGAATGCCTAGGAAAAAAGGTGGTGAAATTAACTTCTACTCAAGGTGTGTGGTCTTTTTTGTTTTTGTTTGTTTCTCGATAATGGGCATTGAACTCCGAGACTCTGTATATTCCCAGCCCTTTAAAAAAAATCTATTATTAACTATTGTTGTTGAGACAGGCTCTGTAGTTGAAGCTGGCTTTGAATTTGTGACAGTCCTCCTGCTTAACTCCCTGAGTGCTGGGATTAAGGAATGGCATCACCATGCCAGCTGGGACTCCTTTTTGAGACAGTTTCCACAAATTGCCAATCAGGACTAGAATTTGTGATCCTCCTGCCTCAGCCTCTCCTGCACTGGGATTCAGATCTGTGCCACTGCACCTGGCTAGTTAGTTAGCTTGTTTTTGCCTGAATTTTGGAATTTTGTTTCTCTGAACTAAACATTGCTACACAGCCATACTCCACCTACCTTGGGTGTGGGGGCCTGTTTTGTAATGTCAGCTACTCCCATGACTGAGGCAGGGCGATCACATGTTTGAGGCCAGCCTGGGCAATTTACTGATATGTCTCAAAAAAGTCAAAAGGAAAAAACAAATTCAAAAGGGGGATGAGGGCTGGGGATTTAGCTCTGCGGCATAAGCACCTGCCTTGCAAGCTGGTGGTCGTGAGTTCATCCCCAATACAGATAAAAAAAGAAGGAAAAAAAAGGAGGAAGGATGTGGGTCGATGTTAAAACACCCTTGGGCTGGATCTCCAGTACTGATAAACAAAACAGAAAGAAAGAAAACAAAAAGACAGGAAAGGTCAAAATGCAAATGAAAAAGGCCAGGGATTTAGCTCAGCAGTGGAGCCAGCAAGTGGGGATCCAGGGTGGGATGTTACTCGGTGGTACCGGGCTCCATCCTCAGCAGTGTGTTATTGATAACCCGGCCAGAGTCTGAAAGCAGGTATATAGGGCTGAGTCTGGAGAGGACTGTGGCCAGAACCGAAAGGCGCTGGATTAGACCAGCAGACTTCGGCTGGGCTTCTGAATGCCCGCTCACTCCAGGCAAGATCCCTGTTTCCTCTGTGTCCTCGTCAGCCCCATGAGTTCAACACGGGATGTAAGAAATCTTTCCAGGCTGACTGTATGAATTAGAGTCAACACCACAGAACCATACTAAGATGATTTAACATCCTGCAGCATCCAACACCTCTGTGTGGCAGAAACTGCTGTTTGGTGAGGAAGATGTTAAAACTGCCAAACACAAGCCGGGCATGGTGGCTCACACCTGTAATGCCAGCACTCAGAAGGCTGAGGCAGGAGGATCATTGCAAGTTCGAGACCAGCCTGGGCTACAAAGTGAGTTGAAGGCTTGCCTGAACTGCATAGAGACCCTGTTTCAAAAAAGACAAAAAAAGGGCTGGGGATTTAGCTCAGTGGCATAAGCACCTGTCTTGCAAGCAGGTGGTCGTGGATTTGATACCTGGTACCGATTAAAAAAAAAACTGCCAAACACGGGGGCTGGGGATTGAGCTCAGTGATGTAAGCAGTTGCCTGACAGTGTGAGGTATGAGTCCAATCCTTGGTATCAAAAAGCAAACAAACAAACAAACAAAACAAATCTACCAAATGATAGCATGATGGCACACACCAGAATTGGGGGAGGCTGAGGCAGGAAGATCGCTCTAGGGCTGTGGATATAGGTGTTTTATAGCACCTGCCTGGCAAGTGCTAGGTCAAGAGTTTGATTCACAATATCAAAAAAACCCGAAAAGGATTGTCTGGATATCTAGGTCAACCCGGGCTACATAAGGGAGTTCAAGGCTAGCCTGGGCTGCGCAGGTCTCAAAAAAACAAGCACCAAATCAAAATTTATTTATTTATTTATTTATTTATTTATTTTTTGGTCTTTTGCATTTTTATCGGTACCGGGGATCAAACTCACGACTGCCTGCTTGCAAGGCAGGTCCAAATCAAAATTTTAAAAAATCTGCCAAACAGTAGTTTGTGGGAAAATGTTTGTATTTATCGATCAAATTCGAGTCATGAAAATTCTAGAAATTCACTTCTCAAGTAAATTTTCCCTAACTAACTTGTATGATATGATCGAATAATGTGATTTAACAAATAGTACCAAACCAGGCAGGGTGGCACCTGCCTGCAATCCCCGAGATTTAGCAAGTAATTTAACAAGACTCTGTTACCAACAGCAGGAACAACAAAAAGTACCATACCTGGCATTTTGATTTTGGATTTGAATTCTGACTTTAGGCAGACGGGACAAGAAGTGACTGAGACTTTTTTCCCCCCAAACTGAGGTGGAATCTAAGGCCTTTTTATTTTTAAGTCCTTTTTCATTTTATTTTATTTTTTTATCGGTACCGGGGATCAAACTCAGGCTGCCTGCTTGCAAGGCAGGTGCTTATGCCCCTGGGCTAAATCCCCAGCCCCTCCTTTTTTATTTGTAAGACAGGGTCTTGTTAAGATGCTAGTTGCCCAATTTGGGCTTCAATTTGCAATCTTCCTGCCTCAGCCTCCCAGAGTGCTGGGATTACAGGTGTGCACCACCATGCTCAGCTCTTTCCTATATTTTTAAAATTTATATGTTCTTTGTTCCTCCATTTTACACAAGAAGTTTATTTATTTATTTTCTTTCTTTTTTCTTTTTTTGGTACTGGGGATCAAACTCATGACCTCGTCCTTGCCAGACAGGCACTGTGCCACTGAGCTAAATCCCAAGCCACAAGATACACGTTTAAACAACCAGATAGAACATGAAGGGAAAGCACCTAACTTCTCCTCCTTCCTTGAAGTCATTTATCCCTACAGCAGATGGGTATGAGCATTCCTCAGTGTAACAGGAACACTGAAAAAAGCGATTACACTGGAGTTGGCTTTCGCCACCTATGACAAACGGTAAAAGGCCACTGGGGCACATGTCTGTGTACCAGCTAGTAGTACTCCAGAGGCTAGGCCGGGGGTGCAGACTCTAGGCCAACCAGGGCAATTAATTATTTATTGTCTTTTTTCGAGACAGTGTTTTGCTATGTAGTTCAGGCTGACCTGAAGTTGAGATTCTCCTGCCTCAGCCTTCTGAGTGCTAGGATTATTAGTATGTTTGTGGTACATAGTGCTTACATATATTTTTTTGGTAGTGGCAATGGAGGTTGAACCCAGGACCTTTGCACAGAGTTACACCCCCAACTGTTTTTTAAAAACATTGTTTTCTTTTGAGATAGACTCTGAGTTGCCCAAACTGAGCTCAGATTTGCCATTGTCTTGCCTCGGCCTCCCAGAATACTGTTTTTACAGCTGTGTACCACCATGTCCAGTTTGATGTACCCTTTAAGTATATTTATATATGCAAACAAGATGCTGTAAGGAAAAACATGAAATCCATTTTGCTACTTTTTATATTCTAGCGGAGTAAAGTAGAACTCAAGAAAGTCATTTCTCTGTGTATGGCTGCTTATGCTCTCCTCCAGGGGAAAAGCTGGACAACACACAGCCAAGAAATTATTAAGGCCAGGCGTGGTGGCCCAGCCTGTAATCCCAGCACTCAGGAGGCTGATGCAGGAGGATCGACGACAGAGTCCAGCCTGGGCTACAAAGTAAACTTAAGGCCAGCCTGAACTGTATAGCGAGACCCTGTCCCAAAAGAGATTAAAACAAGGAGCCAGGGATTTAGCTCAGCGGCATAAGCACCTGCCTGGAAAGCACAAGGTTGTGAGTTCAATCCCCAGTACCAAGTCCTTTTGTGTGTGTGTGTGTGTGTTTTTCTCTTTTATCGGTACCGGGGATTGAACTCAGGACCACACACTTGCAAGGCAGGTGCTTATGCCGCTGAACTAAATCCCCAGCCCCAATGCCCAGTATAAAAAAAAAAAAAAAAAAAAAAAAAAAAAAGATGAAAACAAAAACCAGTATAAATTTGAAGAATTTTCTTTTTTTTTTTTTTTTTTTTTGGTCTTTTTCATTTTTATCGGTACCAGGGATTGAACTCACGACTGCCTGCTTGCAAGGCAGGCGCTTATGCCGCTGAGCTAAATCCCCAGCCCCAAGTTTGAAGAATTTTCACCTGCTCCTCATCCCCTGGAAACAGAAGTGAGCAATCATAAAAGACAGGAAGAATTCATAGGAAAATGCCCTTTTAAGTATGGTGGTTCATACCTGTAATCCCAGCACTAGAGAGGCTGAGGCAGGAGGATGTGAATTCAAGACCAGGATGGACTACATAGGGAGACTCTGTTTCAAAAAACATAATAATAATAAAGAAAATACCATTTAATTTTAATTTTATTTTATGTTTGAGACAGGGTCTCTATGCAGTTCAAGCTGGCCTTGAGCTCACTTTATAGCCCAGGCTGGTCTTGAACTTGCAACAATCCTCTTGCCTCAGCCTCCCAAGTGCTGGGATTACAGGTGTGCGACACCAAACTTGGCTGAAAATAACATTTTAAATCTTCTTTCTTACTTTTTGGTAGTGTTGGGCAAGAACCCAGGGCCTAGTGCATGCTAAAACAAGTGCCCTACCCATTGCTGTATATCCCCGACCCAAGAATACACCAGAAATTTAGTAGAAATATTAGGAAATTATTCTGGACTTGTGTCTGGTCATCCCCAAAGCTGGCTCAAACTGAGGGTTTGAAAGGGGAGCAGAAAGCCTTTTTGGTGAAGGTTCACCCAAATGAACACGGTGTAGCCTTGGGATTTAGGGAGGTGGAGTTATTTTTGGTAACTCAATTAAAATAACTACATGCTCAAGTTACTTCCCGGGAAACCATGGTATCTCTGTGTCTTTAACCTGTCACAACCTATGCTGATGTGGGCCTTTCCCCTCCTTCCCCCCAAGCATTTACCGCCATGCTCCAAAAAAGATAATTTTATTTTTTCCTGTTTAAAGCAGAAAACAAAGACTCATAGAATCCAGGGATCTGGCTAATGCGCTTACTTACTCAAGGAACCCTAGATCTGCCCCCTGGAGGCAAGCCTTATGGCCTCCTGAGGAACGGACTAGATACACACAGAAACCAGCTTTATTACTGCTTAGCTACAGGCTGCATTACTGAGTTTGGGGTGATGACGTCGGTTATTTATTTAGCAGTAATGGGGATTGAATCCAGGGTCTTGGTATTCAGCTTCATGACCAGTCAATTTTAAAAAGCTGAAGCCAGGCAGAGCGGACTACAAAAAAGCAATCAAAAATAAAAAGTAAATCCAGCACATACGAGGATTGCCACGATTTCAAGGCCAGCCTGGGCTACACATAGACCCTGTCTCAAAAAACCAAAAAAAAAGTTGAGACAGGGTCTAAGTTTTTAAACTGCGTAGGCTATGCTTATATTTGGGATTCTCCTGCCTCAGCCTCCCCAAAAATGGGTCAGGCATGAGCCAAAACACTCAGATAATGATGGTGTAATACTTTCTTTTTCAGTCTAGGAAAGCATAGTAAATATTTTGTATTAGTACATGTTTGCAGCATGTAATGATCACATTCCTCTTGGAGAACTGGCAGATGTAAGTCATTTCTAATTCCTTGCTTTGGAGACAGGGTCTTGCTATGCAGTTCAGGCCCACCTTAAACTCATGATGATCCTTCTGCCTCAGATTTGTATTAATTGCTTTTACATCCCTTCCCAACCCTCTGGATTTCTGATGGTAATTAATAATGTCCACACTATGGGCTGGAGGTTTAGCTCAGCGGCATAAGCGCCTGCCTTGCAAGCAGGCAGTAGTGAGTTTGATCCCCGGTACCAATAAAAAGGAAAAAGACAAAAAAAAAAAAAAAAAATGTCCACACTTCCAAACGGTTTACCTTTCTAAGAGAAGTTGAAGGTGAGACAGAAAAGGACTTTTTTGCTGACTGTGGTGCAACACATTTATCAATCTCAGCACTCTGGAAGGCCAAGGCAGGAAGATCACTGTGAGTTTCAGGCCATCTCGGGACGCAAAGTGAGTTCAAGGCCTGCCTGAACTGCATTTGAGACCCTGCCTCAAAAAGACAAAAGTAAGGGGTTGGGGATTTAGCTCAGCGGCATAAGCGCCTGCCTTGCAAACAGGCAGTCGTGAGTTCCATCCTTGGTACCGGTAAAAATACAAAAAAAAGAAGAAGAAAAAGGGCTGGTGGGTGTGTGTGTGTGTCTCAGTTTTTTTGGTCTTTTTCGTTTTTATTGGTACCAGGGATCGAACTCACGACCACATGCCTGCAAGGCAGGTACTTAGGCCGCTAAATCCCCAGCCCCTGTTGTTTTTTGACACAGAGTCTCACTGTGTAGTTCAGACTGCCCAGGCTGGTCTTGAACCTGCAGCAATCCTCCTGCCTCAGCTTCCTGAGTGCTGGGATTACAGACGTGTACCACCATGCCAGGTGAATTACTATTTTTTTTTTTTTCCTTTTCTCGAATTACAATTCTTTGAAGACAGGTGTGTGTGACCTAGGGTTCAATTCTCAGTGTTGCAAAACAACAAAAATTATCAATTACTACTATACTTTGTGTAGGAGTTCAAACTTCTGTTTTGTTTCTGGTGCAGGGGATCAAATCCAGGGCAAGTTCTGTACCACTAAACTACTCTTTTTTTTTTGAGACAGGGTCACAATATATAGTTCAGGCTGACTTTGAATTTTAGGGGATCCTCCTACTTCAAGCTTTCGAGTGCTAGGATTATGGGGTGGTGTGCAGTACCATGTCAGGCTTCAAAGCCTTTTTTTTTTTTTGTCTTTTTAAGAAAAGAGTTTCACTATGCAGTTCAGGCGGGCATTGAGCTCACTTTGTAGCCCAGACTGGTCTCGAACTGGCAACAGTCCTCCTGCATTAGCCGACCGAGTGCTGGGATTACAGGTGTGAGCCAGGACGCACAGCCCAAAGCCTTTATTTATTTATTTTTTAAAATTTAAGCAAAACAAGTGGAGTATGAACCTGAATGTGGGCACCCAGGTAGTATCAGGACAGCCTAGGCCGCAGACATCAGCTGCTGCTGTGATTTTGTGGCTAAGTCACAGCAGTTGGTAATGAAGTCCAGACAGGTTGAGGCCATCCTGTTTTTGTGTTAGTTTTATCTGCCTATTATCTCCTAACGCACCTCGGGGACACAGTCTATTGGGTTGTGATATTGCACAAATAATAAAACAACTACTTATTTATGTCTTTTTTTTCTTTTTGTGGTGCCAGGAATCAAACCTTATGTTTACCAGGCAAGCGCTTATGCCATTGAGCTAAATCCCAGCCCCTTATTTTTGTCTTTTTGAGACAGGGTGTCCCTATGCAGTTCAGGCTGGCCTTGGGCTCACTTTGTAGCCCAGTATGGTCTCAAACTAGCAAGGATCCGCCTGCTTCTGCCTCCCCAGTGCTGGGATTACAGAAGTGCGCTCCCCCACCAGCCTCCATCTGAATTACCTTAAGCACCAAAGGAGCAGTGACCTCACCCGAGCTTCCTCCCAATCCCAAGGATTCCAGGTGCCGAGGTGTCCAGTTTCAGATCTGAATTTTCATCTTTTTTGGTGGCTCCCTGTTGAGTTGCTTTGTCACCGAAACTACCAAATACGATGTTACTCAATAATCGGCTTTATTTTGTTTTGTTTCGTGAGACAGGGAAATTATCCGGGTTTTTATAGACATTTTTCCTGCCACAGGATTGCAGTGTTAACGTCAGGCCTCTTTTAGGCCACTCGATCACAGCAGTGACTAAGAATCTTCAGCCTCCAAAGTTGTGAAGCACCCCGTGGTCAGGACCCCCAACACCGCCCGCTCCACCTACCCAGTTCGCGGACTCCGGGACACGCAGCAGAACCCTCCGGCGGTCCGGGTCCCGAAGCAGGACACGAGCGAGCGTGGGCAGGCTGCTTTAAGGCCCCGACGTGGTTGGGGACACTTGTAATCCCGAAATTAGGAGGCTGAGGCAGGAAGATCCTCCGAGCGAGCCTGGGCGATCTAGGGAGTTAGCGAGGCCTTGTCTCAAAAACCCCCACAAAGATCTGGGTTGCAGGTCAGTGCGAGGGCCCGGGGTCCTTCCCCAGAGACAGGCGCGCGAGCATGCTGAAGACGAAGCCTCAGGGGTTTTCGCAGCGTCCATCTAGCTCCAGCAGGGGACCTGCCCGCCCCGCCGCGGACCCCGCAGAGAACCCGCAGCCAAGAACCAGTGCGCTCCGCCCTCAGGGACGTCAGCGACCCGACCCCACTGTCGCCCGCGCCGCGCTGCGGGGACCCCGGCGCCACAAAGGGCGCACCCCAAGGCGTGCAGCAGAAGAGGGGCCGCCGCTGCCCCCCCCAGGCCCCGCCCCGCTCCCCACCGCCCCCACGCGCGCCAAAGCCGAAGTGCCGCCCCTCCCCCATAGCCGAGCTGACGCGAGCCCCCGGACCTCCCCCGCTCCCGCGGTCTCCAGTCCACGAGACCCGCCTCCGCCCCCGCCAATGCCGTAAAGCCCCACGGGACTTGGAGTCCTGTGGCTGTTTCTGTGCGATGTGTTGGCGGGTGGTGGACTACAATACCCAGAAGCGCCCTCTCCACGCCCCTCACCGCGGGGGCCGGGCACCCTGGACTACATTTCCCGACAGCGCTCGCAGCGCTCCCGCCCTCCCTCCCGAGACACGAGCCGAACTGGGCGTCAGGTCGGGGAGCCGGTCGGGTTCCCGCTCGCTGCCGCTGCCGCCGCCGCCTCCCGCAGAGCTTCTCCCGCCTCTTCGCCGCGCCGGCCCCAGGAGCTGCATCGCTTACTCTGCTCCACCGTGGAGCCGCCAGTCCCGGAGCACCAAGCGCCACAAGCGACAAACCGAGTCCCTCGTCACCTCAAGCCGAGGCGACCCCTCCCGGGTCCGCCCTCGCCCCGTGCGGCCGCCGGAGCCCCCGGTCCGGAGGGACCCGCAGCCCGGCCCCTGCACTCCCGCAGTCGCCGGCCCCCGCCCGGAACATGGACTCCGACTCCTGCCCCGCCGCCTTCCACCCGGAGGTGAGTCCGAGCTGCGCCCGGTCGTCCCGGCCTCCGCGCCTCGCCCCCCGGGCGGCCGCCCCCTCCCCCCGCCGCGCCGCTCCGCGCCCGGCCCGGCCCCCGCCGGCTCTGCCCGGACGCCCGCGCCCCTGCGCCCTTCCCCTTTTCCGGGCACCGCGCCCACCCGTGCCGTGGACGCCCCTCTCTCGCCCGCGTCGCCCCGGGACCGGGCTGTGCCCCCGCCCCCCGCGCCGACTGCTGCCGCCTCCCTGGCCTTTAGCCCTGGGGGCGCGACCCGCCGCCGCCCTTTTTCCCTTTCTGTTCGGGGTGCCCCCGGCCCTCTGGGCTCGGGTCTCGCGGACCGCTCGGCCCCGCCGCCCCCGCCCCCGCTCCCGCTCCGGCTCCGACTGGGGCCGCGCCCCGCCCCCTGGCTCCGCGCGCGCCCGCCCGGCCCCCGCTCCCTCCGCCTCCCGGGCCCTTGTCCTTGGGGGCCCCCAGCCCCCGGGCTCCCAGGCTCGCCCCAGCCCCCGCCAGCGCGCCCCCGGAACCCCCCGCCTCCCACCCCGGCTCTGCTCGCTCCGCCCCCGCTCCCTCCCCCTCCTTCCGGGGATCAGCTTCGGTCCCCCGGTCCCCCCTCCCCGCGTCCCCCGGCCGGCGGGGTCCGGGTGCGGGTCCAGCGGCGCGGGCGGGCGGGCGGGCGGGCGGTGGGGGAGGGGCGGGGACGGTAGCGGCGACGGGCGCCATCTGGGCTCGCCGTCTCCGTGGGGCTTGGTGGGGCTACCCCGGCACCGGGCTCCCCAAATGCTGCTTGCGTCCCGCAGCCCCCACCCCACTGTGGGCCCCGCACCTTCCGGGGCCGGAGGGCCGCGGCGCGCCCGGCGGCGGGGGCTTCGGCCATTTGCCTCTCCGGGGCGGCCCCCTCCCGCCCGGCCGCCGCCGCACATTCGCGTCCCGGGCGCCGGCCCGTCGTGTGCGATCCCAGAGAAGTTAAAGTTGTCCCCGAGTTGAGGACGGGTGCGGCCCTCGCGGGCGCGCAGGAAGCAGTGCTGTCCCCCTCCCTTCTCGCGCGGGAAGGGGGCCGGTCTCGGGCAAGTTGGGGGTGTTTTAGAAAAATGAGGCGTTTTCGAAGGAAAATTTAAGCGCTCCTGTCCGCGCCTGGCTGGTCTACTCGCCCTCCCCGCTGCAGGGCTGCCCGAGCCCTGCGGGGCCGCCTCTCCTTGGCCAGCCAGCGCGGCCAGCCAGCGCGCGGGACCGGGGGCAGCTCTCGGTGATGGCGGGGCCGTGAGAAGCAGCCCGGGGACGCCGCGGGACCGCGGAGGCTCCTCCTCTTAGGGAGAACACCCCGTTCCTTGCAGGTGTCCCCCCTTTGAGTGGGCAGGGTCGCGGGACCGCCAGGCTGGAGCTTCTGGCTCGCATCTATAACGTGCGGCCGAGGCGGCAGCAGCTTGCCTAGTATCCAGAGCCTGCACCCTGGCTCTCGGGGGCAGAGTAGCCGAGGGGCCCTCCTGAGCGCACAGAGGGGTCCCGACCTCTGACCCCAGTGGCTGGGCAGCAGGAAGATTCAGAGAGCTGGGAACGATAAGCCTTCATTTTTGCAATGATTTAAAATACTTGAGTTACAGATCCAGCTGAGTGTGGTTTCCTAGTGGAAAATCTGGCAAAAAACGTCAGTTAGTGCTGATAGGCGTGCAGGGATCAGTAGATAAGGTCAGAAAATGCCACATGAGCTCCGACAGGTAGACTTTTGTGCAAGCTTTTATCTCCTCGCCAGTTTCCCAGTGTTCTTGGCACAAAACCCTAGTACTCCTCTTGCAGCTTTATGAAAAGTGTTGTTTTTTGACCTGAACTTAGCTTATCTTGTTTCTAGGCTGCAAACCCAGCAGCCTGGGTTGGGTGCTGGCAGTGAAAAGCTCAGCTCCTGCTGTCTGTGGGTCCTCAGGGGGCCCCTCCTTCATTCCCTCCTCTCTCCGCACAGGAGTACTCCCCCGGCTGCAAGAGGCGCAGGACAGTGGAGGACTTCAACAAGTTCTGCACCTTCGTCTTGGCCTACGCTGGCTACATTCCATACCCGAAGGAGGTAAGGCCCGCTGCTGTGCAGGCGTGCAGGCGTGCAGGAGGGCAGCCTCTGAAGGCCGCCTGGTGACTGCGGGCTGTATGACTGCAGGCTAGAGGCCGGCCGGAATCTAGTCTGGGAACTGAGGGCAGCAGGGGGCTGATAGAAAGTGCAGGCTCGGGCGGAATTACATAACAAACTTTCTGGATTTATTTGCAAATGATATGTGTGGTATTTGCCTGCTCCTAGCAGTGGCCATAGGAGATGGCTGCTTTCTTATTCCCGATTTAATGGTGAGAACATGTGAGGTACTGGACGGGAAGGAACTACCTTGTCCTGGGCCTGGGGGCCACACCCTGCCCTCTGCCCGCATCTCAGTCAGCAGAGCTTTGTGTGAGGTGTGTGACGTGGTTTTTCCTCTGAGAGTTGGTCAGGAGTGTGGGTGAGAGCTGCCGTGAGGCTCAAACTTCAGAAGCTATGGATAAAGAATTCAGTGCTTTAGGGGGCAGCACCATGGCCCTGGTTTATTCTTTCCACTGGCCTGACAGGTAGATAGTGTCAGCGTTGTGCAGTAGAATGATGCTACTGTTTGCAAATAATGTGCTTGACTGACCCAGAGCACCGGAGAGTTCAGCCTGCTCCTTTGGTGCAGTCATCACCTACCTCAATGTGACAAATTTTGGGGTATCTTCAGAGTTTTATTGCAAATTCTCATCTTGAATTCAGTTAATTAAAATATCACTTTTGTGAGGGCAGAGGAACAGGGAGCAGCTTTACAGAGGGAAAAGTGAGAGATTACAAGGGGGTATCTGGGGACCAGGGATTTAGCTCAGCAGCCTGAGTGCCTGCCTGGCAAGTGCAAGGTTGTGAGTTCCATCCCTGGTACCGCCCCACCCCCCTATCTGCAGTCCTTTCTGGCCTTTTTTTTTTTTTTTGTTGTTGTTGTTCATAAGACACAGTCTTGCTAAGTTCCCCAGGCTGTTCAGTTTTGTTCTGTTCTTTTTTCCTTTTTTTTGGTCTTTTTGAGACAAGATCTCACTGTGTAGTTCAGGCTGACCTTGAGCTCGCTTTGTAGTCCAGGCTGGTCTTGAATTTGCAGTGATCCTCCTGCCTCAGCCTCCTGAGTGCTGGGATTATAGGTGTGAGCCACCACACCCGGCTCTCTCCAGTCTGTTCTTGAACTTATAGCAGTTATCCTGCCTCAGCCTTAGGAGTGTGGGATTGCAGGGGTGCACTACTGTACCCAGCTGGGATGTATTTTTTGCACATGGTGGCTGGGACTGGACTCCAGGGATTCTTGCATGCCAGGAAGTATCCCGTGCCCCAGCTTCTTTCCTGGGGTACTGAGCAGCAGTGGGGTCTGGGCTCTGGGACAGAGCTTGAGGGTCCTCGGTGTGGTTCAGGCTTGTATTCTCCTGCACGTTGCTGGGTCTGGGCTTGTCAGAGGTGAAGAGCCAGGAAGCTCTGCTGGGGGCTGGTGCTGGTCCCTGGGCCCAGCAGGATTAACAAGAGCCTGTCCCTGTGTCCCGGTTCTTTTAGGAGCTTCCTCTGAGGAGCAGCCCCAGCCCTGCCAACAGCACCGCTGGCACCATTGACAGCGATGGCTGGGATGCTGGCTTCACCGATATGGCGTCCTCCGTGCCCCTGCCAGTGTCTGACCGGTGCTTCGGCCACCTGCAGCCCACTCTCCTGCAGCGTGCCAAGCCCAGCAACTTCCTGCTGGACAGGAAGAAGCCAGATAAGCTAAAGAAGAAGAAGAAGAGGAAGCGGAGGGAAGGAGACGCAGCGGGGCAGGAGAGCTTCCACGGGGGCCTGCTGAAGCTGGAGCCAGCCGATCCTTACCCTGAGACCCCCAGCAGCCCCGCCCTGCAGGACCTGCCCCAGGCCCCCAGTGAGCCTTGCTCGGGCTGGGACTCCGACACTCCCTCGAGCGGCTCTTGTGCTACCACCGTGTCCCCCGATCAGGTCAAGGAGATAAAAACTGAAGGCAAACGGACAATCGTCCGGCAGGGGAAGCAGGTGGTGTTCCGGGATGAGGATAGCACCGGCAACGACGAGGACATCATGGTGGACTCAGGTCAGTGGTGCCAAGGGCTTAGCCGCTGCTGGGCTGGGGTGAGGGAGGGGCAGAGTGATGTTGGGTAGTCCGGCTCGGCACCAGGACGGGAGGTGCAGGGGGTGGGTGTGCTTCCAGCCCACACGCAGTCCATGAGGAGGTGAGCGTGAGGGCATTGGGTGTGAGGTGGAGCACCTGGTGGCTGCACGTTGCCACCCCTCTGCACTTGATATTGAGAGAGGTTGGCCCTGGGGACAGATGGCATGGGTTTTCCTGACTTAACCCAGGCTGGGTTCACACCTTGGATCTTCCTGCTTCAGCCTCCAAGAGAGCTGGAGTTACAGGTGCGCGGTCCCACGTCGGGCTTCCCTCCCCTTCACGAGTTCTTTCTGTGTAGATGACGATTCCTGGGACCTGGTCACCTGCTTCTGCATGAAGCCCTTTGCTGGCCGCCCCATGATCGAGTGTAACGAGTGCCACACCTGGATCCACCTGTCCTGCGCGAAAATCCGCAAGTCCAACGTGCCGGAAGTGTTCGTCTGCCAAAAGTGCCGGGACTCCAAGTTCGACATCCGCCGCTCCAACCGCTCCCGAATGGGCTCCCGGAAGCTCTTTCTGGACTGACGGAGGTGGCCAGGAGACTCCGGGCAAGGGGACGAGAGCGGGGGCCTCCGGGCCTTCCCTTGGTTGAGCACAGAACCCCTAGCTCGAGCGGGCAGATCCCTCATTCAGGTGCCTAAGCGAAGGACAGGCTGTCCCTGTAGGAACTGTACATAGCCTGCGACTGAGAGCCGTCGCCGCCTGCCCGGAACACCCAAGTGCAGTGGCTGGGTTCAGCCTAGAGGGGGCGGTCCTTGCGGTTTTACTGTCTTTGTCCGTGACCCCCACTGTTTGGAACCGGGCTGGCTGTCCTTCCTGCCTCTCTAGGCCGGGGTGGGGAGCCACTTGCATCCCCAGCCTGAACGAGCAGCCATATGCGTCCATTCCCTGGTGTCTGTGTCCCCCAAGTGTCTGTGCGGCAGCCGTCTGGTCACCCCTTGCTTTGTGGCCCCTGATCTGCCTGTCCCGGACGCACTGCCTGGCCACATGTGGGAGCAGCTGTGGCCTTCAGAGTGGAGGGCGGCCCGGTGAGGCTTTGGTATCCCCCGTTGTTTGGAAGGGACAGTATGTGGCCACCTCTCTGAAAGGGTTTCCTGGGGGTCAGGGTGGCCGTGTTGAGAGCTCAGTGTCCCGTTTGCACGACATACAGACCAATCCTCACATAGCACACGTCTGTCCAGGCCAGCCTTCTGCTGGGTCCCTTTCTCTAGTTGGTGTTCTGAGGTCCCTGAGGCCCAGGTGAGCAGCAGGACGTGGGCAGCTGTGCTTGGGATGCAACAGTGGCCTGCAGTGACAAACATTCCTGGCTGGCCTGCTGCTTGTATGGCTGGCCTTGGCCGCAGTCCTCGTGGTGTGGGGGTGGGTCACTGAGGCCTTGGGTTCTCCTCGGCCCCACTGGTTCCCCACCCCACAGCACCCCCGGTTGGCGGTGTACACCAGTGGTGCCCAGTTCTCACTCAGGACTGTTCCCAGGGTGACCGGTGCGCTGTGCCCGTGCCTCGGGGACTGGGTTGAAGCCCTGTTCATTTTTTTGCCGATTCCCTGCGGTGTGGGCCAGGCTGGCTCCCCTTCACCGAGCACGGGGGGCCCCACTTTCTGTCCAGTGTCTTGGGTACTCGTGCAGTCTCCTGTCCTAGGTGTTAAAATCCTGTTGTGCCGGGCACGGAGGCGAGGGCACGGGGCAAGGCTGGTGGGGGACGGGGCGCCCGGTGGGCAGGGCAGGGGCGCGGAGTTTGCCAAAGATCTGCCCGCGCCGGAAACCAAAGTTGCAAGTTTTTTCCTTTTAAAAGTCCCGAGGTTTTAAAAGCGCGCTGAGGAACTCACGCGAGTTTTAGAGGGGGTCCCCGTGCCCCCACGGTTTGCAGCTTCCGGAACGCGTCCCGCACCCCTCTGGGCCCTGTCCTGAGTGTGCGAGTGGGCCTGGCCGGCGCTTGCCCGCCTTATGCAAGTCGGGCGAGACCGACGGGGCTCCCGTAAGGGCAGGGGAGTCACCCCGGAAGCGCCGGACCCTCGCCTTCGTTTACATGGTTCTGTGTGATTATAAAGTTTATGTGTATAAAGCGAGGTGTTTCTGTGAAACTGTAGATTTTGTAAATAAAGATATTGCTACTTTGAGGGTCTGGCCTGGCGTCAAGGTGTGTGCGGGGTTCGGGGGCGCGGGGTGGTCGCTGGCCTGGCTGGCGGGGAGCTGCTGTGCAGAGGGCAGCCGTATCCGGCGCCCCGCTCCTGAACAGCGGGTACCGACAGGGCCGGGGTGGGGGTGGTCATCCTGGCCCCGGCGGGCCTCGAACGTGGGACGCAGCATGGAGGCGGCCAAGCCTGCACGTCCAGCCTCCCCGGGCGCTGAGCTCACAGCCGCGCGCCGGCCGGTGGCCCGCAGGGCTCCCCGCGGTGACGTCAGGGCGCCCACACCCAGGCCGTGGCGCTGCAAGCCCGGCGGGTGAGCCTTGGGGGAACCGGGGCCAGGAACCAGGTCCTTCAAGGAGCAGGGGCGAAGCCTGCAGCCCCGGAGCTCCCAGATCCCGCAGGAGACACGGGGGGCTGGGATCTCGGGCGGGGGGCGGGGAGCGTCCCCACGGGGCGCAAGGCAGGCCCCGCCCCCGCTCCGCCCCGCAGGCCCAGCGCCGCCATCTTTGTTAGGGGCAGACCAGGTTCTGCGATGCCGAAGTCGTGCGCAGCCCGGCAGTGCTGCAACCGCTACAGCAGCCTGAGGAAGCAACTCACCTTCCACCGGTGAGCGAGGGCGTCCGCCGGGGGAAGGGGCGTGGGGCGTGGTGTGTGCACGGACGGGATCCGAGTGGTCCGTGCCCTCCAGGGGGCCCGGCCTCCCGGGCTCTGAGGTCCTCGCGGCGATGGAGGCCGGCGTCACAGGGTCGCTTGGAGTCCCCGCACTGCTGCCCCAATTTGCCCGGGGCACACAGCTCCCAGGCGCTTGTAGAGCGCAGCGCCCGAGGGCAAGCGGCGGAGCCTTTGTCCTCTGTGCTCTTTTTAATGCGTTTTCCAAAGTCAGATTCCATGCAGAAAAGTGTGTGTGTCGCAGTACACAGCCCCGAGCTTCACGCTGCAGAACATCCGCAGCCCACAGGAGGCCCCCAGCCTTCACCCCTTTGTCTATGCTACCCCACTGCCCACAGGAGTCCAGCCCTGGACACCCGCCCATCTTCTATCAGCTGGAATCGGGACGCGCATCTGTTTCATGATGTTTGTGAGGCGTCTTGGGCATTTCTTTTCCTGACTACATAGTCTTCACGATGCACGTGTACAGTGGGAGGGAACGTTGGCAGCTCCGCTGTTCGGGCAGTGAGAGGCAAACACTGCTGAGGGCAGTTTGAAGAACCTTGCTCCCATCTTTCTGCTTCTGTTGGGGGTGTGCCAGGGTGCAAGGGACTCACTTCCATACTCTGTTGAAGAGTTCTGTCTCCCGAGACCTCCTAACCCAAAATCTAGTGGTCTGACCGCAACAGGTTTTCTTTTGGGCTGCTGGGATCAAACCCACAGGTGCTCTGCCGCAGAGCTACCTCCCAGCCCCTTTTTATTGGACTTTTAATATTTTGAGAGTCTTCCAGCAGGACCTGAACTTGTGATCCTCCTGCTTCAGCCTCCCAAAGCGCTAGGCTTCCTGCCGTGCACCACCAGCATGTGAGCCCACTGCTCTCTTGTCCTGCGTGGCTCCTAACACATCCCGGTCTTCTCTGGCGTAGGTGCTCCTTCTCTGCCTTTTGCTAGGTTCTCTGTTTCCTACTCTCCCTTTATTATCCCTGGTGCTAGGGATCGAACCCGGGGCCTTCACACCGAGCTTCAACCCAGTCCTTTTGAAGTTTTTAAATTTTGAGGCAGGTCCCTGTAAGTCACTAAGCTGCCCAGGCTGGGCTTGAACTTGCACCTTCCTGCCTCGGCCTCTCGGAGTGCTGGGGTGGACAGGTTTGCCTCACCGCACCAGCAGGAAACTGCTTCATTCTGTCTGGGCTGCGGGGCCTGCAGGTGAACCTCACTGCCTGGCTTTCGGAATAGACCCGTGCCCCTGAGGCAGGTGGGCCCTGGGCTTGCTCATGCTGCAGTTGACCCCTCCACCTCGCCTCCTGTTGGCCTTGGGGAGCCCCTGTGGCTACCTTTCTCATCTCCCTCAGGGTCTGCTCAAATGTCACCTCTTAGCTCAGTGGGATGTATCCGTAGTCTCAGCTACTCAGGAGGCCGAGGTGGGACAATTGCAAGTTGGAGGCAGCCTGGTGAGCTCCTGTCTCAAATAATTAAAAGGGACTGAGAGTGGGGCTCAGTGCCAGATCCCTTCAGGAGTCCTCTCTAGAGGTGGCTGTCCCTGACTGCCCCAGTACTCCCTGCTGTGTGTCCTCAGTGGGGGTGACCGAGTCTGCATCTGCCTGTGCTGCCTGCTGCCTGTCCTTCCTAGAGTGCAGAGTTTTGTTCACTTCCGGGTCCCTGGCTCCAGTGGGAGCCATGTTGCTTGGGAAACACAGCCCACTTGGATTCCTACCAAGGATGCTGTTGGGGAAAAGAAAACTCGGGGTGTGGTGGTGCATGCCTGCAATCCCAGCATTTGGGAGGCAGGGGCAGGAGGATTGCCAGGTTTTCGAGGCCAACCTGGGCTCTGTAGTGAGTTTTAGGTCAACCTGGACTACACAGAGCAAGACACCTTCCCTGCCCCCAGGAGGCCTGGGACAGCCCGGAGGAAAGCTGGCAGTTCACCGTGCTGTTTGCACCCGAAGCCAGATCTGGAGTTTGGAGAGCTGACCCGGGTGGCCCCCTGGGGGTGGGGTGGGGTGAGGTGAGCCCCGAGGCGCCCTTGGCCCGCCTAGCTCTGCTCCTGCTCCCCGCCAGGTTCCCATTCAGCCGGCCGGAGCTGCTGAAGGAATGGGTGCTCAACATCGGCCGCGCCGGCTTCAGGCCCAAGCAGCACACGGTCATCTGCTCGGAGCATTTCCGGCCCGAGTGCTTCAGCGCCTTCGGGAACCGCACGAACCTGAAGCACAACGCGGTGCCCACCGTGTTCGCCTTCCGGGAGTCCGCGCAGGTCGGGGCGTGGCCTGCGGGTGGGGCTGAGGCCAGTGGAGGGGGAGGGGTGGCCTTGGGGGCCCTCAGCCCCGCCGCCCGCTGGCCCGCTCAGTGCCTTAAGAGAATTGTGTGACGCATGCACTGTGGCCTTTTTCCAAAACAAGGGCCCCAGCAGGAGGGTTCCCTGAGCCGGGAATCCATAGCTCCCCGGGGCTCCGTGGCAGGATTTTAGCTGATCTTGTTTGGCTGGTTTTTCAGATTGGGGGGGCGGGAGGAGGTCCAGATTGGCCTCCAGCTCACAGCTGGATGCCTGGCTCCGGGTGCCCTGGGTGGGGGCTGCAGGGTGCCAGTGTAGGTGGGCGCAGTCCTTTCTTCCATCATGCAGGTATATAGAGCTCAGTGGCCAGGGCTGGGAGCCACCTCCCTGGCGCAGTCCCCCGTGCTTCCATGCCACAGTGTCCAGAAGCCAGCAGTGGCCTTTGTGGTACCTGCTGCGTGGCACAGGCTGTGGTCTGTCCCTGGTGGGCTCCACATGGTGTGGCTCAGAGGGCGGTGTTTACTGAGGATGGGGTGGCGGGGGACCTGCTCAGCTCTGCTCCCTGGTGGGGGACACCTGTGGACAAAGGGGACTGCAGGTGGGTGATGAGGCGGCTGGGCGGCCAGCTTGCCTTTAGTCCTGGTCCTGCTGTGTGTGAGCAGCCAAGTGAGGCCCAGCGCCCTGGTGTCTTCTGTCCCACACCTGCTGCAGGACGCAGAACCCACACTCGGTGGAGATGCTGGCCCTCGGGATAAGGTAAAGCCACTGTGGGTGGCTCCACACGGTGGTGCTACAGGGCTGGGCTGGGCCCCTTTCTGGGCCGCCTGGGAGACATTGGGAGACTTCGTGGCACCTGTCTCTAAGGAGCCTATCCTGGAGTTGGGAGGCTGAGGCCGTTCATGCCACCCAGCCGGCCCTGGGATTGCTGCTGCAGGAGGATGCCGTGTACACTGGCCAGGTCCTGTCCACCTGACTCTGCCTGCTGTCCCCAGGTCCGCCCCAAGGTGGGGGTCGGGGAGCACAGCCCTGATGGGAGCCTGGATGCCACCCGTGAGGAGCTGCAGCTGCAGCCTGGAACCAAGATGCCCGTGGCACAGGTCAAACAGTGGGCCCTGGTGGCAGGGGGTGTGGGTGTGTGAGCAAGTCATAGTTCCCCCAGGACCAGGCTGACTAAAGTATCCCACTGGGACACTGTCCTGCTGGGACCTGGCTTCTCTCACTCCACCCTCTGTCCCCAGGCTGCAGGAAGCCCCAGAGCCCCATATCCCGGGCAGCCACCTGACCACAGCTATGCGCTCCTGGATGCGGCCGCCCTGAAGGGGAAGCTCGTGCGCACACTGCAGGAGAATGCGGCACTGCGCAGGCGCCTCCGGGCCCAGAGGCTGCTGCTGCGCAGGATGTGTGGCCGCCTGCGAGCTGCAGAGGGGCGCCGGGGACCCCGGCCCAGCCCTTCCTAGCCGCCAAGCCCTGGGGCCCTGGCTTTGGACGCTGAGTGATGGGCAGGAGCCACCAGCAGGGCATGGTGTGCTGTGCACCACACACCTGAAGCCACGTGCTTGGCAGTGCCTAAGGCCAGGACCACCCAGTCCTTCTGAATTGTTGGGCCAGCAGCTGGGGACAAGGGGTCGCAGGGCCACTTGAGAATAAAGGGACTGTGCTGCAGAGCATCCTGCACCCAAGCTTGGCCTGCCAGCAATTTCCTGTGGCAGCCTGTCTGCAAAGCACCAGCGACTAAGCTCAGGGAGCTGCCAGCGCCCTTGTCCATGCAGCCCAGGCTGGGTCCTGGGCACGGGAGATGGGCCAGGCCATGGGGAATGAGATGCTGCGTGTACGCAGATTTCAGGGTATTTATTGTTTGGTGCCGGGCAGTGCACGCAGGTGACACAGAGCCTGGCCCCCAGGGGTCTCTTGCAGCATGGGATGCGGTGGCCCCTACAATGGACAGAGCAACTCCCATTTAAAACTGAGATGACAAGGCAAAACTGGTCTGGGCTGCTCTTAAAAACCGGAGGAGGGGACTGTTCGCAGGGACACGGACACTGGTGCTGACAGCAGCAGCGGGTGCCAGGCCCAGGTCGGGGTGCCCCAGGGCGCTGGTGATGGCCCAGCAGAAGCCTGGAGGGGGCTGGGCTTTTCCACGACGCCACAGCGCCACTTGCTGGGCGCTGCCAGGAGGCACAAGGCCTGCGGGCCTGGGGTCCCGAGTGTGCCCTGGTCCTGCTGGCTTTGCCTCTTCCCCACGGTGCCCCACATTCCAGGACGGTGCTGAGCGGGGGCAGCCCAGGCCCTGGACCAACAGCTCCGGTCTGAGTCCAGGGCTGAGGAATGCTTCGAGAGGCTCTGGAGCGGGGAAGAAAGAGACTCATCTCCAACCTGTGTGTTCCTGGATAAAAAGCAGTTTTATAGCCCGTGTCCTCTGGCCCGGTGATTCAGCAGAGAAAGGGGTGCGGACCCCTTTGGCAGACGTCCGCTCAGGGATGCCACCCCTGGCCTTGCTGCACTCCCTGCACTCTGGACTCATGGGACCAGGGCGCCCCAAATGGCTCTGGCTGGGCCAACCCGCTGGGTGCAGGCTGGGACCTGCCCTCTGGGGCTGCGATCCTGGGGTGCCCGGGGCCTGGCACAGGGTGGCGCTGTCCTGGTCCTCCCTGCAGCACCCGTGACATGGCCTCTGTGTGTCCCTGCACATAATTCACGTGGTACCACACCTTCTAGAGGAATAAAATAAAATAGAGCATCTGATCTCGGGGTTTCCCCTTCCGAATTTGTGGACTCCTGGGGAAAGGGTCCTCAACGCCTCTGCAGCCACCTCCCGGCAGCTTATCCATCTGTGTCGATCCTGTGTGCTGTAAGGCAAAGGGCGACGCAAGCTATTTGTGGGCTCGGCAGCCTCCAGGCCGCCAGCCGAGTGCGCCTGTGACGCCGTGGGGTCCCCGTCCCTCACGCTGCCGCCACTGCCCTCCTGCCCAGCACGTGGCCACTCACACTGCTTAGGTATCCGCAGGGCCTCGCTGTCGGGTGCTGTCACCTGGTGCAGCACTCCTCGGAACTGGTACAGCACCCGCAGGCTCTTCTCCTCACCCACGCAGGGGTCGTAGAAGCCGGGCAGCCCTGCCTGCGTGGGCGGGAGGTCAGGGTGCTTGCTGCACCAGCTCAGTCTGTCCACATCCTCCCCACCGCGTCGCTGCGGAAGCTACTGATGGCAGCTGGCAGACCTGTTGTTCTCCTCGGGTCCCCACAGCTCCCTCCTCCGTGCCAGGGCCAGCTGGCAGTGGCAGAGCCGGGCGGTGCGTACCTTGGAGGCCTCCGTGAGTAGCAGCTTTGAGTCCTTCACCAGGCACTGCAGGGGCACCGTCACATCGATCACCTTCACCTTCTCGCTCCTCCGGCTCTGGTCGTTGACAAACTTGCCATACCAGGCGTTGACGATGATGAGACCTGCGTAAGAGTGGACAGGTCAGAGGTGGCCATGATGGTGGCCCCAAGGAGGGAGGTGCGGGACCCGAGGCCAGGAGGCGCCTCTCACCCATCCTGGACTCCTCGGCCTCGACGATTCTGCGGACAGACTCCTGCATCAGGCGCACCTGCCAAGGACGGGACATGGCGTCAGGGCCAGACCTGTACACTCAGCCCCTGAAGCAGCCAACTTCCCAGTGACCCCAGTGAGGACATCCATGACCGGAGAGGCATCGGCATTTGTAATTGGGATTGAACGTGTGAAGCTGCACCCCAGCTCGTCCAGAGGGACCCGGTGCCACCTGGCCCTGTGGACAGCATGGCCCACCTGGCAGGCCTCACTGCCTGGGTGCCACCCGTGTGTCCATCTCAGCCCGTCCCCTGCCTTGGGACCCCACGACACCCAGCCATCTGTGCAGGTGTCTCTGGCTGTCCTGGCCTATGAAGGGAAGAGGAAGGGGACAGTGCTGCCGGCTACTTCTGCCCTCTGGGATGCCAGAGGCAAAGGGCACCATAAATTCCAGGCTGGCGGTATCACTAAGCTGCAACCCCAGCCCTGTATTTTTTTTGCCATTGGGAATTGAACTCAGGACCACGTGCTTAGTCAAGCCATACCCTTCTGTTTTCCTTTTGGTACGGGGAATCGAACTCATGACCTTTCGCTTGCCAGGCAGGTGTTCACACCAATGAGCTAAATCCTGGCTTTTTTTCCTTCCCTCGAAACCAGGGATCAAACTCATGACCTCATGCCTGCTAGGTAGGCGCGCTTGTGGTGCTGAGCTAAGTCCCTAGCCTGGTCCTCCATTTTTCTAACCAATGCCTGCACTAGGCTCCTGCTCCAGCCGCTTAGTTTGAGACAGGGACTTAGGATGAGGCCCAGGGCTGGGCTCGGGGTTAGTGGCTCTCCGCATGCTCCTCTTCTTGTGTGTGTGTGGGGGGCCTGTCCGGCACTGTCTCAGATCAAATGGGGATGTGGAGAGCTGAGGCCCCTACTCTGCACAGGGTGTGAGACCTGGGGAGGGGACATGCACTCACAGCCGCCTCTGCCTCCTGCTTCTTCTGCAAGATGTCGCTGGCGGTGTTCTCCCTCTGCTTTTCCAACTCCCTTTCAAGAGAAGCAAATCCACCAGTGAGCCGGTGTCACCCAGCAGCAGTCGGCAGGACCCCACGCTGGACCTGCACCCAGACAGCATCGACATCCTAGTCCCATCCCTAGACAGCTCCGTCCCACCCGGGGCCCTAGGGAGCCCCCGCAGCCTGCCTGGGTCAAACCCACAAACGTGCTTTCCTGCAGTAGCGCGCTGAGGCCTGAGCCGGTACCCAGTGGTCCACTGTGGACTGAAGCCAGCCTTCTGCCCCGTGCCTCGGACCTCAGGAGCATGGGGAGCATGGGGACCCTGGGCTGTGGGGTCTGGAGGCAGAGGGCTCTGGGCTCCATGCAGGCAATGGTAGAAAGCCCCGTGCACATCACCTTGGCTAAGGCCCTTGGGATCAGCTCCAGGGACTGTGACAGGCTTGTGGGACATCCAGGGGCACGGTGAGAACGTGGCCCTCAGGAAGAAGGGAAGCTACTGCTTCTGGTGCCTCCACTCCTGGTCCCTTTGCGGGTGTTGCGGGTACAGAACCCGCTCAGCTGTGTTGCCTGAGCCTCTCCAGATTTTACGCCGAGATGGGCCTGGCTAAGATGCCCAGGTTGGCCCTGAACTCTCAGTCTTCCTACCCAAGCCTCCTGAGTAGTGGGCATGAGAGGCGTGCACCCCATGCCAGGCTGAGCATGTTACTCCCTGCGGTCACAGTTTAGGGTTTATTCCCCGCACCCCAGAAGCTGAACACATCATCTGCTCTGAGCAACATTCCTAGGGAGACAGAGTCTCGATGAGCCACCGAGCCTCCCAGGTCCTTCCTGGCTGAGTTTTCAGTCCTCCTGCCTCCACCCCGAGTGCTCCGAGTCCGTCCCCAGGTGGTGGTCTCGGAACAGAGTGTGTGGCACCTGGCCTCCTCCCCAGGGTGGCCCTGTGGGGCGAAGCAGAGGCCGGTGCAGCCCGAGACTCACTTCTCCTTCTGCGCCCTGAGGTACGGTTTGATGACCAGGCGGTGCATGGCAAAGTAAACCACCAGGGGCCCCACGGTGGCGTAGAACACGGCGCTGGGCAGCAGCTGGTCCGTCAGGTGGATGGGGAAGAAGTAGGTCTGGCTGGCCCTGTTCAGCCTGGGGACAGACAGGCACGGTGAGGCAGCACTCCAGCCCCGGGAGGACTGGGCTCCAGGCCCCCAGGACCCCTGAGCCCAGGCAGAGCGTCTCGTTCCTGAGAAGTCTGTGATGGCTCACAAGCCACGAGATGGAGGATGCTGATTGTGGGCAGGGCCACGCACTCCCCGCTAGGCGGCCATCCCACCAACATTGACTGTGAACTCGGCCACTTACGGAGGCAAAGACTGCGTTCCGTGTTCAAGCCGCAGTCCTGCTCTGGCTGAGCTCAGTCTCTCTGTGTGCCACCACACTGGAATTGTCTTTTAAGTATTTTGGGTTTTTTGAGACCAAATACACTTCATAATACACTTCGGGCTTACCCTGAACTTGGGGTGAGCCCCTGCCTCAGCCTCCTAAGTGCTAGGACTGTAGGCCTGGCTTTGTTTTGAAAACAGAACAAAAATGGCTGAGGCAGGAAGCCTGCAACTTGAAGGCTACCCTGGGTTGCACGGTGAGACTCTGCCTCAGGAAACCAAACACAAAATAAAGAAAGAAGCAAGTATGGCATGGTGGCTGGAGCAGGGGACCCGGGCCTTGCTCAGGACACGCCGGCACAGGTCACCCCTGCAGCCGCTCTATTTATTCCTTGCAAAAACTAGACGACTCCGAGGCCTTTGCCTGCCAGCGAGCGCTCCTGCACTGTGCTATACTGAGTCCAACCTCTGCCAAACTTTGAGACAGGGTCTCAGCTGTTTGCGCTGGCCTTGACCTTGTGAGCCTCCTGCCTCTGCCTGTAGGCGGCTGGATTAGAGCTGTATGGATGGGGCCACTGTGCCCAGTTGTATTTGTTGGTAGTCTGTCTTTTAAGACGGGGTCTCACTAAGTAGCCCAGGCTGATCTCGGACTCAGCAGTCCTCTTGCCTCAGCCTTCTGAGTGCTGGGATTACAGGTACACGCCACCATGCTTGGCCTTTTTATTTTCCTAATTTTAAAATGGGGGGCGGGATTTGGAAGGGTGGGGGAGGGGGATGACTGCAGAAACAGGCCAGCTCGATGGCCCGTTCCAGGTGTCCCAGATGCCCTGGCCACGACAGATGGCTGTGAGCTGCTCTGCTCTCCAGCAAGGGCCCTCTCACCTTGACGCTCCCTACTTCCACCGTAAGGTGAGTCAGAGAGCCAAGTTGGTCCCTGAGCAGGGGAGGGGACGGGACAGTTCTGAGAGTGGTGAGCTGAGCAGGAGCCCAAGGCCACCTCCTGAAGTGGCCACCTATTGCTCCAGGCTGGAGGGTACCCCAGGAGCCGCCCAGGAGGGTGGTTGAGACTTCAGGCTCGGCCTGGGGCTGGGGAGGGCATTTCCTCTGTCATGGGAGCTGACCCAGGCCTCACGCCAGGCCCAGCCCCTGGCTTCGCCGGTCTCTGAGCAGAGGAGCAGCAGGTGCTGAGGGGACTGCAGGAACCTCTGCCTGCATGGAGGGGCCAAGAGGACCAGTTCCGGGGCTGCAGTGACTGAGAGGAGGCAAGGGCCGCGGAGACCCACCAGCCACTCCCCCGTCGGCATGGGGACCCTGAGATGTGACTGCCAGCATGGAGTGTGCTCTTCGAGATGAGCGGGGACCCAGGTTACTCTGGATTCGTGTCAGGTGATGCTGGAGATGATGCTAGCCTCCCTCAGAGCGCACGGGACACTGGGTCCTCAGGGCACAGAACCCACGCACCCCTCCCAGCGCTGCTGGTCATCTTTCAGGTGACAGCGGAAAGAACAAGCCTGCATGTGCCGGGCCCAATGGTTCCCCCTAAGCGTTGTCCTCCCTGTTCTGTGACCCTGGGGATGGAAGCCAGGCGGTTTCCGCTGAGCCTTGCTGCAGGCTCTGACTCGCCCGAGAGAGACTCAGTCTGCAGTCCTCTGGCCCAGCCCCTGTAAACACTGAGGCTGCAGGCATGTGCCACCAAGCATGGCTGGCTTTTCTTCTTTTGAGACAAGATCTTGCTATGTGTAGTCTGGAATTTGCGATCCTCCTGCTTCAGCCTCCCCAGAGCAGGGTTCATGGCAACACCATGCGATGTGGCACCAAACATTTCCACCTGCAGGCCGCCTGCCTGAGCTGGAGACTCAGGACGGGTCCAGCCGGCTCTCGGGGTGAGAGTGCAGTGCCCGAGGGGACTGAAGTCACAAGGCCGGACAGGCCACTCGGGGAGCTCCAGCAGAGGAGGCCCGTGTGTGCCCGAGGGGGCGTGGGTAGCAGCAGCCTGGCCGCTGGACCCAGAGCAGCCAGCAGGAAGCCCCGCAGCTACACAGTGAGAATGACCACGGCAGAGGCCAACAGAGCTCCCTGTGCACTGAGTGCCCTCTGACCTCTGCTCAGGAGGCTGGGAGGGAAGCACAGGGCCCCCGGGGACCCAGACCGCAGAGCCGAGGCCACTGCACCATCGCATGGGCGTCAGGGTGGAGGGGCCAGCCAACTTACTTGACCTTGAGGGAGACGCCCTGCGGGACCCCGATGCTCACGGCCGCACCCAGGACGCTGTGCCTGGAGATCTTCCTCTCGGCCCCGTACTCCACCACTGTCCCGAAGAAGCCTGCCCTGCGGAGTGGAGTTGCTGGGGCCATGTCCTGCGGCCACCCACAGCCCCGCCCATGGGTGTGACTTACTTCAGAGAGCCTTTCACTCGGGTCTGGTCATCGTCTTGGAATTTGTGCTGATAGCTGATCAGGGCGAAGGAGTGCGGGATCCCCAGCTGTGAACACAGAGGAACAGGACCAGGGTCCCTGCAGCCCTGCCATGGCCCGGAGCCCACGGGCTTGGCCACCAGAAGGTCATGGCTCAGGACGTGCTCTGAGCAGCACAGCGTGGAGTGGCACCGTGCGGATTGAACAGTGCGTACCAAGAGCTCCCGGTGTGACCTGTGTGTAGCCCTCCCCCGCAGGACCTGCTCTGAGACGGAGCCTCGGGACTGCACCAAGGGTCATGTGCTAGCTTCTCGACCGCAGGGGCATCTGCACAGCACCAGACGGGAGCACTGCGTCCCCACACTCACCTGTAGGGCCACGGTGAAGTGGCTGGTCTTGGTGTCACGCACGATGCTCGTGTTCATGGCTGACTGGACGCCCCAGCGCCACTGCAGGTAGCCCACCGTGTTCTTGTCCAGGTTCCGAGCCAGGACTGTGGTCAGGCCGGGCCGGATGCCCCGGGACGAAAACTGCAGGGCACAGTTTGTCGTCACAAAGCTGGGGGACAGACAGACAGGCTCTGAGGACACCTGCTTTCAGCTGTGCTGCCCTCTCCCTCTGCCAGGCTGACACCCTGCTTGGGGTTGTCACTGTGAACCCCGGGTCTGGCTCCCAGCGAAACAGAGAGGAGTCTAAGGAAACGGGCGGCAATGGGGTGACCTGCATGCTCGGGACCTTGCAGGACACTGCGCTCCTCAGTGACAGCTCCATGTGACAGCATGGGCCCGAAGAGGCGGTTACACCACCAAGGCGCCCCTGGGCTGACCCACAGCTGTTGACAGCTGGCTACCTGTGACCTCAGGGACCCTTAGCCTGCCTCCTGGATGACAGAGACAGGGTCCACAAGCCCCAGCTACTTCCAGCAACCCCAGAGCAGTTAAATGAGAGCTTTCGGCCACAGGGCTGGCTTTGGGGTGCTGGGGCAAGCTGCCCCCAGGTCCGTGCGTGGCAGTGAGTGAAGCAGGAGGCTCTGAAGCAAGGGCTGAGGGCCTGTAGCGCCATCTTCTGGCCGCAAGCGGTATCTCACTTCAGCAGCGGGGACAGCCCTTCCCCGGAGGAGACAGCACTGACCACATGGCCTAGCTCAGCTGCCTATTTTTCTTCCTCTCTTTCTTCAACACTGAGATCGAACCCAGGACCTCTGCACTGAGTTATAGCTGCAGCCTCTTTAAAACTGTTTTTTAAATTCTGAGTCTCCCAGCCTGGGTTAAGTCTGTGGTCTTTGTTACAAAACTGGGCGGACAGACACCTCGCCATTGAAATAGTACCTGGCACAGCGATTTCCCCTTTCTTTGTTCTTTTCTTTTGGTACTGGGGATGGAACTCACGATCTCGTGCTTGCCAGGCTGGCGCTTATGCCACTGAACTAAATCCCAGCCCTCTGTTCTTTTTTTTAGAGCCAGCATCTAGCTACATAGTCCAGGCGGGCCTTGGACTCACCGTGGTCCTCCTGCCTCAGCCTCCAGCAGGCTGGAATCACAGGCGTGTGCCCCCACACCAGGTGTGCATGACCGTCTCACCCCTCCTCCCTGCTAGTAGCTGCCCTCAGCCAGGTCACCCTGGCCACAGCCCCGTGGGAAAGGACCTGACTGCGCTGGGGCTACAGGAGCAGGCAGAAAACAGACAGAAGAAGTCACCCCACCCGTGTACAGTTTCAAGACTGGGCCGCAGCCTTCTGCTTCGGGATGGAGTCTCACTGGGCTGCGAGGTTGTGACCCTGTCTCAGCCTCCGGAGTGAGTGGGATTGCAGGTGTCACCACCGTACCCAGTTTCACCAGTGCCCTCTCTTAACTGCAGCCTGGACTTGCAAACAACCTGGACCTCAGATGAGGCGGCCCTGACCTGCTCTGGTGGCTGTTTATTAACAGTAAGAACCAGCAGCTGTTTATTAACTTACCCGCTTATAAAGCTGCGTTCTGATGTTTGACAAACTCAACTTTTTTTTTTTCTAGTTTTTGTTGTCAGTGAATAAAACTCAACTTCTAGACCTCCGAGAGCTGCTGACAGCCAGCCCCAGATGGCTGGTGACCACACACAGGACATGAGAGGCCTGAAGGCCTTCCTCAGGGCAGCAGTTCCTTATCTGGAAGCTGATAGATTCCTGGGCCCCGCCTCGGGCACCATTTCTGCTCTCAGCAGAGGCCAGGACCTCACCCCTGCCCGGACCCTTGAGCTGGGCTCTGGGCAGATGTGGTACGCCCCAGAGACTGTGCCTGTGCTGTCCCAGCTGAGTCTCCGCCCGTCCCCACACAGGCTGCCGGGACCCCGGCCCCCGCCCTCTCACCACATTCCGCCCCCTTCCACCACCGGGCTGCAACGAGGTTGTGCTCAGATGCCCATGGCTGTCCACCCAGCACAGAGAAGACACCGGGACACCCCAGGCACTCCGGCCCTGCCAAGGCACCTCCAGTGTCCGTGTCTTTGGCACAGGAAGTCAGCGCTGGCCAGGAGGGCTGGCTGGGTTGGGAGTGGGCCCCTCCCACAGTGACCGAGTGACCAAGAGCACAGGAAGCACACGCCCTTGTCCCCCGTCCACCCGGCTCGGCCCGGAGGAGCAGCACTTGCGTTTACCATCTTGGGGTGAGATTACGGAACAGCTTGAGACCAAGCAGTGGCCCCTGGAGGTCGCCTGCTCCAAACTCCAACTGTTGGAGAGAGAGAGAAAGTGTCAGTGGTTTCTGTTTTGATTTTTTGTGGTAGCAGGGGCTGAACCCAGGGCTTCCCCACCAAGCGACGTCCCCAGCCTGTACATATGCATATAAAACATGCATATAAAATATGTCACACACTCATATAAAATACATACATATATTTGGCATGTTATGCTATATTAAGAGGCCTCCTATTTTTACTTTTTTGGTACTAGGAACTGAACTCAAGACCCTGTGTTTGCCAGGCAGGCTCTCTGCTATGAGCTAAACCCCGGCCCTGCTGTTTTAAGATCACTGCACCCAGGGACCAAGGGTGGTTTAACCTCAGGGCAGGTAGAGCACCATTGGCTGCCCTGCCCGGGATGCAGAAAGGGGCTTCTTCCCAGCACGCCGGGCCGGCCCCGCCTGGGCAGGCGACCACGAGGCCACTTCCTGCCTCTTTTGGCCGCCGTCTGCAGGGTCCCTGTCCTGCTCAAAGGCTGAGCAGCCCGGGTGACTTTTGGGCCACATCAGTGTTCACCTGACACGGCTCTGTGTGCTTGGGCACCCCTGCTGCTTCGGAGACGGTTTCTGGAGGGATCCCAAAGGGCATCTTATTCCACCTCCCATTGCTGTGCCGAGGATCTAATCGGGGACTTAACACTGAGCTACATCCCCAGCCCTTTTAAGTCATTTGGGTCAGTCTAGGAAGCCCAGGCTAGGCTGGAACTTGCAGTCCTACTATGCCTGGGACCCGCGGAGGGAGGGACTTCGAGCCCGTGCCCCATGTCCGGCTTGGTGCCCTAAGTGAACTGCTGGGCAGTCAGACAGGACTCGTGTTTCCTTGGGGTGAGTAGGCTCTGAGTGTGTCATGAAGGCCCTGACTGCTCCCACTGCAACACTGTGAGGCTCGGGAGGGGAAATCCCAGGGCCCGCCCCTCACCTCGCCCCAGCCTTTTGCAGAGGTGACTCGGCGGAGTGCGAAGTTGATGGAGCCTCCTCCGTTGCCGTTCTGGGTGGAGAGGCTTCCTGAGAGGATGGCTGTGTCCGTGGCTGTCAGGGGGGCCTAGAAGGAAAGATTTCCGGTCAGGAGTGGATATGACCGGAAGTGCTGAGAGCCCAGGGCAGAGGCGCAGGTGCCCTGCACCCTGCACACACACAGGACTTGACCACCCTGCTCTCTGACCTCCCCATCATCCGGTTATCTGAGCTGCAGGTGCTAACACGCCATGGCAGTGCTGTCCCTGTCGGACACCCACAGGGAAGCTGGAGACTGAGTGCTGGCTCTGTGCACCCAGGGCAGGAACAGCAAAGCCCAGCCTGTTGTGGGGTTCCGGGCCTTGTAGCCCTCATTCCATCCAGGGGCTGCATTACTGGGCGCTCTCAGTGGGAACGGGGCTCCCCAGGTAATTGTGCTGCGGTGGTGAGCTTGGTGAATGAATGAGGCAGGGAGTGCTGTGCAGAACCGCCTGACCTTGCCACATCAAGCACCAGGCAGAAAGGTGACTTTTGGGGACCCCGGGGCTCAGCATGTGGGGCCGCCTGGCCACATGGCACATGAGAGTGCGCCTTCAACCACCACCTCCTGTGTCATCCCCATGCTCTCTCTCCTGCCTTCAAGTCACCATGGCCCGGGCCATTCACCCCGCCCGGGGACGGTGCCCAGCCTGAGCCCCATGCTGGCTCACGGGCAGGCACCGAGGTAATAGGACCATGCCCGAGTGCTGATCAGATCCTTTCACAGATAAGGATGAAACCCGGCAGAACATGGCCCAGTGGCTCAGGCTCTGGCGCTGCCCTCAGAGGGCTTCTGTGCTTTACCTCGATGGACTGGGATATGTGCATTTTATTAATCTCAATCTGCGGGAAGCTGCTTCCAGATACATCCTCGTATTCCTCGTCATAGCGATCAAAAAGGTCAGTGGCATCTACTCCGACGCTGATGGTTCCCTGCAGCAGAGAAACAAGCGGTCAGCAGGCTGGCGTGGCACGTGGAGCGGAAGGCACCACTGAGGTTCAGCAGCAAGTGGGCTCTGAGCCTGGTGCCTGCTTCATGGTTCATGCTGAACTGCTGCAGAGGCCGCACACCTCGAGCACTGGCCTGCACATCTGCAGGGAGGGGATGGCGGGTCAAGGACAGGCATTCGTGCAGGTGACATTGTGCCCTGCTTGCTCTGGATCCTCAGAGCTGAACAAGACCCTGGATGCACAAAGCCACCAACACACTGGTGACATGAATGAAAGGTTTCTGTGCAAATGCTGACAACCATAAAACTCTAAACATGAAACACCTTCAAAGAGAAGGAAGCATAGGCAAAATAAGTCACTGGGAGCCCGAGCTAGGGGTGTAGTCCCCTGCTGCTGGACCAGCTGCCCCGGCAGAGGTGGGGAGATGAGGGCAGAGCCACCTCCACGCCTGCCCCGCCAGTCTGCAGCTGAGGAACTCGGGGCCAAAGTATTGCTGCAGGGAGCTATGTTTTGGGGTGGTCTGGCCTGCAGCCCCCAGCACAGAACCAAGGGAGCAGGGCTGGAGACAGACAGGCCTGCTGACATGGAGTATGCGCCAGAAACAGCCCTTCTGTGGGCAGATAGCTCCACAGCGGAACCTACATCGGAACCCGCCAGTGCTTTTCCTGTTTGCATCATCAATGTGATTTGTAAAATGCATTTAAATCTGTGTTTTAAGAAAATATTTAATTTTTGAAATCACTTTCAAATAAGCCACTTTAAAGGGTGACAAGCATAAAAGCAGAGCTCATTAACGCATGTTTTAAAAAGATACAATTTTCATCATTTTAGGTAATCTCCCCCAACATCTAAGCTTGACAGAAGGCAGGGAGGGCAGGGAATCCCTAGCCAAAGGCCATCATGAGGACACAGCAATGGAGCGGACCCAGGTGTGCAGCGCCCCCTGGCGGCAGCGTAGGGCGTCGTCGGAGAGGGACAGAGCCTGCTCCTGGCTGGCGGGGGCCACTGCTGTCTCAGTGGTGTTTCACCTCGGGCAGCCTGGCTGGGCTCCTGCGGCTCTCTGGGGAAAGGCAGTGGTACCATGTGCATTTTTTCTCTTATTATGTACCCAACTGTGTCGGCTAAAGCTTCCATACTGGGTTTTCTTTCCTTTTCTAGAGAAAAGTTTAAAATGGTTAAGTCCTCGTGCCAGGGCCATGCTGAGAACCCACCAACCCCCCAGTGCACGGGTGGCCTTTGAAAGTTTAAAGCACCACCCAGCCATTGTTTCCAACTCCTCTGTTTCTCCCCTAGATGAGGACACAACACCCGAATACTCCAATGAGCCACAGTCTGCAGACTTAACGGCCTAACCCTAACCCTAAGGACAAAACCAGAAGTGCCATGCGAGCAGGGACTGCGAGGCACAGGTTCCACCCTCTTGATGAGTGAGCTGCCCCGTGGCCAGGTCCTCAGGCCGACGAGGATCCTGCTTGAGTTAGGGGCTCAGCACGCCTCCTCCTGCTGGCCCCCACCTGAGGGAAGTGACCTTCGGAAAACTCACGGGTCACAGCACACAGCACACTCGGGCTCCTTCACTCTGTGCCCCGAGGGTGGAGCCGCAGTACCCCTTCCTGCGTGCTCCTCCACTGTGTGTGGGCACGGGCGGACGCAGGGTGAGAGCAGTGAAAAGGCAGAGATTTAAATTCTGACCAAGAATCGAAAACATAAAGCAAGAGACAAACAGCAAGCAATCCCTGGATACACCACTGGCTTTCACTTCCCTAGCAACCGCTGTATCTGCAGTATCTGCAGAGTGATATCCATTATACTGGAGTTGTCAGATCATTTTCCATAAAAAAGGTGCACAAGGAAAGCACCTTCCTTTAAGCAGCCTCGACCCCCGCCCTCGGCCTCCCAAGAGCTGGGATTACAGGCGCGCACCACCAGCCTGGACCCTAGAAAAGTACTAAGCTTCCTACTACTCACACGTTTCGCTGTAGTTTTCCAGAGCAAGGTCATCAAACCTCTGTGACAGGAGGGGAATAAACTGTGGGCAGCTACGGCTGGGACTGCCCGGCCCTGCTGCCCTGGGCGCTGGTGTGTAGGGGCTCAAGCCCAGGCTCTGCCCACACTGGGCAAGCGGCCTTGCACTAGGCCCCCCTCCCGGCCCCGGGAACAAGTGTGTGCGACTGTGCACTAATAAAACGTAACGAAGGACACTGCAACCTGAGTCTCATAGAACTTTCACGTCATAGAATATTCTTCTGATTGTTTTCTTTTTGAGACAGGGTCTCGCTGTATAGTTCAGGGAACTCACTGTGTAGCCTAGGCTGGCCTTAACTTGTGGCAATCCTCTTGCCTCGGCCTCCTCAGGGCTGGGAGTACAGGCCCGCCTGTGCCACCATGCCCCACCCCCCCAGTTCCTTACAATGCTCAAAATGTAAAAGTTATTCTTAGCTCATAGCCCCTATAACAAAGCCCTGGCCACAGTCTGTTAACGTCAATTACAAGGCACTCAATTTCTTTCCATAAAGTAAACACCACTTTGATGTAGTTAAATTAAAGGATTTTTTTTTTTGGGTGTGTATGTGTGTGTGTGTTTGGTTTTTTTTTTTGGTACCAGGGATTGAACTCAGGACCTCACACTTACCAGGCAGGTGCTTGTGGCACTGAGTTAAATCCTGTTTTTGTTTGAGACAGAACATACTATGTAGTCTACACTGGCCTCGAAATCACTGACAATCCTCCTGCGCCAGCCTCCAGTACGCTGGGATAAAAGGCATGTGACCCTGGCCCAGCTGGAATGTCTTTTTTTTTGTACCGGTACCAGGGATCGAACCCACGACTGTACGCTTGCAAGGCAGGCGCTTATGCTGCTGAGCTGAATTGTGGTACTGGGGCTTGAACATGGTAGGCAAGTCTCTACCACAGGAGTTCTAGCCCCAGTCCTTTTCAGTTTTTATTTTGAGACAGGATCTTGTTCAGTTGCCCAGGCTGGACTTGAATTTGTAATCCTCCTGCCTCAGCCTCCTTAAGTAGCTGTGATCACAGGTGTGTGCCACCACACCTGGCTTAACTGGAATTTTGACTGAGAAACGTGATGAATGAGAACCAAGGTTCCTATGTGGTTATGGGAAATAATGAAGGACATGGCACATGCCTGCAGCCTCTGCACCTGGGGACCAGCAGCCCCGGGAGCTGGCTAAAGGGCAGGGCCGGGACCCTGCCTGCTCAGGCCTTGCCCCGCCTCCCTTGGTTCGGCAGGACTCCGGCTGCCAGGCACTGTCTGGGGGAAGCAGGGCCTGCGGGTGACAGGACTGCTGCGCAGGAGTCTCTCTCATACAGGAGGCCCAGCCCGCCACCTGTAGGAAGATGGTCTGGGACCTGAACATATTTCTTATGATTCAATGCCTGCCCTGATTACATTTTTTTTCAGATAAAGGTGAATTAAGCTTCTAAGCCATCACATGAAGCACACTGCTAACAACGGAGCCTTTCTAAAAGCCAAGACGGTCGTGCTAGAGTGTGTCAGCCTCTGGAATGTGGGAAGAGTGGAACGGGCCAGAAAACAACACAACACTCTCCCTCAAACTCTTCTGTAACAGGATCGAAAAATAAATACATCCCAGCACTTGGGAAGCTGAGGCAGGAGGATCACCACGAGTTCAAGGCCAGATTGAACTACCGAGCAAGACCCTGTCTCAAATAAAGAAAAGGAAAGGAAAGGAAAAAGAAACACAGGCCCCGAGGGACCATTCAGCCGTCCACAGACCCCTAACTGAATCCTCCAGTGCACCGGGCGCCAAGGAAGTTCACGACCAGGCAGCAACACAGCCACACAGCTGCCTGTGGTCCCCTCGCTTCTAAAGATGCTTGACATGGCTGCACTCCAGACAGAGGTCCAGGGGTGATAAAAAAAGAAATTAAGGCCAAGCCTCATGGGGCAGGCCTGTAATCCCAGCACGAGGGAGGCTGAGGCAGGAGTCTGAGGCCAGTCTGAACACATGGCCAGCACGTGTCTCAACACACGCACGCCAGAGACAGACAGCGCACACAGAACAGAGCAACTGCGGCCTCGTCCTCTACTCTGTGACCCGGTCTCTGAGGCAGCAGAAGGCCTGGACTAGCCAGGGAGAGCAGGGGCCTGAGGACAGAGCGAGGTGGACAGCGAGGTCCAATCAGGTCCTGCTCCTTCTCCAGGCCGGCTCCCACAGCTGCCCGCAGACACCGGGACCCCCGCCCCAGGGCCTGGCGTTTCCCATCACTTCCCCAAGTGCAGCACAGCAGAAGACAGAGCAGGGAGGAGCAGCGGTGCAGGCCTGGAGCACTGGACACACCTGGCCAAACACAGACCAGAAGTGGCATCTGCGATCAGCTCTAGGGACCTGACCCCGGGCCTAAGACTCTACCCCGCGGCCCTGAGTGCATGTGCCCGCACACCCTCTGCCCTCCACACCGGCACTGGCACTCTACACTGTGAGGTGTAGGGGCCCTGGGCGCGGAGGAGGCCAGGATGCGATCAGAGGGCCACTGCTGTGCCCAGCGGACAGAGCCCACCAAGCAGCCCGGGGAAATCCCAGCACAGAAACAGGTGCTGAACCTCACCCAGCTCAAGCACCACCTGGCTTCCCTTTCGTTCATAAATCAACATCTATCTTGTGTTTATTCAGTCTTTCAACAGCTTGGGGTGGTGGGAAGGACACGGGTCCTCGTTTCTCAGCTGGCATCTGCTCCGGCCCTGCCTCCCTGTGCAGGCACCGTCCCTCACCAGCCCTTCTTCCGCTGCCCACCATCTACCGCAAAACCCCTACTTCTGGCTCGCCGGGGAGACAGGTGGCAGGGTCACAGGGTCACCCCGCCTGCTATCCCCGACAGGCTGGGGTGCTGTGGGTCCACATGTCCTTTTCCCTGTGGGCACCCTTAGGAGGGGATGTCCCAAACTAGAGGCTCACCTTGAGAAGAATGAAAGCCCAGAAGAATGAAATGGGACGAAAAGTTCAGTCAAATCCCCTTTTCAAAATGCTGCTCAGCAGTGTCCTCTCACTGCACAGAAACACGGCCTGGGTCCCAGACACACTGGCCCCATGCGGACAGCCCATAGGGTGGCAGGACACAGGTCAGGACACGGGGTGTGGTAGGATCCCAGCCGGAAAAGCAGAGCCACTAGGGTGACAGCCTTTTTCTGCCTGGCCTGGCCTGGCCTGCCCCCATCCTCACATCTGCCAACACTGACCTTCCAAACCAGACCCCACGCGGCCTGCACCCGTGGGGCCAGCCCAGCAGCAGAGACGCTGAGGGGGCGCCGCAGACCTCCCTGACTCTCCAGGTACCTGAGCTCCCTGACCCGGTCTCTACCTGCATCTGGCCAAAGGAGGATCTGCACAACTAAAGCTGTCACCTCCTGGGTGTGTGTCCGTTGGTGTGTGTGAGCCATGGGTGACACTGGTGGCTCACACTGTTAGCATTTACCAATATAGTCAGCCTCAATGGCAACAGTGCTGTATTCATGGACTCAACCAACCATGGACTGAAAACACTCAAGAAAAAAATGTTTCAGCCTTGGGATTCAGAGGCAGTGGCCAGGTCCTCTAAGGCATTAGCAGTAACTCGGGATCACACTGTCACTGGTATACCCGGCCCAGTAAAGTTCAGATAGACATCAGTTACCGAGTAGGTGGCCAGCACCTGCCTTTGTTCTTCCCAAGGTAGCCCTGCCATGTCACCCGACTCCCTGCTGGACCAGCATCAGCTAGGCAGCTGCGCTTGGCATCCTGTGGAGGCTGACTACAGTCACACCCACACTGGGACTGCTGACCATCCTGCCCAGAGGCCTCCAGGACAGCCCACTTCCAGGGCTTCTGTGTCTCTCAGGCGCTATTCTGATTCCCCAATGAACCTTTCCTGCTCTGAAAAAAAGAAAAATGTCTGCACTGGACGTGGACAGGCATTGGACGTGGACAGGTCTTTTTCCTTCCCCAGGCAGTCCTACTCTGTATCATTACAGTACAGGGTCACTGGAGACAGTCCTGAGAACTCAGAGAAACGTGCGGGTCACGTGCTCATGCCGTGCAGTCTTGTGCAAGACTTGAGCTCCTGAGGGGCTGGGAACCTTGGAGAAGCTCCATCCTGAGCCGGTGGGGCACTGAGGGGAGACCGACTGCAGGCCTGTTCTCAAGCTCAGTCCTTTAAATGCTGTCGGGGCTTTAGAATTAATTTGGTCAAGGTTTACCCACTGTGCTTCCCAGTTTAATTAGCCGGCACTGTGCTTTCTAGATTGGAGAGAAAAACAACGCAGCTTCCCGTTGGCTCTGTATGGCCTCGCCCCTCCTTCCAGCACTGCATGGCTCTGGGCTGGGAGCCTTTGGGAAGAGCCACGTGGACCGTACACCCCTTATCACGACACATGCAGCTGTGTTCTGGTCACAGATAGGGCCTGGCCACTGAGTCCAGCATCATACGCTGATGAACGGCACACTGGTCCTGGCCAGCTACTTGCCACTGGGCCCTAATGGCCAGCATCCTACTTGCCACAGGTCAGGCCACATTGGACAGTAGAAAACAAAAGATCCTGGATGCTAGACGGTAAGCAGCTCTCTGCCTCTGAATGTTACTGGGTTAGACAACTCCAGCTCTGCCAGGGCCCTGGGCCACCCTGCGGCTGCTGAGACGGCACTGATCAGTGACCACAGCGCAGACCTCCTGGATGAAGCCAGCAGGGCCTGGCCAGGTGAACCAGAAATGCCCTGGGCTGTTATGGCTGAAAGCTCTAAGAGGCCGTGGGTGACACTGCTGGAGAAGGAGGTCTCAGCCTGCGTCTCTGTTGGTGATGGGGGGCAGACATATGGACGGACACGGGGCACACGGCTGAGCCTCCCCTGTGTGCTGAGAGACACCGGCTTTCAGGGCCTTACCAGTTCCCCCAGCAAGGGCCACTTGGTAACAGAATAAGTGAAGTTTCAGGCCGTCTGATTCTGATGCTGACTGCTCTCACATTAGAGACCCATCCCGGCTGTTCTTGACCCGCCTTCCGCGGCACAGCTACCTTGGGGTTGGTTCGCTGCTGCAGCCTCCTCTCCTCCCGCTCTCTCTGCAGCCGCTCGAACTCTTCTCTGATCTCGGCCGGGGTCCTCCTCCTCTCCACCACCTGTGGGAGAAGCAGAACGGGGGATGCTGAGGACCAGAGGCCAGGAGAACACCTGGGGTGCTGAGGGCGCCTCCCCAGCCCTGGGGGACAGTGGGGAGCTCAGCCCTCCAGCAGCCTCTGCCCTCCCCATCTGTGCTTGCCTGACCCACCATCTATCTTCATTCTAGAAGCTTCTCTCTGAGGCTGCAGGACTCTTACAGCAAGAATCCCAGCTTCAGTTTCCCAGCCAGTTCTGGGACCCCATCAGGAATGTTAATAGGGGCCCCACTGAAGAACCCCATGGCTGCCTGGACCACTCATCACCAACGGGAGTCTGGGTATCCTAGAGTCGAAGGACTCATCCTCCTGCACCGTGACAGGATCCCGGCATGACCAGGCGGTGACACTCCTGTCTCAGTGCACTGGGCCCGAGAGACAGCAGACTGTGACAACCCAGTATGCAAGCATGGCGGTGCATGCCCGGATCCCAGGACTCAGCAGGCTGAGGCAGGAGGACCCTTGCGAGACCTGCCTGGGCGCCAGCGAGCTAAGGCCAGCCTGAACTGCGTAGTGAGACCCCGTCTCGAAGAGACAGAACAAAAGCAAAAGCAAAGGCGAAACAGTGAAGGCTGCCAGGAGGGAGCGGAGGCCAGCCTGGAGGAGGCAGCCCTGGATGCCAAGGCCCCACGTGAGAACAGCGCGGCGCAGGGACGCGAGAAGCCGTGACGCCTCCTCTGCTGCGAGCTGCTGGGAGGTGGCTGGGGACACAGTCGGAAAACACGTTCCCTGCGCGGGAGGAACACAGGCCGCTGGGAGGTGCTCCCATGATGGATGACGCCAGGAAAAGCTACTGGGAAATCCCTGGAACAATCGCTCAAAAGCCTCAAGAGAAGAACATCACGACAACCACACACCAGCGAAACCAGGACCAGACCCCGCTGCCCGCGGCCCCGCTTCGCAGCTTGGCATTTTCGGTCTGTTCCTAAAAACTTTCCTTTGTATGCATGTTCGCAGGTATGTGAGCGCCTAAATATTTCTACCACGGTAACACAAAAAATTAAGAGCAACACTTTCTCCTCAGATAAAACAATATAAATCAATTACTAAAAAGGAACTAATTTTTAAGGTAGCTTTAAAACGGTAAAACTTGTTATCCCCCACGACAAATGGGAAGTTCTAAACGGCATGGAAGTGACTGCCTTTCAGGACTCACAAGAGACCCAGTCCCAGGGCTGGGGACACCGCTCGGCGGCACAGTGCCTGCCTGCCAGCTCCAGGCTGTGAGTTCAATCCCCAGTACCAAAAAAAAAACGAAAACAAAACAAGACACCCAGTTGCACTTGCATGGCAAGTGAGTCCCGCCCGGCTCACACTGCCCTGTCTGGGGGGCACTGCCTGCGCCCAGTCGGAAGCCAGGTATGACTTTCAGGGTTCCCAGCGCTCTCTCAGCCTCCCAAAGAAACATAAAGCGGTGCCAGAGGAACGCGGGCACTCGACTACTCCACTTAACTCTGAAGGGCCACAAAACAGGACTTAAAATATTTTAAACTGCTGGGGACCCACCACTGAGTGCTCGGGTCCCTGCCAATGACAAGGACAAGTGTGTCAGGCGTGAAACTTGGGTCTGAAGGGGAAGTGGGTCCTCTTCTGACCTGGATGAGAGCCTCCATAGCTGAGTGTTATGAACAGGATGCTGGGTCTTTTTTTGTTGTTATCTTTTTTTGGGGAGGGGGTGGGGGGGGTCCTGGGGATTGAGCACATGACCTCATGCTTGCCAGACAGGCACTTCCTCCACTGAGCTGAATCCCCAGCCCCTGTTGTCTTTTGAGACAAGGTCTCACAGTTCAGGGTAGTCATGAGCTCACTCTGTAGCCCAGTCTGGTCTCAAACTTGCAATGAGCCTCCTGCTTTGAGTGCTGAGATTACAGGCATACGCCACCACACCCTGCAGAATGCTGGGTTTTAAAAATGCAAATTAAACAACACTTAGGCACTGGGCATGGTGGTGCATGCTAATCCTCCCAGCACTCAGGAGGCTGAGGCAGGAGGACTGCCATGAGGCCCACCTGCCAACTACTCAGTGGGGGGCCAGGCAGGGCAGGTGGAGTGACAGGGAGTGTGGGGACAGGGACCAGGCACATAGTGCAGTCTGAGGCCTGTGTGCTGAGCCTAGGTCCCCTGCACACATCTGGGGCTTCACAGACAGAAGCCTGGATTATCACACAAAATCTCTGGTGTGGAGCGATGCACACGCAGCTCCAGGTAGAATACAGGCACAGCCACCATGGAGGGAGGGAAAGGGTCACAGCTCATTCCCTGCACCACGCCCCACTCAGGAGTCACATGCGTGCGTGAGGCTACACAGCAAAGGAATTTCCAGGGACATCTATGATCAAGGGAAAGAAAACCAAGAAGAGACAACTCAGTGTTATTAACTAACAGCCTGCCACAAGCTCCTAGGGATCGGAATTCAGTTGCGTCACTGAAATTAGGTATCATAAAACCCTGGTTTCCCTGCAGCAGCGCGATGGTCACACCTCCACTCCTCAGCAAAGCCGCCGATGACCCCACAGGGCTCCAGAACCTCAGCAGCTGAGACGAAGGAGAGTGCATCGGAGGCGCCTGGGCTCCTGTGCCTGCCCTCACACGGCGCCCGCTGCCCAGGCTGCACTGGGCTCAGGCTGACAGTGTTCCGACACCACCGCACACGGCAGCCGAGGCTGCAGCGCGCCGCAGTCCAGCCCGTCTCAGTGTTCCTGTTGGAGTTTTTCAGTGCGATAAAGGGGCAGAACATAAGAAAAAGTAAAAGTGGCCTTTATTCCAAGGCCGTGGAGAGAAGCCATAACCCGAGCGGTCTGGGTTTTCTCTGCCTGGATATGGGGCTGGGGTGGGCACTGATGACCCTGCGGGGCCGACTGGGATTTTCCTCCAGTGCACTGGGGAAGGACAAAGGAAGCTGTAATAGCGGAAGGAGGAAGGAGTGACCTCGGGGCAAACATCCCCGATTCAGCCTGGCGCCGCCATAACGTCCTGTAATTTATTCTAGGGCCAAACTCTTTCGGTTCTTTGCCTCCGTTTTGTCCACAAGAGCAACCCATTCCCGAGAGAAGCAATTCCCTCAACAGGTCTTCAAGGAGGAGCAGAGAGGCACAGATGGTGGTGAGCGGAAGGGGGCGAGGGTGGCCACAGTCGCAGCCTTGAGGCAGGCCCACCGGTTCCCGCTCGGGCCTTAGGGTGAAGCCTCCAGGGTGGGGTCACTTGTCCAAATTCACAGTCCCACAGTGGCAAAGCCCGCGTGAGAATCCGACCTCGCACACTGGAACCCGAGGCGAGGCAAGGAGAGTGGGTGTCTCAAATAGCCCCCAGCGGCTCGCGGGGCGTTTCGGAGCTGCTGGGCGGCTCTCGGGGGCCCAGGCGCAGTGGTGCTTACCTCCCATCCTTCCATCTCCAGGCCTCGCTTCCCATATATATCATAGATGGCCCTGGTTTGGGGGTCACTGAGCACTGCAATTAAGAAGATCAGACGTGTCAGGAGGTTCAACTTGCGCCTTTCAGTCCCCTCTAAAAACTCCCGTGTCCCCACAGGCCCCTTCCTTCAGGTTCAGCCTCCAGGATCCCAGCTGGCGCTCGGTTGGTCACTAAGGGACCACTGCCCTTAAACAGTGCAGCTGGTCTCTTGCACACAGGCTGGACAGTCAATTCTAGTGTTTAGCACACGATCTGAATATTTAGTGTACTACCCCAAAGGCAGTGTACACCCCATTGTGTGTGTGGATACACACCCTCCTCTTTATTTGCAAATTATTTAAAGATACACACAAGGTGGTGGGCTACACCTAAAAATACATAATACAAGGACTTCCGCAAGAGCAGGAGCTACTCAGAGGCTATGCAAACCGAACTGAAGCCAAGGGTGGCCACCCCCTCCCCACTCCCTTATATGCAGGACCTCTGCCTCCTCCACAGAGCTCTCATGTATTTTTAGGCCTAATTAAAAAGACACAAATGAGTCTATCCACATTCAAATCTACTGGGGAAAAGGAAATGCTGACCACTGGCAAACTCGGGAGACAAACTTGAGAGCTCCTCCTAGGACTTACTAAGGCAGTGCCTGGTCATTGTTTTCCTTGTCTCTGCTGGGGTGAAATGCTGCTGCTGCGGGGGTCAGGACCCCAAGGACAGGTAGGTTCCCTGCCAGCTGCCCCCACAGCAGTGCGGATAATTTAGACAGCAGAAAGCCAGGGTTTTTACACAGCTGGGGTGGCTGAATAGTTAAATTTGGTGACTAGCTGGGACAACACTGGTGGCTTCAGGGCCCCATTCACAATGTAATCAAACACCTGGAAAAACAGTAAACATCACTTTGTGCTGTGTCTACAGTTGGGAGTCTCTGTTGTTACGTGAACAAACACATTATTACCTAGCTTGGGTAGCTGGGAATTTTGCAATGAACCACTTTTTCTACTTGATATATATCCTGAGAGTGAGTGAATATAATTTGTTGTTTTTAATTCTTAAATTATGGTGAAACAGATGCAACTTTCTATTTTAAAGTGTGTAATTCAGCTTGGCACGGTGGCGTATGCCTGTGATGCCAGCACTCCGGAGGCTGAAGCGGGAGGGTCAGCCTGGGCTACACAGAGAGCCCTGTCTCAAAAAGAACAAGTGTCACTGAGCAGCACGGAGCGTTCAGAGTGCTGTGCAATTATGGCCACTGTTTCCAGTACTTTTCACCGGCCTCAGAAGATAAACCGTCTGTTAGTGACTGTGATACTTTATAAACAAACCTAGCACAATTTTTCTTTCTGATATACGCAAGATGTAAGTCTAAAAATCTTAATTACTGGGTCTTATTTCCTATTGGCTGTGTTCTTAACTTCACTTTCTGTCTTTTGTAAGACTCTTCACTGAATGCTAAGAAACAATAAAATTGTCTGTGGATGAAAAAGTGTGCTTGAGGGGCTGGGGATTTAGCTCAGCGGCATAAGCACCTGTCTTGAAAGCAGGCAGTCGTGAGTTCGATCCCTGGTACTGATAAAAACGAAAAAAAGCCAAAAAAAAAAAAAAAAAAAGTGTGCTTGCAGCTTCTCACAAAAGGGAGAACCCAGACAGCTTCTTGGTAAGAGCAGCCTTCTCCTCCAGCGTTCCGAGCCGCAGTGTTCCCGCGCTCCAGACCCCCCCCCTGGAGTCTCATTCTCTACTCGCTGGACACATATTGATTTCCAAAGCAAAATACTGCTCTTTCAAAGGACCCTGTCAGTGAAAACCACTGAACTAACCACCTCTTTTATACACCTCTGAGGACTCTCCTTTTCTATCCTCTGCAAATCAAGCCTCTTAAAAATCGAACACCTGCCACCAGGTGTCCCTGCGCAGCCAAGCCCTCCGCTGACCTTCATAAGCCTGGTGAACAAGGTTAAACAGCCGTTCTGCCTGTGATTTCAGCTCCGGGTCTCTGTGCTTGTCCGGATGGTAAAGCATACACAGCCTGCGGTAGGCAGCTTTCAGCTCCTCGGAAGAGGCCTAAAGGAAGAAAAATTCAATTAGAGAGCAATCAATGGGACTTAAACATTATCACGATCAGAATCAGCCTTGAAATGGGAACCTGTCGGCCACACTCCAGCATGCTTGTCCTCTCTGTCCGGGATGTAATGAAGTTATGCTTTATTACCTCAACGAGGCTTCTTTTTTCTACAGTTAATAAAGTGATCAATTATGTACATCAATAGCGACTGGGCTGTGCCGGGGAGCCCTGCGATTGGATGGAACCAAAGCCTCCGGGTCCACCCCGGCCCACTGTGCTCCGAAATGGAGCTAAAATGTCTCCTTAACCCAGCATGAGTTGCGGGATGGAGATCACACCGAGGAATACGGACAGGAACGGCAGCCACTGCAGCAGCTTTCGCCTAAGAAGACGCAAGCGCACAAATCCTAAAAACTGGTAACTGGTAAGAGCGGCTGCACCTCTCATTCAACCTCTGACCCTAAAAGCGGCAAACCTGCCTCCCTAACCAGCCCAAGCTTCCCGACACAAAGCTGCCCGCAGGCGACAGCAGGGCTCCCATGTGTCAGCCCACAGGGCAAGAAGGCAGGAAGGGCCGCGAGGGCCTGCGCTCCTTGGCCTCCTCTCCGTGTGGGAGCTCCATGCAGGCCGCTGGCCTTGGGGACCACTTGGGGTGACAGAGTGATGCCACTGCTGAAGGGACAGAGGCGGAAGATGACTTGTCAAGGGGACAGCAGGTTAGCATTCTGACAACTGTCACTGAGACCATCTGGGAGGAACAAGGATGGGCCCAGGTCCTGGGGCGGTCTCCCAGGACCCTGCAGTGCGCTAGGGTCAGGTCACAGGGACAAAAGGAACTCAGCTACCACACTACACTGGACTTCTGTAAAACGTCCACAAAGTTGCAACATCTTTCAATTCCAGGCCTAATGACCCCCCCACATACACACTTTAGTTGTATTTTTGGCAGGAACCGGCCGTATTTCCTACAGCACCATGTCATTCAGAATCTAGAGGGCTGGGAAATGTGTGAGCTTAGCAGAGGGGCTCAGGACAAATCCTTAAGACCGTGAAGAGGGAAATGATAAAGGGGACCCCAAGGACACACAGAGGACAAGTGGCCTGCCAGACACACATGCGTCAAAGGCTGGGGGGTCCTGCCCTGTGCCCTTGCCCCTCCTCATCTGTGTGTGGCATGTCCCTCTGTCTGAGCCCCACCCTCCTGGGCTTGCCACGCAGAAAACCCACGGTGAGCGCAGGGATGGCGCCCAGCAGCATGGCATCAGCCTGGCAAGTGTGCGGTCCCAGGTTCGAGTCCCTGTACCCTCCACCCTGAAAAGAGAAAAAGAAAAGCTGCAGCGGGGCCCAGCCAAGAAGCCAGTCCTTCAGGCCCAGAAGTCAGTCAAGGATCCCAAGATGGAGCGTCCAGCCAGCCAAGCTGGCCAGAGATTGGACTCCTGCACCTCCTGTGACTCCCCACCCTGCCCTTTCCCGGGGCGGCCTCTGGGAGCGATGCTGCTGAATGCTCTGGCTGGCTGCCTCTGCCTCCCCTCCACCTGTCACCCGAGGGCTCTGCTCCATGGCTATGCACTGACCGCCATGTCAGGGGCTGAGAACAAGAGAGGCTCTCGTGTTGGGGGTCAGATCTGCCACCTTGTGGTCTGACTTGGCAGGGTGATCTTTAGCTTCCTTATCTGAAAAGGGACAGTGACAACACATCTCCCAGGGACAGTGTGGGAATGAATCCACTGGGGGTTTTACAGTGCTCTGCTTCATATGTAGCAAAGGCTTACAGGTTGCAGCCTTTCCTGTTTGTTTTGAGACAGTCTTGCTGTGTAGCCCAGGCTGCCTTGAACTCTGCACCCAGGCTGCCCTGGGCTTGTGGTGACCCTCCTGTCACAGCCTGAGAGCACTGGAATTGCAGGCATGCACCCCCGTGCCCAGCCACAGCTCTTTCCGAGTCTTCTGTCTCTGCATCAGAAGATGGAAGGGAGTGAACACACGTGCAAGCATCACCTGGGGCCGGAACCAGTAACTGCTTCTGGCAATTCAGCTCCACCTTCCCGGCTGCACCAGTAGCGACCCTGGCAGTCTCCTTTGCGAAAGTTCACCAAGCTGGGCACTGGGCGCTTTTCTCCTTGGCTCTGCATCGCGGGAAGCGCGAGGCTGCAGGAGGGGACCGGCTCCCGGAGTTCCAGCTCTGCAGCCTCTCCCTACCTGTCCCAGTCCCAGGCGCCTCTGGGGCCAGTGCTAACCACGCAACACCCTTCCTACCACACTCTGCGACATGCTACCGGTGCCAAAGCCTGGGGTCTTGGGTTTAAGTGACACAGAACAATGGGAAAATAAAGCCCGTTTTCTCCTGGCGGGTTTCTGCATGTGAGGATGTAAAGGGGCTTGTCAGTCCCTATGCGACCCTTACAAACTTTTCTTCCTGCAGATTTTAACTGTTTTTCCCTGTAGCTATGAAAGTGAGACCCACAGCAGTAGATGGACTTGAGTGAGTCCAGGGTAAGATGCTGTTTCCTGGGGATCAGAATTAACGCAGATGACAAGGAAGTAGATAGAATATCTCGTGTGCAAGACCTTTAATCACACTAATAAATGGCTTAATGTCCTATTGATTAAGTAATGGAAATGAGAAGTTTCATTTTTAATAAATATCACATTCAATAAAAGGTTAGATTAGGCCTTTCATCAGGACTGAATAGCTAAGGTCACTGGTTCGATATTTCATAAATGATAACCTTTTTCCTCATCATAAAAATATTGGTATCATTTCAAAGTGTAATGAGGTATCATTAAAAATGATGCCTGAAGTTACATACTTGCTTCTAAACTTATATAATAAAACTGAGAGGTGTACCAAGCTTTAAGTCTGAAAAGTCCTATCGTCTTAGTCATCTGGTTAGATTTTCACTGGGCAGACAGAGGTCACAAATCAGGTCTCTATGGGTTTGAAAGACTGACATCTACAGAGCGCCTGCCTGCCACAGCATTAAGTTAGAAATCAATTACAAAAGGCTGGGAAATATGCAATTTGTGGAAATTAAACAATATACCCTTAACCAGTGGATTCAAGAGGAAATTACAAGGGAAACTGGAAAATACACAGACACAAATGGGAACGAAAATCAAGTGCCCAAACGAAACGAAATGAAAGCCACCCCATAAGGGGGCGTGGGTGCTGGGGTGCACCTCAGGGGCGGCACCATGCTCAGCATGCGCCACGCCTGGCTCTGAACCCCAGGCTGCAAAGGGCGGCAGCAGAAAGATGTCACACCGTGAACCCAACTTTTCCGCCTGGAGCGCTAAGGCCTGCGTGCAGCTTGAGTGTGCCCTCGTGCAGGTTGAGTGTGCCCTTGTGCAGGTTGAGTGTGCCCTCGGAGGCCGGCCTCTGGGAGGAGCCCCAGCGCGGGGATGTGGTGGGGTGGCTGCTGTGCAGGTCGTTAGGTGACGGTGGGGGGCGGCGGCGTGCCCCAGCTTCCTGGGCCCTTGCCGGCTCCCAGGCTCCCAGGCTCCCGCTGTGCCCTGCCATCCACCCCAAGCCTCCTCCAGAGCCTTGCCTTGCAGCACCCCCACCCCAGCTGGGTGTGAATAAGCCTCTATACCCTACCTTGCTAGGAGTACTTTGCTACAATAATGGAAAACAGACTAATATCAGGACCTAGAAAAAGAACTGGAGTACAGTACTTCCCAAGAAGTAATCTGGGAGAAAGGGAAAGTTCCGATAGGTCTCTTGATTGTCCTGGAGACTGAACCGGCAAGCAAGACCTTCACAAAGGAAACCTTAATGGGGACTCTTCCAGCACTCAGGAGGCTGAGGCAGGAGGGTCCTTAAGAGTTCAAGACCAGCCTGGGCTACAAAATAAGCTCAAGGCCAGCCTCAACTGCATGAGACCTTGCCTCAAAAAGACAAAACAAACAAACAAACAAACAAATAAAAACATTTTTAAAAGGGAACCAGTACCAATTCTCAAACTCCAAAACCCTGAGGAGAAGGCTTCCAGACTCATTCTGAGAGGCCAGAATTATCTGGATACCAAAGCCCAAAGATTACACAAAAGGAGATCCACAAACCAATATCCCTCATGAACAGCAGTAAAAAAATCCTTAAGAAAATACTAAAAATAAATCAGTAGCACAATAAAAAGTTGTACTGATGAGCTACAAGGTGCGACTTTGTCTGAAAAAAAAAAAAAACCAAACCAAACCAAACCAAACCAAACAAACAAAATTATACCATAAAAAGTGCTATCATTCTTGGAATGCAAGTACTGTTCAACATATGAAAATAAATGAACATAATATCTCATATTCGCAGAATGAAATATTTAAAAATCCCACATCATTTCAATAGTGTAGAAAAGCAACTGGCGAAATTCAGAACCCATTCGTGAGAAAGATAGGAACAAAGGACGCACCCCCATAACAAGGTCAGACACGGAGGTTTCTCAGGGAGTAGCAGAAGATTGAAAGCTTTTTCTAAAATCAGGAACAGGACATGGACGCTTGCTTTTCCCACTCTGATTAAACAAACTACTGGAAACAAACTACTTCCAGCCAGAGTGATCAGGCAAGAAAAAGAAATGAAGGCCTCCAAGTTGGAAAAGCAGCAGAATGATCTGTTCCCAGACGGCCTGACCTGTACGTGAGAACTCAGAGACCTCTGAGCTGTCAGAACTGAACATGAACCCAGCAGAGCAGGGTACAAGGCCGCCCCACGGACACCATCCTGTTGGACGGACGGCAGTGGGGGTTGAAGCACCTCACACTCCGCTACATTCGCCAGGCCCTCTTTCCTCTTTCCTGCTTTCAAATTTGAGACAGGGTCTAAGTCCGCCTCCCAGGCTGGGCTTGATCTTCGATCCTCCTGCCTCGGCCTGCCAGCGTGCTGGGATTACAAGTGTGTGCCACCATGCCCAACTTAACTTGTGTTCTTAGGCACTCACAATGAAGATCTAGAAAGGAATCATTCCAGGTCAATACGGTGAGGATGTTAGTACCCGAAGCAAGCTAG